AATTTCGAGCCCGTTTAAAACTTTTTCATTAGTATTGATTTGAAAAATTTCTTATGTTGATGATTTAAGCGGGCAATGATAGTGCACCGGGTTTGTTTGATTGATATCATTTTCCTCTTTGTTCAAGAACACAACAAAACTAATTATGTTGTGAACAATTAGGGTTTTGGTAAGTATTTCTCTCTGTGTTTGATATAATCATCTATAATATACAAGATATATATAGGGATACAATATTAGGGTTTAGGTTAGAGACAAAATAATCTAAAACTTACTAATGGGCTTATAATGGGCATCCATATAACAACCCATTTATAATTTATTCATAACACTCCCCCTTGGATGACCATTATAAAAATATGGTCTCAAATGCGCATGTGAGATGCTGCCTTATTAAAAACCTTACCAGTAAAACCCAATGGGAAAAATCATGGTTAAGGGAAAAAGAGTGCAGCGCGCTTTTACTCCCCCTCATGAGTAGATCACTTGAATCTTCGAGATGACGCCATCGGATATGATGAAGTAACTTCTTGAAAGCAGTTGTTAGAAACGCCTTGGTAAATAGGTTCGCCAAATCTTCACTTAAACAAATTTGTAGGACACGTACATCACCATTTGTAGGACACGTACATCACCATTCTTTAGGGAATTATAATAAGTAGAACCTTAGTAGACAAACTCTTATCTCGGGTCAGTGAACTTCCGGTCCATACATTCCTTTTCATATAGAAAATTATTTCTCTAGTCTATTTAGAATTCAGGCCCAAAATTTCTTCTATATACAATATTCTAAATATTCATTTTCTAGAAAGGAGTTATTCATACTCTCTTCGTAAAACTTACTATTTTAACTTTTCTTCTTAGTATGGTACTTCTAGACTATTTTCTATGTAAAATATATGGATCTTTGAGATAACATCTCTTTCGCTAGATTTTCAAATTGTAATCCCGAGAAATTTCATGAAGACTCAGACTCTTGTACAATCTGATTTCTACATCTTCTAGAAGAATGATTTCAACTCAAATTTCTTCTTCAGATATTTCATTATATATGAAGTCTCTACAGGAGACATGATAATAATTAAATCATCAACGTACTCTATACTTATTCTTGTAGCCTTCTTTTAACAAGTACCAACTAAGGCGATTATCTTATATATGCCCCGATGTTTCGATTTACAACAATATCGATTTAATTTCACATATATAGTTATGTTTTCGAGAACTATAATTTGTTTCTTCTTGCAATAGAATCCTTCGGGGAAACTTCTATCTTTCAGGGTTGTTTATGACATTTTAAGGCCTTCTGCGCAGACTGAATCAAGTCTTTCTCACATTGTCAAATAGATAAGGGATTTATATAGTTGCATCCACCACATGAGAGTATATCTTTTTCTCTTAAATTATATGTCTTTGTGAGAATTATTCCTCCCACTAAACGTGATTTATATCTCATAAAAATCCACTTATCTCCTACTAGTTTTACACCTTCAAGTGTACGGACTTCTAGTCCAAATACTTTCTCTTCAAAAGATTTTACTAATTTTCTTTTATTTCTTTTCATGATTGGCCAATCATCACGTTGTATATATACTTTTCAATATATCTCTTCTATCAACTGCGGTTTATGATCCTCAATAACATCATTATCAACTGCTTCACTACATGCAAAATATTTACGACGTCGATTTGCTTTGGTTCCCTTTTATTCCAGACATGACTCAACTTATTGAGATTTCCTTTCATTATCATTCTCAGGTACCTGAATCTCTTTCTTTATCATGTCTAAGCTCTTCTAGAGACTCTTTGCTTCCTCGGTGCCATATTAATATCTGCTCCTTTAATTTTCTTTTCCGAGGATGCTTTTTCTTTGGAACCAATAAGTCTATCACGCTTCAGGCGATCTTTAGACTTACTAGCAGTTCATCTTATCCTTCAAGCACATTACTTTAGTTGGAGCACAGCTAGTGTGACTTTGTCACTTAAGGTCAGAAAATGCTTTTGGCATATAATTTGCTTAACTTTGCAAATGAATTATCTTTTAACTTGTAATGCACATTCTTTAGTACGAGGATCAAGATAATTTCTTCCAATATATTTCTTTACCAGCTGTTTATTTTCTTCCCCTATTGTTGGAAAGACTGACTCACTCAAACAACAGTCTCCATCTCGAGCATTAAATAAAATTCTCATTGATGGCTCAAGATAATCAATCATTGAGAGAGATTCATATCTAACATATTTCCAATATTCTTTCAAATCCCATCTTATAATACTGTGGTGGAGCAACTCTACATATATTGCACATTTAGAGGAGAAATATAAGGTTTCTAACCCAAACCAATTGTAATGGGGAGCTCATGATTATTCGTTGGCTTGATGCGAATTAATTGACATATAATAGTCATTTACTTAAGACATGGTTTCACCACCATTATCAACTAACCAAATACCCTCGCAAACTTCAGGTTACAAGTTGATAACAAGGATATATGGTGGGTGATCAGTCCACAATATCTCCTCAAATACGTACCAGAAAATTGACATTATCCAAATTCATGGGGTCTGTGAAAGCCATATATTCGGCTTGCTTTGTGAACAAGCAGCACACAAGAATCCATTAGAAAATCTTCTGGTTCTCTAATGAATGTTTCCATAAATTTATGATTATTCTTTCGCATCACTTCTGAACCAGAATGGCTTAACCGGTCATGCCAAACAGTGAGATTTTCAGTAAACATCTGGTTTACTATACATAATTTTATAATAATATTAAAAAATGCATGTAATTTCTAAGAAATACATTTAGAGCATTAAATAATACTTGTGATTTGAAGGTATTATATATTTTCTTTATTTGTTATCTCAACATGATTTGTTTCAAAATTCCATAGATTTATCTTACGGAGAATTCATTAGTCTTAGTTTTAGTGTGAACATAATCTTCTGGATATTTCACTTATTATGATATATGGGATTCCTTAACTCTCCTCCTCGAGATGATAACACTAGGTTTATCAACCTCGAATTGAATCTCATTTTCTAATCGATAACGTTCTCAAATTGAGTCATTTATTATATTTTAGACCCTTTTACCTTTAAGACTTGAAAAACTATAACACATCAATTATTTTAAACTACATTCTTATTCCCTTTGCGAAAACATTCGATAAACAAGCAAATATTTTAATCGAAAAATATGTATAGTTTTAGGATAAATCTTTTCTTTTTTTTTCTCAAAATTTTTTTTTTAAAAGTTAAACCAACGGCATACCAACTATTAAAGATTTACTAATAATTTTGGAAGCTCAAATAATTGTAACCAAGTATTAAATCTTTATCTTTATAAAAGCATGGAAGAAAAATACTTATTTACTAAACCCATTATAAGCCCATTAGTAAGTTCTAGATTATTTTGTCTCTAACCTAAACCCTAGTAAATAAGTATTTTTCTTCCATGCTTTTATAAAGATAAAGATTTAATACTTGGTTACAATTATTTGAGCTTCCAAAATTATTAGTAAACTAGATTATACCCTGCGGTGTACCGCGGGTCGATTTTTTAACTAAAAATTTTAATTTCAAGTTGTAATTTTTTTAATATGTTTAATTTGTTAAGTGTTTAAGATTATATAATTGTATTTTGATTGTTAATTTTAGGATTTCATCCGTGATATATATACCGTCTCGTATTAATATCGATCCAAACCCGTCCCACCATATAACCCCGTCCCGTGAAATTAAACATTATTTTGTTATTTATCTTTTTAATAATATTTTATTTAATATACATACAATTCAAGTCAATTTAAAAGTTTGATTATATATATTTATATATTAAATTTTATAGAGTCCAAATATTATTAACGTAATCGATTATAATATATTTTTTCTTGAAAAAGTGTTTTGATTAATTTAAAACAGAAACTTAAAGATAAATTAAAAAATTATGCAATAAATATTATTTTGAAATTTATTAATTTTTTTAAGTGTTTAAATTTTCTAAAATCTCGGTAATAGTTATAGAAGATTCCGATCTCATTTATTTACCCGATTTGGATACATAATTATTTAGTTAATTATTATTAATTCCATATAATGATTTCCGAGTTAATTGCGTATGACCGACGGTCAAGATTGAAGATTAAAAACAGGATTAAGATTTGAATAGCCACGATGAAATATAGGGGTTGTTGAGATCTTTTAAGGAAATCGAATTGAATATGGATGTAATTGTGATAAGGATTAGTTATGGTTAATATATTAGGTTAAGATTTTTGGAAACGATTTTTGGAAACAATATTTTATGTTAATATCTGTGATTTAATTTTGTGAATCTAGATAATTAATGTCAATGACATTTGATCGTAAATAAGTTGGAACTCCGGGATTTATTTCATAAATGTCTCCGAAAATGTATATATAGATCTTTAATAGTTGGTACGCCGTTGGGTTAACTTTTTTTTTGGCTTATAATGGGCATCCATATAACAATCCATTTATTCATAACAAATTATTAAAAAAAAAACATTTTATATAAAGATTAACGTGAATTATCGGTAGCATAAAATGTATATTTATTTTGTCTCAAAAGTATCGAATAAAGGTGAATTATGATATTTACTTTGAAAAAAATTAGAAACTCGTTATTTGAAAAATTATGGTTACTATTCATTATTTGACAAACTCGTTTTGCTATATTACTTATTATAAACCAAACTCATAATTACTTATTACTTAGATAATTATTATTATTTGAAACTAGCTATTGTTTTACAAAATAAACAAGAGAGAAAATTATAATTCAATGATGCAAAGTTACCTCTCATTATTTGTGACTCACATCAACAGGACGGTGATCAGGACCTGCACCTAGATTGAAATTTATCTTTTCTTTTGATGAATCGGTATCCACTAAAAAGCAATCCAAACATATAAAGAACAAGAAAGCATCTTTATTCTTAACCTTTATAAAAGAAAAAACATATCTTACACCATAAGATATTAAGATACCTTTGAAACAATAATAGAAAAGAAAGTGGCTTTAGTAATTTACCATTTAGTTTAGTACATTCATCTTTTCAGTGGTTAACATAGGTTAGTCATAATAAAGATGACTCGATGTTGGATAATTCCGTTACTTGAAGAAGAAGTAATGTCCTGCTAGAAGAAGTTAGAAAAAATAAAGTTTGTAAGTTTTTTTTTATAATAGGTTAAGGAGGTGCTTAGTTCTATATAAATAAGAGCATATAGAGAATTGTTCCATAAGATCTTGAAAGAGATTTAGTTTTGAGAAGTTTCTAAATAAATAAATAAAAATTGTTCTTTTTTTTTTTTGAACACCAAAAATTGTTCTTTAATCTTTCAAGTTCATAGTTTTGATTTGACTCGAGTGGTGCAATATGCATATTTCTATCAAGACGGTAGAAGGAAAGACCATAAACCTAGAGGTTGACGATAGCTCCGATACCATCGATCTAAGGATTCATGGACCCACCCGTGAATTGGTTCTTCGTTTAAGCCCTGATCCGGCTCCGAAAGCAGTCATGCGGATTTTTGTACAGAGTACTCTAAGGGGACAATTATTCATCCTCGAGGTGGAGGAGACCGAGACCATTGAAAACGTCATGGCCAAGATCCATGAACAGGGAGGACCACCAGTGGACCGGCATAGGCTAATCTTCCAAGGCAAGCAGCTCGACAAAGGTCGCACCATGGCTGACTACAGAATCAAGACGGAGTCAATCCTTTACGTGATGTCATCCAGTACGGCCTAATGGCTGCAATGTCCAAAAATGCAACTGTTCTTGAATGCATTCAAACCATCGAGAGAGCTTCCTAGATAAACAATCTCTGTTTCTCTTTTGATCGATCCAATTCCTTCACATGACATTCCTATCTTTTATATATATAAAGACACAAAAGTTACAGACTTTCAATATCATCATCTTCAAGCACTATGAAGAAGATCAAAACTATAGTACTACTATATATTATAGACGATGTAATTATACATTTAAAGTGGTATTTATCATTTATGAACTTAAAGATCATCAGACCAATCACTAGGCTTGGTGTCATAGAACAACCCATCAACGATCTGATCAACCAACGAGTCAATAAACGAGTTGCAGCTCACTGTAAAAATCCGTCCAACTCGGTTCCGAGAAATCGTTAACCAAGCGAATATCGCCGCGCATCCCATCGCGGCGAGACCAGCTCCAATAGCTTCACTCAATCCTTCCACATCAAGTTTCTTAAACAACGAATTCCCCGTAACAATCTCCTCCGTCACCGTCGCCGCAAACACAATCTGAAAAGAGTATATTCACATATTAAACCGCGAGATTGAAGTTCGAATTTAGGGTATAAGGTTTATTTACCATGGCGAGTCTTCCAGAGATGGTTTCAAAGTTTTGACTCTTCTTCGAACTCTCTATGTAATCAGTAAGCGTCTCAAAAAACGGAGCTGGTTGATTTCCATCTTTTAATTTGGCCAAGTCCAATAGTGTAATTCCCTTGTGATTTCTCCATCATGTGTTTCCTATATAGCAAAAATGATGTCAGAAGATGATTAATGATTTATTCTTAAGGCAGAAGATGATTTAAAAACTAACAAACAAATTAAGTTCTCGCTTTAGCCTGCAATGGAACCAAAGATGAAAGATTAATACCTATGGAAACCAATTAAGCACACATTGGTTTGTGAATCCTGAAGAAGAAACAAGTGAAACATAAACAAACGACAACGTTTTAAGACCACGAAACGACAACGTTTTAACAAAAAACTTGCCGTTGCAGTGTTGTAGAAACGACAGCGTTTTATTCTAACAAAACGTCGGCGTTTTGTATACTGCTAACGGGCGTCGCTTTTCTAGCTAAAACGCTGTCGTTTTAATTAAAATGTTGTGAAAGAAAAATCAAACTAACTGTAGGAGCATGATGTGATGTAAAAGGAAGACCCTAGCTTTGATATTCTCTCCATCGGAGTAACCACTAACCACATGGCAAACGAGTAGAATCAGTCCCAGTTTCGACCTACATTGCATAATGCAAACATCCAAATGAGCAATAATGATAAAAGCTCTTTCCATAGATAATGAAGTGATTTTAAAACATATAAGAAGCAAATTACCATATGGGAACTCACCAAGTGACCCAGAACTTGACGAAGGAAATGAAAGTCTTCTCGATTAGGAGAAGGTTGTCCTCTAACAAGAACAAGATTTGTAATGTTAAATCCAAAAACCTCATTCCCGATCGAACAGCATTAACACGGCCACTTCTTCGAACCTGACCATGACCCTTACTTAATCTTGGTTGAAGAACCAACTGGAATTTTATTGACCTAGGCTCTGACTTGCTTGACACATTCCGCCATCACAACCCTCACCAATTCCGGTTATGTTCCACAAGTCTATCACATTATTTTCCAGCTTCCCCTAGACCAATATAAAAGCTATAATTGTATCTTCATCTTCCAATTGATAACAGTGTCAGTGCCCTATCTCTTTCTTCTGCAGAAATCAATTGCTAAAACTCAAAACCAATTGCAGAAATACTAGTCGAAAACGCTGCGTTTTTGTAGTGTGACCAGTGACCACTCGGCTAAAACCGCTGCGTTTTTTTTTTTGTGAGATCAATGGTTTTTGGTCACGTGCCTGATAAGCGGGCAATAATAGCGCACCGGGTTTGTTTGATTGATATCATTTTCCTCTTTGTTCAAGAACACAACAAAACTAATTATTAAAAAAGAAAAAAAAAACATTTTATACAAAGATTAACGTGAATTATCTATAGCATAAAATGTATATTTATTTTGTCTCAAATGTATCGAATAAAGGTGAATTATGAAATTTACTTTGAAAAAATTTAGAAACTAACTATTTTTGCAAAATAAACAAGCTAGAGAGAAATTATAATTCAATGATGCAAAGTTACCTCTTATTATTTGTTACTTATTACATCAACAAGACCTGCACCTAATTTAAATTTATCTTTTCTTTTGATGAATCGGTATCCACTAAAAGAAAAATCCAAACATATATAGAACAAGAAAGCATCTTTATTCTTAATCTTTATAAAAGGGAAAAAACATATCTTACACCATAAGATATTAAGATACCTTTGAACAATAATAGACAAGAAAGTGGCTTTAGTAATTTACCATTTAGTTTAGTACATTCATGTTTTCAGTGGTTAACATAGATTAGTCATAATAAAGATGACTCGATGTTGGATAATTCCGTTACTTGAAGAAGAAGTAATGTCCTTCTAGAAGAAGTTAGAAGAGATATAAATAAAGAAATACAAGTAGGATCTAAACAGGAAGATTTAGATAAAGTTTGTAAGTTTTATTTTTCATAATAGGTTAAGGAGGTGCTTAGTTCTATATAAATAAGAGCATATAGAGAAGTGTTCCATAAGATCTTGAGAGAGATTTAGACTTTTTTTTTTTTTTTGAACACCAAAAATTGTTCTTTAATCTTTCAAGTTCATAGTTTTGATTTGACTCGAGTGGTGCAATATGCATATTTCTATCAAGACGGTAGAAGGAAAGACCATAAACCTAGAGGTTGATGATAGCTCCGACACCATCGATCTAAGGATTCATGGACCCACTCGTGAATTGGTTCTTCGTTTAAGTCCTGATCCGGGTCCGAAAGCAGTCATGCGGATTTTTGTACAGACTCTAGGGGGAAAATTATTCATCCTCGAGGTGGAGGAGACCGAGACCATTGAAAACGTCATGGCCAAGATCCATGAAAAGGGAGGACCACCAGTGGACCAGCAGAGGCTAATCTTCCAAGGCAAGCAGCTCCTCAAAGGTCGCACCATGGCTGACTACAGAATCAAGACGGAGTCAACCCTTTGCGTGATGTCACGTCTTTGCGGTTGCTAACTAGAATAATGTCTCTTGTTTTCAAAGTTTTTTTTTGAGTCTTTCTAAAAACTTGCTGGTTGATTTTTGGTGATTTATCTAAGTCTTTCATTATTATGTTTCTCTAAAGTGAGATTTATCTTTAATTTTTGATGAATCGGTATCCACTACTGAAAAAAGTAATCCAAACATAAACAAAAAAAAACATTTTATTTCTTAACATTAAAAGCATATCTTAAGGCCGAAGATACATGTGACCAATATATATATCTTAAGGACGAAGATACATGTGACCAATGATAGACAAGAAATCAACTTTGGCATTATGATATGAACCATTTATTTTTTGGTGATACTAATACGGCAGATACTAGTCAACAAAATAAAATTTAAAACAGAACATGTGCTTTACACTGTTTAAAAATCTCTTTAACTTATTGATAGAAACTTTACTATATTATAAAAGATTCCCACTGAAATTACAACTCTATATAAGCCACTCTTGAATTCACTCTTCTATATCAACAAATATACAAACAAAAATAAAAAGAAAAGAGAGAACAAAGAAGCTAGTTAAAGCTTTGTGATCATATCAAAATGAACAGCCAAAAGGATAACAAAGATGAGAGTTCAACATATTATGATACTGCAAAGAAAGTCGTAGGCGTCGCCGGAGCCGTTGTAGCATTTGCCGGTCTAGCCTTTTTGAGCTTGGCCTCGAGCTCGGAAGAGAAGAGACCGGAAGAGAAGATGATGAAAGCTCCCGGAGGAAATGGTTATATTCCAAGGAAACCTTTCGAAGATAACCCCAAAGACTTCTTCGAGCAGCAGCGTATTAATCGTCGTAATAGTAGAAATTGAAAATATATTATAAATATATATATATATATATATATATATATATATATATATATATATAAAATGTGAAAATAAGAGTGTGTGTAAAGATTTGCCCCTTCCAACTTTTTATTATATAATTAAATAATAAAACGAAAATATATGTCGTTTATATGTAACATGTTATAAGTGGATCATTTATAATTTTTCTATTTTGAGTTACTTGTGTTTATTGTTATGTTGTAATAATCGGCAGCCAGCCAGGAATATATATGACCTGAGTCAGTGAAAAGTAAAAACTTGTTTAAGTTTTTAATATAATTGTGAAATTTTTATCTATCATTGAGAATGCACAAATCAACGGCAGTTCAATGATAATTCATAAAGAAAACTGATTAAAAATATAGAAATTATTGGTGAATTACGAGTTTCATACTCGTAGTTAAACTGAAAAATTAAAGCTAAATTTGAAAATCATGTCAACAGATCTGTAGTAATTTAGAACCTTATATCTGATCAAGATAAATAAATATTTTATTAAATAAATATTCTATCACATTAATAACTTCAGAAGAAATTATATTAATATTTTTCGTACATTAACTAAAAATATTTGATTTTGATATGATTAAATATAAATCCTTCCAGGATTTGACAAGCAATTCTAAATTTTATTGGATTTTTAACAAATTGAGATGCCTAACCACTCCCATTGAAATTGGTCCAAATTAATTTTGTTTTTGCTGACATAATTGGTCCAAATTAATTAATGAAATATTCTTTATTTAATATGCTTCCTTTTCTTTTCTTTTTTATACCATTTATATGTTCCCTTTTTTTTGTGTAATTGCAATTTATATTATTTCCTTTCGGGATTGACTTCAAAGATACCAATAAATAGTAATGGTCGCGTCACATTAGCAACCCTAAAAATTATTCAACAACTTTTAACTCAAACCACAAAAAAAAAAAAACAAACAAAGCAGAAGAAGTTAGATCTCTTTGTAAATCATATCAGTATGAACAACGACGAGGAGAAAGATAACAAAGATGAGAACTGGAAATTGTTTTACGATATCGCAACGAAAGTCTTAGCCATGATTGGAGCCATTGGAACCTTATCGAACCTAGTCTCGTTGATGAATTTGGGCTCACAAGGTAAGATGTTGAAGATTTCTTGGATGGATTCTCGTATTCCTATCAAAGTTTACGAAGACTATTTGAAGGATCTAAGTGATAAAAAGTGAAATCTATATATTAATAGTTCAGATTTTGTTGTTCTATAACCAAATATTTTGCATACGACATAGTTTTTCTATGTGTACAATGTTATAGACTCGTATAATATTGCTGCTATTCACTCTTGTTTAATTGTACCTAATGGACTCAATGAAGTTTAAGGTTAAACTCCATCCTATTATTTTCGATTTTCGATTGTGGATAGACACGAAAAAGATGTATTTAAGTATGATCATACAAAACGGGACACAAACTAGTTAATGTAGGAAAAATTTCTTCACTCCTAATGGGTTCTTAGGCAGAGAGAGTCCGTTTGTCTGAGGTGGTTCTTTGCACTACTCGACTCTTCGAGCTGTTTCCGCTTCCACCACCGCCTGTACCAGAGGGTGGTGCTCGAGGAACAACCCGCTGTATGATTCGAATTGGAGTCCCGCCTAAATCAAAATCTTCCTTTAATGATCTAGTCAAAAACCTTATGTCGCTTTCCAATAGCTGCGTTTTACCACTCACAAACGCTACAAAAGTTGGTGGTCGAGCTTTCACTTGAGTGAAAAACTTGATCTTTGGCTGTGAAGCCGTGTCTTTCCAAGAATGTCGGCTCATAACCTAAGTCAATACACAGAACAAATGATTAAGCAGATAATGATGTCGCACGTTTTGTTTATATTATAGTCTGATTCATTTACAGTACAGACCTTACGCAACCAGCGATTGAGGCGACCTGTGGAGAGTCTTGAACACCATCTCTTGTATGTGTCAGTGACTTCTTTCATTACTTCCATACGTCCTCTTCCCTCTAATGCAGAGATAAACACAACTGGTATTCCAGTTATCTGCAACCATATATTATGTTCCATCACCAGGAGATCCGAAGAATGGCAAAAGAAGAAACGAGAATTGACAAAAGATGCAATTTCTATTATTACCTGAGGAATAACTGTCTGAATTTCAATGGGAACAGCTTCTTTGATCTTCTTGTACATCTCAGCGTTCTCTCTCCCTCTTAGACGATCCATTTTGTTTACGATAACGACTAGACCACGACCTTCTTCTACAGCACGTCTAGCTATAACTACTTCTGAATGTGTCATACTACATTTAGCTTTTATGATCTGGAGATTGCAAACACGGTGAGCATCTTTCTCTGTTTTCACAGTTGTGCAAAAAACATGAATAGTATGTGTGTATACAAACCTCTTCAGCATCGAGAACTAACGCGATAACATGTGCCCGCATAAGACTCTTTCTTGATTGCATGATACTCAAAGATGCTGGTCCTTTGTCTCGCTCTGTTCTCTCCAACCACCCAGCAGTATCAACCTTAATAGATAACCAGCATAAACATCAAACAAAGTGAATAAGATTGAACGCTGGTTCCACTTTCTCTGTCTAACATCAAGAGAATAATAGTTGAAGTAAGAGTATAAGAAAAATCAGAATTCTAAACTTACCAGATAAACGGTCCTACCCTGAAACTCAAACTGAACTCTCACAGCATCTCTGGTGAGACCAGCTTCTGGACCCACCAACACACGCTCTTCTTCCAACAATGCATTGAGCAATGTTGACTTCCCAACATTAGGCTTACCTACTATAGCTAACTGCAATGGCAACTTGGACTCGTCGATTTCATCAGAGAGATTCTCATCGCTCAGAACATCATCTTGACTGCATATATCTAATATAAGACTGATGTTCAGTAAAGAGAGAATTTTAAGGAAGCAGCTTCTGGTATAGAAGTATAGACTGGTTTTTATTACCGTTTAACATTTCGACCATGTAATCCTCTAGTAGAGGGCGGAGAACTTCATAAAGTGTGGTCATACCAAGTCCAGTCTCGGCTGAAATAGCAATAGGTTCGCCAAAACCTAGTGCAAGGGCCTCAGAAGCAACTTCATCAAGAGAGCCAATTGATTCAGATTTATTCATAACCACAATTGGCTTAATCTGAGGAGCATGCTTTCTCAACCATTTCCCAACCTCTAAATCTAATGGATGCAATCCAGCCCTATGAACAACAAAACAATTTATAAGAAAGCAAAAAAAAAACACTAGCATCAAATTAGTTTGTTGTAACTAGGGATTAAAATCTCACCTCACGTCGATAATAAGAACCGCAAACTGAGTCCTTGCAAGCACATTAGCCGTCATTGCCGTGGTTCTACCCAGAATAGTACCCGAAGAAACCTCAGTCTCTATACCAGCAGAGTCCAACACATTGAACCTCAAATCACCTAACTTGGCAATCCCTTCTCTTATATCCCTTGTAACATGATCATCAGGAGTATTGTAAACAAGAGCCTCCCTCCTCCGAATCAATCTAAACAACAACACAATTGCCTAAATCCACAATAATATCAAACCTTATGTCACATATCTTAAGCATGCACCGAAGAAACTAACCGGTTATACAAAGCAGACTTCCCAACATTTGGCCGGCCCATAAGCATCACAGTAGGTAGTAAATTCGCATCGATTTTGGTGAAATCAATTGGTTTCTTGTAAACAACCTTTGGCTTCTTATCAACATTTGATTCATCAGAACCGAGAATTGAGTCCACTAAAGAAGCTGTGGCAAACCCATTTGAGGGTCGAACTAAGCAAGCAAGATTCAAGTCTGAGATCAAATTACCACAACACCTATAACTATTCTGATGACTTCCATGTCTAGAACTTGAATTGAAACCTGAAGGAGAAACAAGTAAAACATAAAGGAACCAATTTGGATTCATATAAGCAGACATTAAAAGATATGAGATTTATACCTAAAGATTGATCTTGGGAATGAAATAGCCGAGAAGAAACACATCTATAGTAAAACCCAAGACTTAATTGATTCTTCCGAGCTGAGATTGCTCGAACCAGTGACTGAGACATTGGAGACGACAAATTCCACTTTAAGGGTATACAAAGCTTTGCATTTGTGATTCAATTATGAAACTGAAAATGAGAATAGAGAGAAAAGTTTGAAGCTTTGAAGCAGAATGATGAAGCTAAAACCCTAAACCTTTTGTTCACCGGTGATGATGATAACTCTGCCGTTGTTTGGTCACGCCGATTTGTCGACGTGAGTGATGATGTGTAAATCAGATTTGATATGACGTCGTTTTTATCTTTGGGTTCTAAAACCCATTGGGCTTTTTAGTGGGTTACTTTAAATCCATGTGATGGTGTTAGTTCGATTTATTTACCGTTTGAATTCGGTCAGGTTTTTTATTTCTGCTCTTTAGGGTTCTTAAATTTTTATTAAAAAAATTAAACTGATAAAAACATTGGTAACTATTTGGTTTGATTTCAATTTGTTTTACTGAATTTTCTGTTTGTTCGATTTGGATTTTGTTTGGTTTTAATACAAAAATAACTTGAAACTATATAAAAATGATTAATTCATATAATTTGATTGTATTATTACAAATGTGTACATAATTGTTTCTATTTTATTGATGTTGTCTTCTTTTTGGTACGTAAACAAACACTTCCAAAGTAGAATCCTTCATGGAGAATCCAACACCTCTCTCGCATCACCTTGTCAGCTGCTAGAGACGATGGAAACAGTAGAAACAAACTCCTTTGTACCACCGAGATGAAATCCTTGGTGACAAAATTGAATATACAACCTATTCTATATCCGTTGGTTCAGAGCTTTCAAAGTACAACTACACCGTCGTCATTGCTAGAATCGCAAAATCAATGTACTTATATGGGATATGTGTCCAACTACATAATGGATGATATAGATGAACAATATTAATTAGCCCAATTTGTGACGGTTGTGTACAATTTAATTATCTTTTTTTTAATCATTTTTTAAACGTTGATGTTATAAGTAGTACATCATAATAAGACTAGATCAAATATTTCAAATAATAATGTAACAGATGACAAAAAAGAAAACCTAAACATTAACTTTAATAAACTCCATTAATTTTTAAACTCAATTTAGTTTGCTTACATTAAAATAAATTTCGATTCAGGTCCTATAAACTAAAACCTACATAAATTGATCCAAAATTCATCAAATGAAATCTTTGTACAAATTTATCTTTTCATTCTTAACAAACTTATTTTTAAATGTGATCTTCTTTGGATTCGTTAGCTTCTCCCAAATCTTGTAACTCCTATTGTAACCTTGTTTTTATCTTTTTTGCCAAGGTTGCTTTCGCTTAGGTTTTAATTTTGTTGTAAAGCCTCAACTTCATTTTATATGATATTTACATGTTTAGCAAAAAAAAAAAATGTGATCTTATTATTGTTCTCTCATAAACTTTTCATACTTTTTTCCAAAGCTTGTGAATGTTGTACAACAAAATACAAGTTAGTGCATTTAGAAATACACACTTATCTTTACATGTCTTGATTTTTCTCTAATATTTTTGTCAAGATTGATTCAAACTGATTTTGTTTAATCAAACCAAAACAAATGTGAACTACATCAAATGTCTTCATCTTAATTTCCTCAAGGTTATGTCTTTCATAGGAAATGTTTCATCATGATCCAAATATTTAAAGACTAGTCTATTGCAACACTAACATAAAATGAAATCATTAGATTACTAATTCAATCCTTATCCATGACTAGTTTGATTCATTTACAAACTGATGCATTTATTGTAAAAGCATTTTATTTTTTTTTAATGAATAAATTTTACATTTTCTTAAAAAAAAAAAAAACTTACAACAAAACCTAAAATCGAAAAAGCTACAATCCAAATATACAACACTGAATATATAAAATCTGTAACCATTCATGACCTTAAAAAATAATAATTTACCAACAAATTTCAGATCAATTATTGGTATTACCATTTCGGTTTGGTCCGATTTGATTATACAGATTCAATTTGGACCGGTTATTTATTTTCCATCTTAATTTCGGGAGTCAACGAAAGCTCCACACACACAAGCAAGTTGACTAACTATAGTAGAAGAAACGGCACGATGTTTGAATATTAAACGACACGATCATTGACCAAAGAAAAGAGCGTCGTTCTTATTAAGCGTAACCAGAGAGAGACGAGAGACGAGAGACGAGAGAATGGGAGGAGTTTTATCAACTGTGTTTGGAAGTGGAGAAGACGCAGCTCCAGGGACTGAATCTGAGCCAAGTCGTGTCCTCAAGTTTAGCTCTTCCGCTCGATGGCAACTTCATTTCAACGAGATCAAAGAATCCAACAAACTGGTAACGTCTCTTAGACTCTCGATTTTCGATTCAATCGATAGTGGTTTCAATGGAATTAACTGATTTGGTTTCTGTGAGTGATAAAGCTGGTGGTTGATTTCTCGGCTTCATGGTGTGGACCATGTAGGATGATTGAGCCTGCGATTCATGCCATGGCTGATAAGTTCAATGATGTTGATTTCGTCAAATTAGATGTTGATGAACTTCCTGTAAGTATCTCTCTTTCATAAAGTCTTAAGCTTTTGTCGTAATGCTATCAAAAGTTTCTGACTTTATTTGTTTCTGATTGATCCATTGATCAAAAGTTTACTGTTTTGTTTTGCCTTGATTGCCTTAAACGGAGTGTTGTGATATCGACTTTTGGTGAGAAGAGATTGAGTAGCTTCTATTTCCATCTTTTTGGTGTTTTGTAATGAGAAAAAAAGATTTAAACTTGCTGCATATCTGTCATGGTTTATAGTACTATACCACTAAAGTTTCATATTTCTGTGTCTCTGACATTTGTTTCCGTCATTACTCTGATTGATCTTTCACTGTTTTTGTCTGATATGTAGTTATTTGTGATATCGAATTTCGTGAGTAGAAGATATGATTTGATTTTGAACTGTCAAAAGTTTCAACTGTCTTTGTCTCTGATGTTTATATCACTCATCACTCCATTGATCCATAGATCATAGTTTACTGTTTTTGTTGTTTTTGCCTTAAATGGAGTGTTGTGATATCGAATTTCGTGGAAGGAAATTGGCTAGCTTAATGTTACGTAACTGCAGATCAATCGAATTCTGATATAAGATGAGAGTTGGTGTGTTGTAATGAGAACTTGGTGCATCTCTGCCATGGTTATACTTTGCCAATCAAAGTGTCAACTTTCTGTGTCTCTGTCTATTGTTCTGATTAATCCATACTTCTGATATGGAGTTTTTGTGAGTAGATGTTAGATTTTGTTAGGGTGCAACTGCAAATCATTCGAATTCTGATATAAGATGAGAATTGGTTGAAATGGGTTCAACTACCTGCTTCTGTTTCCATAATTATGGGACTTGTATTGAGAAACAATTTTAAAATTGAATGCATGACAAATGTTTTCAGGATGTGGCTAAAGAGTTTAATGTGACGGCAATGCCAACTTTTGTGCTGGTGAAAAGGGGTAAAGAAATTGAAAGGATCATTGGTGCCAAAAAGGACGAACTTGAGAAGAAAGTTAGCAAACTCAGAGCATAGTGAACATTTATTAACACCTTCACCAATAGCCTTTGTGTAAACTCAATGATGAATGGTATGTTGTGGGGAATGTGATGTTCTATGCTCTCTGCTAATGTAAGACCTTCTGTGTGATGCCGTGGTTGATTAAAATGGTTTGTTGAAATGCTTAGACTCTGCTTTTAGTATGGTTTATGATACAAAGTTGATACCTTTTCAGCTTGTGCACGAGGTTTTGCTTCTACTCGATGGTGACATGAGTTCTAAATTTGATAGTTGATACATTTGACACATACATATGTTGTATACATAGATATGAAGCTAGAAGCATGATTTTAGTCCGGTTCATTCTTATAACAAACAGTATACGATTGCTGAAATGTCGACAGCTCCCTCAGTGTGCAAGAAAGAAGATAGTAAGTTGTAATCTACTGCCTTGTAAGAAGTAACATTACACAGCATCATTAAGAAGTATATTCGACGCATTAAAGGTTTAAAATGTATCGTTTGCTGAGCTATTTCAGTGCGTCTCTTTGCACATTCAACTAACCGATTAAATACCTCGTAGTTGCTGTGTCCTGTTGTGAACCCAGTTTCAGGTGAGTCATACATACATTAGTCTAATTGGAAAATAGTGCTCCTGCATAGATAAATAGAAAATGAATTTTGAAAAAAATAAATTAGAATTGAGAGTACTTGTCTTATAAGAAAACTACAATCCTAAAACTACTTTTCTTTCTTTAGAACTTCTTCTGCTTCTACTTGCTAATTCGCCGATGCTGGTGCCTGCGATATATCCACCTGACCAAGCATTCTGCATAACACAATACCATTTTTTAACAATAAAAACTTAAAACTTAAAATTGTTTCGTTTAATGAGTGAAATTACATTTAGGAAAGTAAAAAATATTAGTAATCTAGGTGAAATTTCAATGTTATAACTAAAAATATTCACCTGGAAATTAAATCCTCCTGTAACTCCATCTACATTTAGTACCTGAAAACGCAAATGTAAGTAAAGTCATGTTATGATGGTCGTGTCATGTGTATGTGTATGTACATGCATATCTACTTCCATATGTCATATGTCCATGTTCCAAATTCATTGTATATGTATGTATGTATGTGAGTGACTAAATGCACAAATGAATGCTTGAAACATTGTAGCAATGCTTACCTCTCCCGCAAAGAAAAGATTCGGAACCAATTTGCTCTCCATTGTCTTCAATGAAACCTTGAAACAGCGAGACACGTAAAATTAGATTTAACAAAACTACAATAAGAAAGGATTGGTTTTAAGTTTCAAAACGGAACCTCGGATAAAGGAACTCCTCCTGCTGTCACAAACTCATCTTTGTATTGACCCTTTTGCAGCAACATAACGTAACACAAAATCAACATCACCATCTTGAGTAGTTTGATAAAAAAAATGATAAAATGTTTCATGTTATACCTTTCCAGTGACTTGAAATGTACAGTGTTTAAGAAGATCAGAAATAGAGCTCAAGGAGTTATTTGACAATGAAGCCCATAGGGTGTCTTTTGAAGAACCCTGCAGGATCATGAAGACAATCAATGACATTCACGTAAGATTGAGAGGATTTACGATATAGAAAAGCTATGAAAGAAGGTTCTAGAAGGATTGTCAGAACCTCGCGGTCTAGAATGTATCTCCAGAATCTATTGACAAGACCGAATTGAGGAGGAAAGGAGTTGGATACTTTGTGCTTCTGCATTAAACAATGTTCAAACTTTACAACAACGAGATAAGAAACAAAGATAACAAATGAGTAAAAGTATGAAATGTTGTTACAGAAAACTGCAGCTTGTGTTCTTTGAGTACTGATTTAGCAGTTTCGATGTTAATATCTGGTATGAAGTCGACAATAAGATGCCCTGCAGCCAAATTGAATATGTTCTAATGTCATCGAGATAACAGGAACAAAAACTCTCTCCTTAGAGATGGAAGATTCAGACCTTTGTACTTAGAACTGAAGAGATGCCGTGCACCCCATGCAGAGAGTCGAAGAATAACCGGTCCACTAAGTCCCCAATGTGTTACAAGCATTGGACCAATCTTGACAAAAAACAAAGTAATATTTGAACTTTTCCTTATGATAAAGGATTTTAACAAATTAGGAATAGCAAGGGGAAAAAAGATACACACCTGCACGAGGTTAGACAAATCAGGGCATGGATTATCTAGTTTCAGTTTAGCTTGGACTTTGGAGAAACTAATCTGGGCAAAAGAAATAAACAATGTCACATACGAAGCTCGTAAAACTTTTTTTGTGCTAGAGAATTCTGGTTTTAGAGGAAAATTTACCCCTGCTAACGCGGTCAGCAATGGATCATTGATCTTAAAAGTGAATAAGCTCGGTACTGGATCTACAATGGAATGACCAAATTTAGTGGCTAAAGAGTGACCCTGTAACATGATAAGAAAAAAAAAACATCTCAGGAAAACACAAGAACCCATATTATAAAAAACCTTTGAAAAAAAGAATTCATATTCTTCAAATGTGTTTATTATAACCTGTTGGCTACTTCCAGTTGCAATCAGAAGATACGTAGCTTCGACAGATTCAGACGTGTCAGCACTTTGCTTCCCAACTTTAACAAGGAACTTTCCATCGGGTTTAGTAGAAGCAGCTAACACAGACTTACCTCTCTCAAGCCTAACTGTTTAAAGATATTTAGTGGATATATGAATGTAGAGACACCACAATTACGAAGAATACGTTCAAGAGATGTGTTCTAAAAATACCTCCTCTAATGTTTGCTTCATTTAAGAGACAATCAATTACAGAAGATGAACAATCACTGACAGGGAATACTCTCCCATCATCTTCAATCTGTCAAGAGATATGAATTAGGCGAAAATGCGGGATAATTCAAACTTCTCTAAAGATAAATTGGATGCAAAGTCACAACCTTTAGTGGTACTCCATGATCAGAAAACCATGACATAGTATCAGCAGGTCCATGTGTATAAAAGAAAGAACCTTTAAGCTCTTTATGACCACGAGGATAATGCCCTGCCAAATTCTACATACAGATTCGATATTTACGTTACCAAAACTATTCTGCAATGCTAGGTATAAAGTTTGAAGCTTTAATGTATGAAGAAGACTCACAATAGTATCATTGCAATGCCCATTTGTCACATTGCATCGACCACCACCGGAAATCTTCACCTACGAATAACAAACGATAAACGATAAACAAATGAACAAAACCATCTCTCTTTTAGAAAATTGAGTTTAAGATCACTGACCTTAGAAAGAAATCTCCCTTTTTCAATAACTAAAACTCTCAAATCAGGTGCAAGAGTTTTAGCCCTAATAGCTCCATAAACTCCAGCTGCTCCACCACCAACAACAACCAAAAGCTCACTCTCATCATTTTTCCCCTTTTGTAAGAACCCAACAACAATTCAGACAAAACAAACAAAGAACAGAAACTTCTATAGGTACTAAACGAAGATTACCTTGTCGGCTAAACTAGTTATAGTAGCGCCAGTGAAAATTCTCCTTCTCCTGATTGTTCTACATAACAAAGCTTTTACAGGAACCCATAAAGGACTTGCCAAATTCAAGTTCATTACTCACTCAAAATTTCCTAACTTTGATCCTAAATTCGAATTCTAACGTAAACAAAGAATCTGATTCATCAGCTAAATAAACCCCAACCCCAGAAAACTACGCGTTAAACCCTCAAGTTCTCAATTTGAGAAGCAAACGAAGAAGATGATGATTAGGGGTTACGACGTCGTTTTTCCTCCCAAAGTCAAAACGACATCGTTACTTCCAAGCCAAAACGACGTCGTTTGAAACGAGAGGTGAAAGATTGGAGCTTTATGCAAAATTCAAATCTATCTAAATAAATTCTCTCTTCCTTGAATGCGACGCTTCGTATTTCTCGATACATCGGAAATATGGAAAACAAAGTTACGAACTTTTCGTCTTCCTCTCCAGCATTTGAGCCTCTTTATATCCAAACCAAGTTCCATCAAACTTCTTATCTTACTTGAGAAATCTGACAGAGACAAAAACATGTTTGGTCCTCAAACAAGAAGAGTTGATTTAGAGAAACAAAGCGAACTCAGAATCACAGTGCAACTTCTCAGACTCCGTTTGCTCGATGGAAAAGCAGAGATTTTCGGCTATGAACTTCCACATGAAGCTTGGATCACATTTCCACCTCTCATGATGTTTGCGGTATGTTTTAACATATTCAACTGCAAAATTCATCTTGTGGCCTTGTGGCTTTAGGTGATGAATGAAGTGGGTTCTTAAGTTTGTTTATGTATCATCTTATGGCCTTGTGTGTTGAATCAGCTGAATATAGCTCTGTTTCATAGATGATGATAATATCTCATTGATACATAAAAAGTTACTCACTTTTTCAGGTTTTTACATGGTATGGTGCAACTATTGAAATCGATGGTATCTCAGAAAATGATTATATATCATGTGAGGTAAGGTTTTGGTTTCACCCACTCTTAGTTCATAATATATTGTTTACTAAAAATGTATTTGTTATAGACACCTATGGTGAACTATCTTGAAGTGCACAACTCTCTACTAGTACAAAGACATCGTGTTACTTGCTCAACAAGAGATTCTGTATCTCCACAGGTAATTTTATCTTACTAAAAGATCATTGTGGCCACTTGAACTCTCGGTTTTCCTTACGGTTTTGCTCAATGCAGGGACCAAGGGTCATCATTGTAGGGGGTACAGACTCTGGGAAGAGTACATTGGCTAAAATGCTTCTTAATTGGGCAGCAAAAGATGGTTGGAAACCAACGTTTGTTGATCTTAACATTGGACAAAGCTCGATAACCATACCAGGAACTGTTTCTGCTACTCCTATCAGGATGCCTGTGGATCCTGTTGAAGGGTTTCCTCTTGATAAGGCTCTTGTGCACTACTTTGGTCACGCAAATCCAAAGTAATTGACTTCAAGTTTTGATTCTTTTAGGTTTTAATATAACCTAATTTTCCTTTCTTGTACTCTCAGTGTAAACCTTGGATTGTATAAAACCCTTGTGGATGAGCTTGCCAGAGAATTAAAAGATGAGTTTTCTGGTAACGCTGAATCTCGAGCTTCGGGGATGGTGATTGACACGATGGGATTTATCGTTCGTGAAGGCTATACGGTCATTTTAGCTTCTTTCTCGGTTTTTCGTGAACCAACTTTTGTTTGTACTTTTGCTATGAACTACAAGATTTCTGATATGGTATCATGTTTGAAATTTTCAGCTGCTTCTCCATGCAATAAGAACGTTTAATGCATCTTTAGTTATTGTCCTTGGTCAAGTAAGTAACGTATCAAATCTTTTTCTCTGGCTTAATCCCAAGAAACCAACAATATTGCCTTTCATTGATCTTTGACATTTGCAGGAGGAAAAACTCGTCCATGATCTGAAGAAAGATCTCAAATTCAAGAAGAATCTACAATTCTTGAATCTTGAGAAGTCAGCTGGAGTCTTCTCTAGGAGCTCTGACTTCCGCAAAACATTGAGGAACAGTAATATTCAGGTAGACTTTTCGCTTTGACGATTTCAATAATTTGGTTTCTTTATATGTTTTGGACTAAAGCAGAGTTCTTTCAATTTGTTTCTGCACAGAATTATTTCTATGGAGTCACCAACGATCTCAACGTATACACCAAAACAGTAAAGTTCAGTGATGTGCAAGTATATCAAATAGGTGATTTTCGAGAGAGTAGTTCAACATCTGCTCATCAAAGAGGAAACAACCCTTTGAAGATCATACCTGTGACAATTGACGAACATCTTGTGAACAAAGTTCTTGCTATCTCATACGCCAAACAACCTCATCAGATCATCTCAAGGTAATATTTCCAACTTCTTATGATTATACTTAAGCTATAGATGAAGAGATCATTAATTTTGCAGCAAATTTGTATTGGACTTTTGCAGCATTGTTGCTGGATTTGTGTGTATCAAAAATGTTGATATTGGTGAAGAGAGAATTACATATATCTCTCCATCAGCTGCGGAATTGCCTAGCAAGACACTGATCATGGGGACTTTGACTTGGCATGTAACTTGAGAAGCAAGAAACTAAAGAGAAGAAAGTGAGGTTTTTTTTTTTTTTTTTTTTAATAATGTTTTATCTGTTATCAACTTCTTTGAAGATGCTCTAGTTTATTCTCCTATATACGGAGTTATCAAAGTCACTTTTTGTTTTATAAACCATTTTTCTCGGCAACTAATATATTTTTTAGTTTAAATAATCTCAAAGAATCTAAATTTTCAACTATCAAATAAAAGAAAATCTTTAAATTTTACAAAGAATCATAGATTTAGATTTTGTGAGCAAAATGTAATTTAGATTTATGTTTAAATAGATTCAGTGTGTAACTTTGTTCATTGAGTAGAAGAAAATGGCAAATTCCGCAATGTTCTCAACTTTTATCCTTTCTTTAACAATCTTCCACACTTTTCAGTTAGTTCAGTCTCACTATTCTCTTTATCCTGAAAGTAAAAATTTCAATGTTCTCAATTATGGAGCAATTGGAGATGGATTTTCTGACGATTCAAAGGTTTGTTTTCATTTTGGTAAACTACTTTACATATATTGAAAATTTAAAAGCCAAATACATACATATTTGGTTTCAGGCATTCAAGGATGCATGGGAAGACACATGCAATTACATTGGATCTCAATCAACTATGGAAATTCCTGAAGGATACACATTTCTTCTGCAACCTATTGAGTTTCATGGCCCTTGTAAATCCAAGAAAATCATTTTATTGGTATGCATAACTCATATACAAACACATATTTAATATTTATTTTTATTTACTAACTAGATTAAGGCCTTAAATAGTTTTACAAGTTTTTAAGTTGTTTTTGGTTTTTATTCTTTTGGAAATCTATTTTTTAAAACATATTTTTGAAAATATATGCAATACTAATACATTTCATTTTTTAATTTGTAGATCAGTGGAAACTTAATTGCTCCCGAATCTCCTGATGAATGGGAATGCAAGAAAGATCATTGTCATCAATGGATCGAATTCGCTCATATAAATGGACTTCATATTAATGGTCATGGTACTCTTGATGGTCAAGGAACAAAATGGTGGTCTCTAGATTGCAACAAATATAAAAATGTACGCCTTTCCCCTTTTTTCATTTTTTCCAATGTTGATGAGTAGCACCATTTACTTTACTTTGTATTCATCTAAACCCATATAACTTTTGTTTTTTTGTAGGCATGCCTCAAGAGACCAAGGGTATGTAAAATATCACTGAACAATGAGTGAATAAAATCTCTCATATTTAAGTTTAAATAAGTCGTTGCATAATTTTTTTAGGGTGTGGTTATATCACATTCGAGTAATGTGCATATAAGCAACATTATGGTGAAGGACAGTCCAAATTTTCAAATGTCGCTGGAAGATTCGAAATGGGTTATTGTTAAGCAACTCACCATAACCGCTGATGGTGATAGCCCTAACACTGATGGCATTCACATTCAACGTTCTCAGAATGTTATCGTATACGAAAGTAACATCCGTACAGGTGATTGATTCATCATTTATTTTTGTACTGTCTAAAACAAGATCGAATAAGATGTTTATCCAAGTCTCTCCTAATTAGGTTAGAGTTATAATACAATTAAAATGTATCTTTTTTATCTTTAAGAACCATAATTCCAACCGCTTTTATCGATTTTTGATGATTTTAGGTGATGATTGTATATCTATTGGCGACGGTTCAAAATACATCAATATATCACGAATCTCATGTGGTCCGGGGCATGGAATAAGGTACTTTTCTTCCATTGTTATGGTTACCTATTTTAACTTTGATTATGGTAAAATTATTATAAATTATGTGATCAAGTTATTTTGCCTAAACAAGTATCGGAAGCTTAGGTCGATATGGAACCAAAGAAACAGTGGAAAATGTTGTTGTTCGAGATTGTACCTTTAGAGAAACAACTAATGGGGTTAGAATCAAGACATGGCAGGTAAAACTGATTTATTTGTTTTTGTTCTCCCTAATTTAGATATTGTAATTAGAGTAATGACAATATCATTTTGTTATTGTTTGTATTATTTAGGGGGGAAGAGGACAGGTGCGAAATGTTTTATTTGAACGTATAAAGCTACATGGGGCAACACGACCTATCATTATCGACCAGTTTTATTGTCCTCACTCACAATGCAAAAACCATGTAAGTAATCTTTGCTTCTCCTTCTATTTATTTTTCTTGTATTAATTTAAGAATACCTAGGCCATAATATCTATAGAAGTGTTTAAAATAGTAATTTAAAGTATTAGCATAATTGTCATCATTTTACAAACTAGTACATTTCTTAACACTAATCCACATTCGTGTTTGCATATTATATTAGGAAGATATATGGTATTTATAAAATGAAAGCAGATATAATAAGAAAATTCGATTTATAAGAACGAATATATTTTAGCCATCAAATACAAAACTTTTTGCTATGTGATGCTGCTTGAGGTAATTATTTTGTTCTAGTCTTTTTTTTTTTATATATATATAAAATTTGATATCTTGAATATGTGACTATATTTGTCTGATTTATAGTAGATATTTAACGATTCATAGTTTGCTAAGATTATTGACAAGGATAGTGGAATTTTTGGGTAACAAACATATCACTAAACTAATATTTGATGTTTAATTCTCATATGTACAGACGAAAGCTGTGGAGATTAAGAATGTAATGTACAATCACATACATGGAACATCAATCAAGAAACCCTTTGTGCAACTCCTATGCAGCAAATCAGTCCCATGTAGAGGTATATTCATGAACGATATAAACATTCGCAGCGAAAACGAAGATGAAGAAGAGAAATACCATAACTCATTGTCTCGTCATGATGATCATCCTTCTGCTGAATGCATCAATGTTAAAGGAGAATCTAATGGTGTAATGAAGCCAAAACTAGCTTGCTTGGAATCCAGAAGAAATTGATTTATCTAGAACACTTTGTTAGTTTATTTATCCTTCAGTTGTTCTGATTAGAACTATATAGTGCTTGTGTATTTTCATTTCTGATTTATTTTGAGAACTAAAATAATAAAAATTTGCGTTTTGGTGAATTTTTTTTACCATAACTAAAATAAATTCATAAACATATACCACAACTTATCATCAACAAAGGGTTTGATTAAATTACTCGACACTAAAGTTGGTTATATTGTGATCACATGACCACAAACTCACATTGAAAATGGTACAATCGATAGCTAAATTGAGCAACAATTTAACCAATAAAATTTTGTTTCTAAAATAGTTATGAAGATTATGAATTTAACTAATGGCTTATAAGACAATCCGGTTCGGTTAAAGGCTAGGCATAATTAAATACTCGTTACTTGTCTCGTACCCGCTACTTGCCTTGTATTCGCCTTGAAAAAACAGGTACTTATCGTTGGCAAGCCGGGTAACAAGTATCAAAATTTTATTACTTGCAAGTCCAAGCCAGGTACCAAGTCTTAAAAAAAAATTATTACCCGGCTTGTTTGACTCGTTACTCGTTTTAATATAGAAAGAACTTTAATAACTTATTTGAATTTATATATTTATAGTTTATAACTTTCAAAAACCAAAATTGAAAAGATAAAAAAAAAAAAATAGAATTTTGAATGTTTTGAGATTTATATTGTATGAGATTGTTTTTATATTCAAGTATTTTAATTCAAGTAGCAAATCTCTTACAAGTAACAAGTTAGATAAAATTATTTTGCAAGTCATAAGACAAGGCAAGTTACTTGCAAATAATCAGATTTTAAACGAGCAAGTACTTGCTTCGGACAAGATAAGTATCAAATCCAAAAATCAATTATTTGAACGGGCTAAAACGGCTCACAAATACTTGAAAATTAGCAAGTACTTGCCTTGTGGCCAAGCCTATGTTAAACCACTCAACAACAAGGTTATTGAAATCCCCTGATACGGTGACGTATTAGCACAGAGATAAACCGGTTTGGTTAAAAACCACACAACAATAACGTTGGTTAATGAAATCCCCCTAATACGGTGTCGTATTAGCGCAGAGATGAATTTCCTCTAACCTCTTCTTCGTGTTGTTGAGCTCCAATCTCACTATTACGCAAAACCCCCAAATGGGTTCTATGTACAGAGCATCTAAAACCCTAAAATCATCAAGACAAGCATTTTCAATCTTGTTCAATTCACTCAAATCCACTCGAAAAACTCCGACATGTATCGGATTGTACCAAGCTTACGGTTTTAGCTCTGATTCTAGACAAAGCTCCAAAGAACCCACCATTGATTTGACCAAGTTTCCATCAGAAAAGATTCGAAATTTCTCCATCATTGCTCATATTGATCATGGGAAATCTACTTTGGCTGATCGTCTCATGGAACTTACTGGTACAATCAAGAAAGGTCATGGTCAGCCTCAGTATCTCGACAAATTACAGGTACTGTTTTACCTTAAAGTTGATGTCTTTCATTGTCAAATTTGAGAATGGTTATGGTTTTTGAGGTGATATGTTTGAATTGAGTAGAAATGACAATCATGGTAGTGATTATCTCAATAAAGTTTTGATTTTTAGGTAGAAAGGGAGAGAGGAATCACTGTGAAAGCTCAGACGGCGACGATGTTTTATGAAAACAAAGTAGAAGATCATGAAGCGAGTGGTTATCTTTTGAACTTGATTGATACACCGGGTCATGTTGACTTTAGTTATGAGGTTTCTAGATCTTTATCAGCTTGTCAAGGTGCTCTTTTAGTTGTTGATGCGGCTCAAGGTGTTCAAGCGCAAACAGTGGCTAATTTCTACTTAGCTTTTGAAGCTAACCTTACTATTGTACCTGTGATTAACAAGATTGATCAACCAACTGCTGATCCTGAGCGTGTTAAAGCTCAGTTGAAATCGATGTTTGATCTTAATACTGATGATGTGCTTCTTGTGTCTGCTAAAACTGGTTTGGGTCTTGAGCATGTTCTTCCTGCGGTTATAGAACGGATACCTCCTCCTCCTGGGATTAGTGATTCGCCTCTACGGATGCTTTTGTTTGATTCTTTTTTTAATGAGTATAAAGGTGTCATTTGCTATGTTTCCGTTGTTGATGGAATGTTGAGTAAAGGAGATAAGGTTTCGTTTGCTGCGTCGGGTCAGTCTTATGAAGTATTAGATGTCGGGATTATGCATCCTGAGCTTACTTCGACAGGAATGCTTCTGACAGGACAAGTTGGTTATATAGTAACTGGCATGCGAACCACGAAAGAGGCACGTATTGGAGACACTATATATAGAACGAAAACCATTGTTGAGCCTCTTCCAGGTATTTCTTTTTTGTCTCTTGTGCAACTCCTAAGATCTTTTGTAATTAAGGATAGATGAGCTTAGGAAGAGAGAACTTCATTTTTCTCGTTTTTAGATCCTATTTGCTAATGTATAACTCCAATAAGCTGCTTAAAAATCCGTTTTTAAGCTCGCTGACTTGTGTTTAATCATGTGGAATCTAGGTTTCAAGCCGGTGAGGCATATGGTGTTCTCAGGCGTTTATCCTGCTGATGGATCTGATTTTGAAGCACTTAGTCATGCCATAGAGAAACTGACATGCAACGATGCAAGTGTATCAGTGGCTAAGGAAACAAGTACAGCTCTTGGAATGGGATTTAGATGTGGTTTCCTCGGTTTGCTTCACATGGATGTATTTCATCAACGGCTTGAGCAAGAATACGGTACACAAGTAATCTCCACCATCCCTACTGTTCCTTACACATTTGAATACTCAGACGGAAGCAAGCTACAAGTGCAGAATCCAGCTGCCTTACCCTCAAACCCCAAATACCGAGTCACAGCTTCTTGGGAGCCAACGGTAATCGCCACAATCATCCTTCCAAGTGAGTACGTAGGAGCTGTTATCAACCTCTGCTCTGATCGAAGAGGTCAGCAACTAGAATACACATTTATAGATGCACAACGAGTTTTCTTGAAATACCAGTTACCATTGAGGGAAATAGTTGTGGATTTCTACGATGAGTTAAAAAGCATAACGTCAGGGTATGCTTCTTTCGACTACGAGGATGCAGAGTACCAGGCATCAGATCTGGTGAAGCTCGATATACTCTTGAACGGGCAAGCAGTTGATGCGTTAGCCACTATAGTTCACAAGCAGAAAGCATACCGTGTGGGTAAAGAACTGGTTGAGAAGCTTAAGAACTACATAGAGAGGCAAATGTTTGAAGTAATGATACAAGCTGCTATTGGTTCAAAGATCATTGCAAGAGACACAATCTCGGCGATGAGAAAGAATGTTCTTGCAAAATGTTATGGAGGAGACATAACTCGGAAGAAGAAGCTTCTAGAGAAACAGAAAGAAGGGAAGAAACGGATGAAACGAGTTGGTTCTGTTGATATTCCACATGAAGCTTTTCAACAAATACTCAAAGTCTCTTAGAAAGTCCTCAAGAGAAGACAAAGACAAGCCAAGTAGTTTATGAAAAAAAAAAAAAAAAATAGTTTTTTATGAAATTAAAGATTATTTTTTGAGAAATTATAAATTTTTGTTTTTTTTGCTGGAAATTACTGTTTGTAAAATTCTCGAGCCACAAGTTTTGAGGTCCTCACGATTTAGAACGTTGAGAATAATTTTGGACATGAAAGGCCTTTTCTGTGTTGGTGAGGGGGTTTTGTGACTAAATTTCAAACTAATGGGATTCTTTTGTGAAGCGTGTCAAATCTAGTGCTCTTTTCGAAATTTAAAATATTTAAGTGGAAAAAGAAGAGTATAATTGGAGATGCGGGGTATCGATCCCCGTACCTCTCGCATGCTAAGCGAGCGCTCTACCATCTGAGCTACATCCCCATTTGATAATCATTACTGCTTATGAAAATATTTAAACGCACGAGACAAGACATAATACGACAACGACTTGCAAGGATCTTTGACCAAAACAGAGACTACAACATTCCGACAAAGGTGTGTACTTGTTACTCTTTACTATCTATATAAATACTAGATTTGTCCTTGTGTGTACTTTCAAAAACCTCTTTTTATATACAACCAAAAACCAACAGAAATCAAGAAACAAAGAAAATAGAGGTTTTTTTTTTTGCTATGCTTCAATTTGTTTTTTTTACATTCATTCTTTGATGGTTGGTCCACTATACATCATTGCAGTAACCGTCAAATCCTCTGGCTCCTCTTCCCTCTCCTTCAACCATGCATAGCCTTCCTTCTCCTCTTCCGCAACCGCAACTCCATCCACTGAACATTCCGAAAAAAAACAACACAAAGATCTCAACTACTAAATAGGCAAGCTGCAAGCGTGAGCATTTGTTTTACTACGGTTAGATACCGGTATTATAGGTTTTGGGAAACAAATCCAACCTAGAAACAAATTTTATTTCGGTATAGTTTGCAAAATTCTATTCAATTTTGGAGTCATATTTGAATGTAATTCTTCCATATTTAAGTTTATCAAACTCTCTTTCCTATTCGGGTTATTATGAAATTCAGGTTCGGTGTTTATGTTCAACACTACTACTGTACTACTAGTTAGATTCTAACACAAAGCATAGAAAAGGTTTCGAAAACAATACCTGAGAAACTCGAGAACGGATAATCAAAGTAGTAAGTACAATGACGTCCTGCGGGATCAGAGTAAGGAGGACCAAGAACATCAAGAACCGCACAAGCTGTTTTCGCGGTGAAGCAATGCATATTCCCTCCATCAGCCGGATAGAGTATAGAAGTATCACAAGGTGCCGTAAAATCCGAATCTACTTTCACTTTCGCCAAACGAGTATCTGAACTCGGCTCTACATTGATCCAAAAGAACAACAACACATGTTAAACAACAACATAATCAAAACACTAATCCTAAGCTCTGAATGATGTAATATACTTACGGGGAGAATCCGCAACCCAATCATAGGATTTGATATGCATTGTACCAAACAAGAGCTTACTAAACACAGTCATCTCCGGGTGATTATGAAGAGGGATTACACCAGATGGTGGTAAACAGAAAATGCAAATCTTGCAACACACAAAACAAAACCAAATAAGAGAATTACGAAACCATAAAGAACAGAGCAATTCAAGATTTCTTAAGATATATACCGAGAATCTATGACATGCATAGATGTGAAGATACGTCACTAACGGAGATCGTCCGGTCTCTTTAGATCGAAAAAACGACATCTTAGGACTCACACCAACATCCTCAGGCTTGATTTCGTCTGATCAAGAGATTAAACAATGAATCATCAATGAAGTTTCAAACTTTACAACAACCCACTAACCCGAAATTTCCGAAGGATCATAGAATTTACCCAAAACGGCACGAAGCATCTTAATGTTTTCTTGAGAAGGGACGGTTCCTGATTTGCCATTAGCGAAAACTTTCTTACAAGTATCAAACAGTTTCTGAACCGGACAGATTAGGGTTTTCTTGCTCCGTCGTTGGATCTTCTTACGTGAATTAGAACGATTCTCAGAAGCGACAGATTTCGACACCAACGGAATATTCCCATTTGGATTCGTTTTTGAGAGATCTTTCCTTACTCGTCCAGACACAACAGTACCAGTTCTCATTTAAAACCCTAGTTTTCTTTCTCCCGACAAAATAAAAAACAGAACATTCAATCAAAAAGTTATCGAACACTGTTCGATTTGTTAAGAGTAAAATTGAGAGAAGAGGGCAAAAGAACAGTTTCGGGAAAAACGAGGAGAAGGTGAGAATAAAAATAGGAAAGGATTGGATAAAAGTGGATTTTTGAAGAAGATAGATTCGAATGAGAAGAGAAACCAGGGGCCATGTTTTTTTTTTTGGTTAGTCAAGAGAGGTTTTTTCTTCTTCTATGGGCGGGTTTAATTTCCAACGGCGGGTTTTGTTTCACACTAAACACAGATTTTTTATATTATTATTGCCCCTTAATTTTTCATCCTTTTTTGGATATTTGGCAATGGAAATACAATGGGTAAAAAGTGTGTAAATGGTAAAGCTAGAATTAAAAATATAATAATGATTTGGTAATATTTAAGATTATAAAAATAAATGATGGTAGATGTGGAAAAAGTGATGGACAAATGGGTAAATATTTAATGTTTATATGTTATGTCTCTTTGCCTAGAGTTTGATATATTTTATATAAATGATTTAATTGAATTTACTCATAGTTTTATGTATGAGCAAATTAGATGAGAGACAAGATTTTGAGGCTAAATTAAATTTTTGATAATACCAGTTATTAGGCTAATATCAGTTATTGGATAGAGCAATGGATATATTTTATCCTGATTCATACCAAAATGGTCCGACCCGTTTTGGTACATACAGAGACAATTGACATCATCATTTGGTACGTTAATCAAAATCAACTGCATTAACTAATTTCAATTTCAACAAAATATAGAAATTTTATTGCCATTCATTTTGTCTTTTGGGTGTCTAAGTGAGAGAAAAAAATCATTCCGCTCAAAACTTTCGAGAACTCTAGAATTTGAAGTGGTGAGATTCGAAAGTCAAGCCATTGATAAATATGCGATAAGAATGTTATTAATTAAAAATACTGCAACTTTTACAAAGTTACATATAGATAAATATCGCAAGGCAATTCCCTTCCTTCGTATTTTATTGAAAAACAAACACATAATTTTAATAAAGATGAACTCATGGCTTCCTTCCTCTGTTGTGAAAAAATGCATAAAATTATGCCTTCGTCGAAGCAAAATGTTTGTAATGTGGCCTCTTCAGTGCCCTGAATCCATCTTGTCCGGCGACTTTCATCTTCCCCGCGGCATCATATTGAGCTTTACCTCCAAATCCAACATTGAAGAAATCTTTAAATAACGGAGATTGAGCATATAGTTCTCTTCTTTGCGCTTTACCGCGAATTTTATCTCCGAAAAACTGACCTAAATATTTATCGAAAACGCTTTGGGACAATTCGTTCTCTATTTCACTAGTAGGAGCTGCGGCATTGATTCCAGCCGGAGCTTCGGCCTTGATTCTGGCAGAATCTACGAAATAGAGTTCTCTTTTGTGAGCTTTACCGCGCATTTTATCTCCGAAAAAATCACCAAAAAATTTATCAAAGTTGCTTTGGGAAAACTCTTCGGATATTTCACCGGTCGGAGCTTTGGCATTGCCTCTGGCCGGACGATCTACGATATAGAGTTCCCTTCCGCGACCTCTTCTTCCGCGAACTTTTTGTGCCAAAGAAGCATGGATAGCAATTTTTTCATCGGCTTGCTCTACGCCTGGTAGTTGGTTAAAGAGTTCTCTTCGGTGAGTTTGACCTCCGAGATAACCATTAAAGAAGCCAGAAAATTTATCTAAAATGGATTCAAATCCTTTGACGTCAGCACCAACATGAGAATTAGCGTTGTATTTAGCTTCTGTTAGTTCTCTTCCATGAGTTTTACCTCCTAGATAACCACCAAACTTATTGAAAAAACTTTTGAAAGCATTTCGTACTTTTTCACGTCTTTCTCCAAGTGCTCTTGCGTGAAGACCTATTTTCTTCATCTTCTTCTTCTCAAGATTGTTAACCACATTCATGAAAACATTAATCGAATTCTTGAAATTTATCATAGCGTGATTGAGCTTTTTCGCTTCGTGAGCCGTGATCTTAGCATCAGCCTTGTATTCATGTTTGGCTGATATCTTGACAATCGTTTCTTTAATCTGGAGAAACCCTTTTGTCAAATCAGCATAGGTTTTCTTTAGCTTCAAAGAAGTTTTCTTATTGACCTTACCGCTAACACTAGCTTGTGCAGCAAGAATTGCCTTGGTCATTAGGGCGTATCTGGCCTTGGCTATTCCTAAAACATCTACAATGGGATTCTCAAACTTGTAGAGGCTCTCAAGGTATGCCACGTAGCCTTTGCACATTGAGAACATTACCTCGAACTCAGGGGTTTGCGGGGCAAACCGCTCTTTCCGGTTTAGGATCTCAGTGATTTCGGCAAAAGGTAAGGTCTGGATCTCAGATACGGTTTTTGGACATGCCGGTTTTCGCGGTGTCACGGGAGGAGCGTGACCGGAAACAGAAAGGAACAATGAGCCGAGGGCTAGAACAAAGGCTAAAGAGAACAACAGAGAGATCCTTGCCATGGTTGTATTGCTTATGGCAAGGCAAAATTTGTTTGAAAAACGATCCCTAAAAGAGATAATAAAATACGAAGGAAGTGCGTTTTGATTTTGAGATCTAGGAATGGTATATATACTTTTCTCTTTTAACTCTTATAAGCTAATTATAGAACACAAAAATGGTTACTTAAAATGAGAAAACAAAAAAGAAAAGACAGAGAGATTCATGGAACTCTGTTACTTTTTTTCCTTTTTAAGAATTTTATTGAATGATAGAGGAAAAAATACGTGTATAAGCGTTATCAGTTTCAAACAATCGTTTCCTAGGTTAACAATAATAATTCGTTACTTAGTTTCTTAACTTTATGGGTAGACACCGAGGTTGGCTTAGTGTACATAGTGTAAACTGGAATTGTACTTTCCGTCTCTCTCTATTTACAAAACAAATGAATAACAAGAAAACTTCTATTGACCTTCTAATTAAGGAATAAAATTGTTCTCGATTGTAGTCTTAAATGCAACAATTTTCTATTTAATTACCATAATATAAGTATCATTTTTTACTAGATGAAGTGTATGATTGGTGCAGATAATCAAGAGGTAGCGTTCTTTACAGACTGTTCTGATCTGGTGAAAATGGTGTCTTCTCCAACTGAATGGCCGGCGTTTTCAGTGTATATGGAGGAATTTCAGAGCGACAAGGACGAATTCTCAATTTTATTTTTATATTTAATTTTTCGTAGTGCTAATGTAAAAGCGGATAATCTGGCACGAAAAGTTCGTACAGAACCTCTTCATATCACATAGGTAAACAACATTCCCCTGGAATGGCTATTTTGAGCTCTAATTAATTCGGATGACAAAAGAAAAAAAATATCATTTTTTACTGTCCCAGTGAAATGTATATACACATTATAGAACTAAGGGCAACAATATAGGTTGTGATTTTAGTGCATATACTCCAAAAGAATGTAAAAGAGGAGAACCATTAGGTTCTTTGCTATTCTTTTTTTTTTTTTTAAATCTCTATCCACCAATTTTTCTCTTAAATAAAAGTCTTGTTTCCATGATTCTAAAGATAGAGTCCTTTATATTTCTATATATGAGACTTTAGAGTCTTCAAAAGTAAAACAAAATTGTCAATCTACGTTTCTCATACAATGCCAAGATTTCAACTTTTTTTCTGTTTTACCATCCTTGTTGCAACCATAACCTTCTTCAATGTAGCTTCAGCTCACGTGAAAATTAAACCTGCTTTACCGCAGATTGAAGATCCATCTACCGTAAAAGATGTCGAGTCTTATACCATTAAAGTTGTGACAACCTTCTTGGTTGACCTCGAGAAGGAATGCCCCAAAACAGAAAAGTTTAAGGTCTTCTTCGAAAAACTCAAGGCGTATTCCAAGTACGTGTGCCCGGTCTCTAAAGCAAAAGGCTACGAATCTGACATGAAGGCCAAGGCCGGTAGCCTTTTCGAGGCAATCTCAGCTCTGGGTTCCGTTAAAAACAGATCTAGAGGAGGATCAGTAAGTGACTAAATTTTTATTGTTGTGTCCATCAAACTAGAAAAACTTTATAAAATTGATTAGGAGGTTTATATATGTATGAAATCAAACGATCGAATTGAAAATTTTTCAAACTGAAACGAATTGATACTTTTAAAAAATCAAATAATATCATCATTGGTACGAAAATCAAACGATCAGATTTGATTCCAACTATACTATTTTTTCATATTGGTTACTTTTTATTTCAATTATATACTAAAATGAAGTTATGGCTTAACAAACGTTTTGTTTCCTTCTGCCAACCTAGGTGAATAAGAGTCTACAACGGGAAAAAACGGAAGCCATGAATACCGTAAAATTACTTCAATCCATTGGTGAGAAGATTGCGAATGGGCAAAATAACAAAACAGAGATTAACGGAATCGTGAAACTAACTATAGAGCAACAAAAAGAAATCAAAGATGGGATTTTGAAATGGCTTCAAGTAATTACTCGCATCGCAAAGACAACCGAAGAAATCAACTCAAAATCTTCATCAAAATCTCAAACAATGCAAGAGAGCAGAGAAGAAAAATCTTCAACACAAACACAAATCAAAAGAGGAAGTCAAAGAGAAAATGCTCAAATCACAGCGTTACCTAGAGGTAGCCGCGTGACAAGGGTAGGAAATAACAATGATATCTCAAAAAGTGCTAGAAATTCTGATTGATGATAATGGAAACAAAAGAAGAAAGCCAAAGAAGAATACAAATATTTAAGAAGAGGGTAAGAAAGTTACAAGTAGGAGAAGCAAAATAGAGAGTAGCAAAAATACAATCGGTTTATACGATAGACTGATTTATACGAATATATAGATTGTACGGTTGTACCTAAAGCTCAAAGAGAAGTAATGAGACGACGACCCATGAAAGTGTTTTTGGGTTAATATGTTTTCTTTTTTTTTTGGTGATGAACCGAAACAAATAATAATGTTTAAAAATTTAAAATAAAAGCTAGAGATCACAGATTATTAAAAATCAAGCTCTTAATTACGTACGAAGTACATTGCAATACAACTAAAAACTTGAGAAAATTACAGATTTTAAAAAAACATGGAGACAGATATGGAAAGGGGCAGCAAAACTGAGAGCGGAGGGTCCAATCAGCCATTTAGCCCACATGAAGTAATAATTATTAGGCCAATCTCAATGTCTTGAATCCATGTGTGTCTCCTTACTAGCATTTATTCTGAAGATTATAATATGTGTTTAGTAATTTCATCTATCGATTTTTTGTTTGCCAAATTCTTGTACTTTTCAGCAAAGCATCTTCAAAACATAAGTCGTTCTATAATCAATTTTTGAGTTACAAATATGATTTACTTAAAAAATAAAGTCAATCTTTGTATTAATTTAGGTATAAACTATAGTAAATTTCTTCTTATGTAAACAAATATTTCCAACTTTATTTAAGTTCATATTGAAGTCTTTGTATTTTAACTATTAATGTAAGTTTGTAAGTAGTTCGGATTACAAGAAATCAATTTTATTGAGACGAAGTTTAAGACTAATAATATACGTCACCAATTTGTGACTTTTTTGATACGTTTTTTGTGACTAAATATATTTGTCACAATTTCGTAGTAATTTCGTCACAAAATTGTGACGGTTTTGATCATGACCGAAATTTGTCTCAATTAGCGACAAAAATATTACGGTTTTATGACCGAAACAAGTGTGACGATTTTGTGACGTATATATAGTCACAACTTAGTAAACGAATATGGGAGTCACAATTTGTGACATTAGAGTGACTAAATAGTAGTCATGAATTGATACCAATGAGTGACAAAGTATTTTGTTATAAATAGTTTCGTAATTTTGTTACAATTTCGTCCCAATGTGGACTTATTAACAACATTTAAAAAGTTATCATCTTCATATATTTAAAAATATTTCAAACCGTTATTATCTTAATGTATTTTTGTTATAATATTTTTAGATGAGATAAAGACTATTTTTCTTAGTAGATAAACTTTAAAAGTATATATTTAATTTTAATTCTAATCCTAGTAAAAATAGGAATCTTATCGATCAACATATACATATATATTATCTTGTTTATGTGGAAGGACTTATAAACACATTAAAAATCATATCAATTAACAAAGGTTTTGCCCACGTTACGTTGATCTAGAAGTGCTCGTGAAGGAAGAAAGGTTTTGCCCACGGCGCTGTGTCTTCTCTTACAAGTAAGAAATAAATTGTTTTATGTGTCTCTCATATCAATTAGTGTTTGATTCCCTCACGTCAGTACAAAAAGTCAAACTGGTTTAGTACTTCGTCAAATTTGTTCTTAGAGTCCAGTCCAATGAATGTTTATTAATAAGCTCATGCTTAGTTTTCACTTGTCTCATGGTCTGTTCTAAATGCTGCGGTATGTTTCAGTTTTGCTAACACGTTAACCTTAAAACATCTGTAAATATTTTTTTTATTTTGATATAACAATTACACATCTAAACAAAAAAAATATAATGCTTATTAATAATAAACGAATACAAACTCATAACTCATGTTACTATGTATTAAGTTATAAACGTAACTACTGACTTATTTTTTATTAATGTTTTTAATATTTCTTTGTTGAGTTGCAGGAACAATCGAATAATAATACAACTGCTAGAGAGTACTAATCGGCAATAATACGTCCAAAAGAGTATAAAGGTTACATATATGTGTATATATGCAGTGAATTAAAGTTTTCAGTTTCTCTTACAATTCTAATACTAATAATTTTCTCATATAGTTTATTATTTTTCTGATAACTGGTTTTTAATATTGTAGGTTTAATTTAATGTCGTCGAACAACAATATTCCAGCAACAAGACGTTGGATGTATGAAAGAATCGATCACAGAACTAATGACGTTTCAACAGAATATTACCAAGAATTGAAAAATTTTATAAGATTTGCTAAGAATCAGCCTTTATTTCTTGAGAAAAGCAAACTCTTTTGTCCTTGTATTAAGTGTGAGAATGGAAAAATGTTGCCTGAGATGACCGTGACGAAACACTTATATAACCGAGGATTTATGCTTAACTATTCAGTTTGGATTTCTCATGGAGAAGATTACAATATGTCAGACAATCATTCTGCTACCGTGGATGCTTTTGGGTCTGCATCTCACACTGAACCAGTGAATCCTTATGCAACAATGGCTTCAGAAGCATTTGATAATCCAGAATCAAGATTTGGTGAAAACATAGAAGAAGAGCCCAATGCTGAAGCAAAAAGGTTTTATGATATTTTGGATGCTGCAAAAAATCCAATTTATGATGGATGTAAAGAAGGTCTTTCACAACTATCTTTAGCAGCTCGACTCATGAGTTTGAAGACAGATTATAATCTTTCTCAAAATTGTATGGACGCAATTTGTGAAATGATGCAAGAATATTTGCCCGAAGGTAACAAGTCAATGAAATCGTACTACGATATAAAGAAGCTTATGCGGTCTTTAGGATTACCTTATCAAAAAATTGACGTTTGTCAAGATAATTGCATGCTTTTTTGGAAAGATGATGCATCATTAGAGAATTGTAAGTTCTGTGGCAAAGATAGATTTCGTCCTACTCAGCTTGGGCATAAAAGAGTTGCATATCGCCAGATGTTTTATTTACCGCTTGCCGACAGATTAAAGAGATTGTATCAATCTGGTAATACTGCAAAAGATATGAGATGGCACGCAGAACACTCGGTGAAAAGCGGGGAAATGTCTCATCCGTCTGATGGAGAATCATGGTTTCTTAATTATGAAAGATTATGATTGATTTGTGGTAATAAAATGTGACGAAGTTGGGATGATAAAATAGTTGGAAATGAGAACCGATTGATAACGTCTTTTTAGTTATAACTAGAGACAGTCTTGGAACGGTATGATTGTCACAAAGTATTACATTTTGGTGACGATGATTTAGTCGGTACTTTTGACGATTTAGTGACTATAGTTCCGTTGTAAGAAATGACATAATTGTGACGCTTTTTTAGTCATCACTAGTAACGATTTAGTAACTATATTTTCGTTTTCATATGTGACAAAAATGTGACGTTTTGATAGTCACGACATATGACGATTTTTCGACGATGTTTTTAGTCGGTAGACGTGACGATAAAGCAACGATTTTTTAGTCATCACTAGTAACGATTTAGTAACAATATTTTCGTTTTAATTAGTGACAGAACTGTGACGTTTTGATAGTCACGACATATGACGATTTTAAGACTCTAATTATAGTCGGTAAATATGACAGTTTTGTTACTTTTATTTCTCGTCGCTGTTTGTGACAAAACAGTTACCAAATATAACGTCACAAACATTGTGACGTTTTTGATACAGAAAAAATTTTGTGACGAATGTATTGCAACCGTTTACAGTTAGTCACAAATTCGTCACGGTATTTTTATTGTTACGGATTTGTTGGCATAGTGACGAAATATTAAGTCTCAATAAAATTAATTTCTTGTAGTGACGTATATATATATTTACTTATGTAAGTTCCTCGCGTTTTGTTCTCACTTGCATTGTTCCGTTTTAAGGAGGGGTAATTCTTTCTTGTGAGTTGTATACAAACTTTTATCATGAAATAGATGTGAAGATTGCTTATATGATGGGGTAATTCTTTCTTCTAGAGAAAGTTTATAGATAGCAACGGCTTTTTCAACCTTTGGTACTTTAATCACACTAATAGGATTATTTCCAAAATTAAGTAAACAAAAACTAAATAAAATTCAACAAAAATAAAAAGATCTTGTGAGGAGCGTCGATCACGCAACTACAAAAGGACATCGTCAAGCAGAAGTCAAAATTATATTTTTAAAAAAAATCTCACAAAATTTAAAATTAAATTCTCTTTTTAATGCACACATTTTCCATTTCTCTCTCTACAACTTTTTAGAAAAAAAGTAGGACCTGACAACGAAGAAGATGATGATCATCAATATCATCATCATCATAAAGATTCCTCTCTAGTGCCCTTCTTTCTTCGTTCATCGATTTCTCAATCTGACATTTGATCAACCAATCTTCTCTGTTTTGCAGAATTGGTCCAAACAGAATCTTCTCTGTTTTGCAGAATCTTCTCTATTTTTCTTCTTCTTCTTTTACGATCTCTCTGCTTTCTCTATCGTTGTTTTCAAGATCTTCGTAATTTCCTTCTATTATTCTTACACATCTCGCTAAATTTTATGACATCTCATTGAATTTAGCAAACCCTTTTGTCTGAAATCTATTCTCGGTCCAAAAATCAAAGCTTTTGTTTCTTCCCTTTTCTCTGTTTTCGATTTGGTTGATTAAAATGGGTTGTGCGAGCTCAAAGAATCGAAACCGTTGCCGTAATTGCAAGGGAGGATTATCGCCGGTGATTGTGCCACGAAGCTATTCAATGCACGTTCATCATCCAGCACAACACACCGGAGATAGTTATCACACGGTGGCTCTCACTTCCTCCACAATTGGATCTCTTAGTCTTTGTGATTCTTCTCTCAGGCATTTTCACAAACACTTGGAAGACTCTATTTACAAGCAACGCGTTTCCGAGCAAATGTGTGAGGAGAAGCTAATCTCCGGTAATGGGTTTCTTCACGGCGATGAAGAGAATGATATTAAGGTCAGAGATTTCAGAGAGAAGATGAATTTGGATTTGCAAGCTAAGGTTATTGAAGCTAGGGTTTGGTCAAGTATGATAAACGAGAAAATACCTAAGATTGTGCCTAAAACTCCAATAGTGACGCCTCCTGGAGAGCCAGAGACGATCAATACGTGGGAATTGATGGAAGGTCTTGAAGATGTTAGTCCTTTACGATCACCGAATCACTTGAGGAGCTTCTCTTTTGATGTTGTTCGTATCCAACCTAGTCATGATGTTGATGTTTCGTTTGATCGTGCTAAATCAAGGTTTCGTGAGAATGTTAAGTCCAATAGCAGAGTTGATGATTTGGAGCCACCTGAGATAGTTTCAACTTTCACGAAATCGCTTGAAGAAAAAGGAAACTGCAAAAGAAAGAGTTTAGGTAAAGAAAAAGTGAGACTTTACTTCACAAGCCTTAGAGGTATAAGGAAAACATATGAAGACTGCTGCAATATCCGGATAATACTGAAAAGCTTAGGAATTCGGATCGATGAGCGCGATGTATCAATGCATTCGGGTTTCAAAGATGAGCTGAAGAAGCTATTGGAGGATAAATTCAACAATGGCGTTGGAATAACACTGCCTAGAGTTTTCTTGGGGAACAAGTATCTTGGCGGAGTAGAGGAGATTAAGAAGTTGAATGAAAATGGAACACTTGAAAAGCTGATAATAGACTGCGAAATGGTTGAAGATGGCTTAACGGGTTTTGGTAACGAATGTGAGGCTTGTGGAGATGTTCGGTTTGTGCCGTGTGAGACATGTTCAGGCAGCTGCAAAATTTACCATGAAGAAGAAGTTACAGAGTATGGATTTCAAAGATGTCCATATTGTAATGAGAATGGATTGATCAGATGTCCTGTGTGTTGTGACTTGTGAGTGAGTCAATATACAAAACTCTGTTTCCCTTTTTTTTTGGGGTTACTATTTTTCATTTTGTGGCCGTGTTGAGGCTCTCGAGTAGATATTGTTAGTATTGTACAGTGGGGTTCTAATTGATATGGAAAGTAGATTTTAGGTCAAACAAAATTTTGACAAAAAAATTGAGGGAAGTTGGGGTGTTGTTGTAACACAAAACCAAAACAATAGAAAAGTATCTGTTTTCGTATTTGTTTAAACTTTAAACCTATCACTTATTTCTATTTAACTAAAAAAAAAGAAGGTTCATTTACAATATTATTCCAAAACGACGTTTTAAATTCTGTTGAAAAATACACAATTTATAACAAAGCAATATACACGAAGACTATTTAGCGGGTTACTTTTGAGTTTGCAATGTTGACTTGCATTTTATCAAGTTGGAGGGTATAGTTGCAAAAAATGGCGATTTTGAGGGTTTTTTTTTGCACAAAACTTAGAAAAAGTTATTGAATGATTGCATTTGAAAGAATTCATATGAACACATAAGTGAAAATAGTTATTTTCTAAATAATTCTATTTTCAGAATTAGATCTTTAGAACAAAATTTGTTATTAAGATATAGTCAATCTTTTCAGTGACAAATAAACCACACCAAGGATTACTTCATTAATTATTCAATGCATTAAAAAAACAAAACAATAATTATCGATATTAAGAGGCATGCAAGTTGATGAGATTCCCCTTAGTATCAATATATTGACGCGAGGTTTGGAAGGATTAGGCGTAAGAACAAGATATATCATCCCTAACCCAGCAGTGGCATGTGAGTTTTGACTGTGGCTTCGGTAGATGTAGACATGCGCCGTTTGGATAATTATCATTGCGGCAAGACTCTTTACACAATGCGTTTCCATTACTTTTAAAGCAGTTCCCAGGTGCCGCTAACCTACTGGGTCTCTTCTCACAATAAGGACTAGAGCGTTTAGTATTTCCTTTTGGCATTCCTAATGACTCACAAAATAAATAAATAAAGTCACCGTTATGATTTGGGTTTGGATTGTTTTAAAAGTTAAATTTTGCATTTGCGCTTTCATTTACAAATGTTTTTGTTTTACATATTTTGAATATGAAAAATTTGAATGCTTTTTTTGTAGAATATATTACTCTTTCGTTTTTGTTTATCATTTATTTTTATTCGTCTTATTTCACAAAGGTTTCTCCGTGTATAATTCAAGAATCTCATCGTCAGCTCCCTTCAATATATCTATCCAAAACAAGATCTCGTCCCCAAAGAGTATTCTTGAGCTTGGTTTTTTCAAACCGGCCCCAAGTTCCGGTGTTGGTGACCGATGGTACCTTGGCATGTGGTACCGAAAGCTGCCTAATGAAGTTGTTTGGGTTGCCAACATAGACAATTCACTCTCCAAGCCTATATCTTCAAAATCTTCAATGTGACTGGCCAAAGTCTGACTGAAGTCGGAACTAACCGCCGAGCTTCTTGACAACGGCAACTTGGTATTGCGGTACTCCAGTAACAACGAGACAAGTGGATTTCTATGGCAAAGTTTCGACTTTCTGACGGATACATTACTCCCTGATATGAAAGTGGGTTGGGATAAGAAGTCGGGTCTAAATAGGATATTACAATCATGGAAAAGCATTAATGATCCTTCCACTGGCGATTACACTTACAAAGTAGAAATCCGTGAGCCTCGTGAGAGCTACATACGGAAAAAAGTGAGTCATTACTCCGAATTGGTCCGTGGAACAGTTTAACTGACATTAACGTGATTGGAAAATTGACTTACGGAACTCAAAACATTTCTATGAAGAGTGAGGAAATCAGCTATATCATTTAGCATAACTAATGGTAACGTTTTCCCAATACTGAGGATAGACAGTACTGGAGTATTGAACCGGTCCACACGGATCCCAACTTCAGGGGAATTGAAGAGGATTGGTTATTTATTACCATATCTAGATGTGCTAATAGATTTGCTAAATGTGCTAATACATATGTAAGTGTGTTTCTTGTTTCTTGACAAGGCGGCTATATATATGTCTCCTGAATATGCGGAAGGTGGAATTTATTCAACAAAGTCTAGATGTTTTCAGCTTCGGAGTCTTGCTTCTTGAGATTATATTTGGGGTAAAAAACAGAGACTTTTATAGATATTCGGAGAACGAAGAAAATCTTCTTACATATGTAAGTGTAATAATCATCCAAAGCATGTTCTGTCTTCTTCTTTTTTGTGATTGATAAACGCTTAAAGCTTTGTTTATGATGAAGTTATGGAGGAATTGAAAGGAAGGAAAAGGGGTCGGCATATCATAGATCAAGTTATCCTTGATTCATCAATATTTCAACCACACCAAGTTAAAAGATGCATACAGATTGGTCTCTTACTCTCTCGTGTGTTCATTCAAGAACGTGCAGAGGATAGACCGCCTGGTTATTTAGTCCGTAGAAGTCATCTTGAGACTGGTTCCTCGTCATGAAAGAAGCGAAACAAAGAATCTTGGACTGTGGCCGAAGTAACCTACTCGGCCATTGAACCTCGGTAATCTAACGACGTGTTTCGCAAGGAATTTTTTTCATGGGAGAAGGATTCTAAAAGTTCTTTCCCCTTGTAGGAAGTATCTTGGAAATTGATAAAAAGAAAACATAACAGAGTACTGAAATTTTTAATTTATATTGTTTAGTCTGTTTTACTATAAAGATCACGTTTACATGTTTAATATTACTATTTTTAGTAATCAACTTTCACTGGAGGAGAATGTTCAAACACTAAAGCAAAGTTTTCTTTGTTATGTGAGTAGTAGTTTATACACGGTACAATTTGATGCTAATCAATACCAGAATATACAGAAAACTTCTCACGTTATTTAATCTAGAAAGTAAAATTATGAAGTACTTGCCGAATTATCATGATTTCTAATTTATAATTTTTTCTTTATACGATTTCATGTCAATAGTAATTGAATAATAAGTTTGAATCCAAAAAATATTCAAAATCTTCGACTAACAAATTGACACGGTTCATTAATTAGGAGTTACAAATCCGCTTTTAACCCTTAATCTTTTCTTTTGGTAGCAAGATTATATATACACATTAAACCTTGAGATCCTTGGTTTAATAACCCAATAAGATAAGGAGTTACAGGGATCGTCAAAAGACGAAACTAACAGCCTTAGTTCCATGTGCGTCAAGTAAACAATGACGTTTACACTAACTTAGCTAAAACCTCCATAAGCAAATCTTCACTCTCTAAGCTTCTCGAGTCTTGGTTGAAAAAATCAACAAATCTCCACCTCGACAAACGATTACATCCTAATATTCATTCACCTGCTTCTGATTTCATTACACAACCCTGTCCTTAAGCCTTTTACATTTTGAGTAAATTCAGAGCTTTAATTTACAGAACTTACGCGATGGTACACTCTTAGTCAATATGTCAGTAGGATTGACCAGAGAGTACCAATCTTGGTCATATCCCTTATGAAGTGTAGCTTAACGTTTATATGTTTCGTTTCATATTTTTAGACAAACATATATAGCCCTTGGACAGTACTTTTAGCAACCTTTTCATCCAAATTGCTTCCTTGGTGGTCTCTGTAAGATTCATATACTCTGCTTTTGTGGTGGATAAGGCGACAACATGTTGCAACTTGCAAGCATAATCTCCAATTTCCAACATTTCCAGACACTCTAATAAACGTGACGTTTGGCAAACGTAATGGTTTCTATCTCAAATTTTAGAAATAATGAACAATAATAATTTAAAAAGGGTACAAAAATTGTATCCCATATGTTACAAGAAAAAAAATAAAACAAAACACAACTAGTTTTTTTCTGACGATTTTTGAACGGACAATTCTCTATTAACGATTTATGATGGACAATTTTATCTACATTGTGCTTTCGAGTAGTAGTTTATATAACGTACTTGAAAGAGAGGAGACTACAACAAACAACTCTATCTTATAGTTACAATGTAAGATCATTTCTAGCCGGAAGAGTGTAACTCAAAAGCTAGTCTCTTAATGCTCTCCTTTTTTTTTGTGTTTCTTCTTGTGATTTTAGTTTATAGCTCTATATGGTTTAAAATATACAAAAGTGCGTGGTGATGGATTTGACCAGTCTTCCTACAACTTGAAAGGACCAAACCCGTCTAAATGTATGTACATGGGTGCATGTATACATCAATATATATGCGTATACGTGTGTTTAAACTTTAAACTACAAGTGGAATTATGAGATATAAAATAGACTAATATCACATAGAAATTGAGGAGACAATATATACTATGGAAGCCACTTGCTATAAATAAAGCATAGACCTAATTTGGAGGTTGCATATGCTCAGCCATCTAAAGGAAACCATTGAAAAGGTATATACTTCTTCTTTGTTTAAAAAAAAAGAAAAAGAATATAATCCAATATTTCTCTTTTGAACAAATGACCCTCACTGTTTGTAAAAACGTTTTATGTCATTTATGACAGTTCACCAACTTTTGTTTACAAAAATTATGAGCACTTGGAAAATAAATTTTATTCAATATTCTTTTTTTTTTTCTAGTTACTAAAAAATTATATATGAATCTATATAACAAATATAGATATATGAATCTGAACTCATAATCTCTTCGGACTGAAAACTAGATTATTGTTAATGTGATCTCCTCCCCGTTGCTATGCTATCTTTACATATAAATCATTATTTTTCAAAACTAAATTTCGGGAGTTATGCTATCGTATTAAGCCTTGAATGGTTATGGTTTTTCAAATAGTTTTTGGTTTTAGTTTTTTCAAAAATCTATTTTTAACCATTTAACATTTTGAGAAAAGTGGTTCCCCTAAAAAAATAGGGAATCTAGATTTTAAGAGTTTTTATTAATTTCTTAACAAAATCCAAAATCTCATTTCAATGGGTTTTTGAGAATTCCTCTAGGAGATCTTTTTTTTTTTTCAATTTTCCATTTGTTTTTACATAATCAGAAAAACCAAAAACAAAATCTAAAATCTAAAAACTAAAATCTAAAATCTAAAAACCCTCTAAAATCTCCCAAACATTCATGGCCTTAATCTCGTTACTTTCTTACCTTTCGGATTCAAACCTTTATAAAACATAATGTTGATTTTTTATTTCTTTGTGTGAACATCCTAAAAGGAAAAACTTTCAGGTATCCATCCATCTTTTCTCACACATAAAAACTATTAATATATACTAGAAAAAGAACCCGCGCTCTGCCGCGGGATATTTTTTGTAAATTAGTTTTATTTTAATATAACTATGATTGGTAGAAGTTTGAAATAATTCTAGGATTGGGTATTTTACTTTTACTCAAATTTTTATAGTTTTTATTTTATTATATATGCATATATTAATATATATATGTTATATATTACTTTTATAAAGTAAATATACAGTATAGTCAGTGACTATTATATTTCAAGAACCTTATTTTTTTTTCATTAAAGATATACATGGTGCACAACCATAATTTGAATCACTCTTAAAATATTTAACATAGACTTTCAAATTTTAAAATTATTCTCTTAACCTTTAAATCACAATGATTTGTTAAAATGATAACTTATAATTTATTTTAGACCATAATTTTAATATAAAATTATTATCCCAATCATATTATTGAACTTTGTAAATTTTTTACTCATTTTCGTAACTGAGGGTTGATAGCCAAAAACCTACAATCTCGATGTTAGCAACAAATCAAGGAAATACTATTTACTATTATTTTATAACACAATTACACCGTCAAAACGTAGATAAAAATACAAATATTTTTCACTGTTACTTTTTTTATTGCTCTTTTATTTGATATATTCAACTAACATCAATATTTTGTTTATAGAGTCACTATAATTTACAAACCAAAAAAACGAATAGAAAAGCTTATTTAAATTTATATATTTGCATGATTTAGTGATTTAACAATCATTACAATTAAGAATATGAACTTTTCTTCCAATTAAGATATTTTATAAATTTTATTTAATAATTTTTGTCCATGTTAATAAAAGCTGATGTGTATTATTTATTTTAATTTGATTGATTTTACTTTTAAAATGAAATATCAGCTTCTAGTAAGACAAAAAATAAGAAAAGTGATTGTATACATCTTGTGATTAGTGGCTTAATTGAGAATATAGTTATTTAACAAAATTCTAGTAGTACAAAATCAAAATTTTGGTGGACGTGATTATATCAAAAAATTTATGAGTAATTTGAATCGGAACATGTTGATTGTTGAGTTATATAGTAATTTTTTTTATTATAAGCGTCTTTAATATGAATATGTTATGTAAAAATAACTATAGATATAAAGTTTATATTTAGATATTTGATCAATTCCATTAAATAATAAGAATATATTTTTTTTTTATGTGTCAACATAAGCTGATGTTTATTCATTTTATTTATAATTTGAATTTGTTTTTTTTAACAAATTAGAAATCCATGTATCATTATTAAAAAAATTAAAAATAAGTATGTGTATTATATGTTTTAATTTGATTTGTTGTTTTTTTAAAAATGATGTATTTTTTTTAATAAATAGCTGATGTGGCAAACTGGAAAGATGATATGGCATGTTGGAGAGCTGAGTTGTATTAATTGTTATGTTTTGATTGGGTATCATTTTTAATGATGTGTCAGTCCCACAATAGCTTAAAAAGCTGATGTGTCACTGCTGGAGAAACTCTTAGTAGTTTTATTGTATTGATTTTTCATTGTCTGTTTTTTTTTTTGTTTTTTTGATAAATACTACAAAGAAAATATTGTTTACTGTCCCGAGTCTTATAATAATAAAGGTTAGATAATTGTGAAACATGCATATATATTTCCAATCTTCTTTCAGCATATTATGCCTACATTAAAGGAAGTTAAGAAACCCCAAAAAAATGAGAGTCAAACTTGACTTTCGTAGTTGAAGCCGCGACTTATACGGATGTTTAATACATGGATTTGTGTACAGTAATAATAATTGTCACATAATGCTTGTTGTGATTTTGGTGTCGTGATGTTGAGCATTTTTTATTTTTAATAAGATTTTGTTTATATTATTTCGATATTGGACTATTCACAAGTTGACTGTTCAGTGTTCAGTGTTCAGTGTTTTTCTTTGTTAAAGAAATTGACTGTTCAGTGTTCACAATTTGAAAATCTTATTTTCAAGAGTAAAATAATACTTCATATCAAGAGTTTATTTATCTATCAACATGCGGTCAGACTTGATCGACGGGCTGATCAAGTGATCCTAAATTTATTTATTTTCTTTTTTTGGTCGAGTTTAGTAATATTGGAAAATTATAAAGAGTAGTGTTTGGTATTAGAGCATCTCCCATGGTAGAACTCCTCACGAAGTTATTTTTTTATTATAAATTATTTTCGTCGGAAAATTCACCGTCGATAATTCGGAGTAGATCTCATTGCTCACAGTTTGCGACTTATTATCGGATTCAACACTCGGGACACAATTTGCAACTTATTATCAGATTCAAAGCAACGGATCCAGACAATCACTTCCGATTTCGCCATCGGAGAGAGACTAGAAAGAGAGAGAATCGAGAAAGATGAACAAACACGGGCAAAGAAAAATTTCCTTTGTTAAAAATTCTTCAGCCAACCAAAACATGGCACGCCATGGGTTCTTGATAATTCTAAAAACTCTCAATTAAGAACCGATTCTACACTTACTTTCTGTTTTCATTTATTTTTAATTGCTTTTTGCCTAAGAACTCCCCTTAACATATACCATTGGAGGTGGTCTTAGTGTTTCAAAATTTTATAAACGGCTTTTTAAATTTTATTGCATAGTATTACATTTGTTAATCAATAATTTTATTTATCAAAATTATTTACATAGACATATTGATATAAATAAATTTAAGATCATCTATTTGTATAGGTTTATTTTTATTTTTAAATAGAGGAAAATGTATTTTTGTAAATTAAATCTAAAATTTTGCTCTAGATGTATATATATTTTTGTGCCAGTTAAGATGGGATTTTTTTTTCCTCCAAAATGGCTGTTTTAGAGTTTATTTGATTTTGTCTTCTATTTCTATTTTTGCTTTTATCTCTATTTTGAGGTCTAGATGATTTGTTACCTCAAAAACAATGTGTCAAATAACTTTTTGTTTATTCCCTTTAAAAATTAAATGCTCACAACTAACAATTTCTTCTCGCAATTTTACTGTCCTTGACTGACACAATCGAGTTCAGACATCACAATCTATGTTTTTTCTTTGTTAGGGAGAAAAAAGAAAGATTCTTCTCCACCAAAATTCATCCCACTGGTTTATTTTAATAATGCACCTGCTAAGGCAATGCTCATGCAGTTCTGCTACACACATATATGTCGGAGACTTTTGACTATGGAATTAACCCTATCAAATTCGTACGTCATTAAAGATCAAGCCCATCTCTTTGAAGTTTGTATAATAAGACGATTAGGTTAAAAATATATATTATATAATTATTATAGAGCGATCATTAAAGATTACATGAGTAGGCTTGTCAAAAACAAAAACAAAAAAAGATTACATGAGTAGGCTTCTAATAACGGCGGCTTCAGGGCTATCTTCATCGACAGATTCGAGAAGCTGAGACAAACGCTCGCTGAGATTGTCAACTTCTCTGTTCAAATTTCGTATGTAATTGCATGTCTCTTGCAATACTTTCGAGGCTGATACCTTCAGCATAAAAAAAAAACATATATAAGTTTTTTGAACCAATGCATGCACTTTGATGTCTATGCATGCAAGCTGATGATACTCTATGTAAATATGTTTGTATATATATATATGGAAGAAAAAGGTTGTGAATATTGTTATGTTCCTTAATGTCCGGAGTCAAAAGTTCCGACTTCTTTTTTTCTTTTTGTTTGATTTTAATGTCTTCTCTTCTTTTCACAAAACTTTTTTTCTTTCCTTTTTGGGTAGGTTTACACGATGGATAATGTTAAATGGTTGTTATAAGTGAATATATGCATATAATATGTGTGATACCTTATCAGAACGACGTCGTTGGCCAATCTCCGGCAAAATTTGACGGAGCTTAGTTACGAGGTCAATCATTTGATCATCGGAGATCCTTGGAGCACTTGAAGATTGTCTTGATCTTCTGTTCGACATGTTCAACAATGTGGCAAGAAAAGACCTAACTAAGTTGTCGATTCTTCTCTCTTGCTTACCTTCTCTCACACTAGCTTAAACAAGTTCTATTGAGGAATAGAAATAGAGAAATGAGATAGGCTATGTCTATGTGGCAAGTAGGTGTAAGCTTTTATATATGATTTGATAAGGTTTTTAGGTTGAAAAGAAACGACCAAGAAGAAAGAAAAACTAGAAAGCAAGAAGAAAAATAGAGAAGAGAATGTAATGAGAAAAGTGTTTTGGGGTTTTGAATACACTTCAAATATAAAGAAATTGAGAATGTGATAAGAGAGATTTAAATAGGCCAAAGGACCACAAGAGAAAGAGAGAGACGGAGCAATAAACCTCGACAATGATGTCACGGGAGAAGAAAGCGATAGATTTGAATGCTCTTTAACCACAAAACTTCGAAATCATTTTTTAATTTTTTTTTAATTACAAATTTCCAAGCCTTATATATATATATATCATCAAGTCGAGACTATTTCCAATCATTATACGAAGGTAGAGTGGCGGTGAATTATTTCAATCATGGTTAGTTGTTGTGTGTATTCCAAATGATAAAAATTAATTACTATATAGTTCTCAAAAGTTTTAAGATTCGTTAAACTTTTTTAGAGCACCCTTATCCATAGGCTCTTAATAACTACTCTTATCCACGTGGCACTTCTTAAGACAGAAAATATGCCTTAGCTAAAGAACTTTCCTTAGTTATAATCACCATTTCTGATTTAAATTAAATAATTCTAAAACCTAAGATTTGCTTAAGAACCTGCCGATAATCCTGCTCTTACGCCTCAACTATCCCAAAAAATATTAAGACTATAATGGATCACAAGTATATAAATATATGCCTAGTTATTGAAAAATGTACAGTATAATTTCCTATAAAGAGTGAATAAATAAATGGGTACTAAAAAGTATGAATAATTGGAGGAGATTTGAATAGTTTAAATGGAGGAAACTAAGAGTTCCCAAAGATGTTAAGATAAGTGTTTCATGTTCATCTAACATTGTGGCCCTTCATCTGCAATTTCACAAAAAGGCAACTACCATGTGATGACATGACTTTTCATTCATTTTTTTTTAATCTATCCTATTAGAATTCGTATTATGGCCTGAATTAAAATCTGTCTCTCTAAATTTTTCTAAATACAACTTACCAAATTTGTGTTCCATAGTATGGTACAATTTGTATATTTATCTGTAATCTTGTATATTAAAAATATATAGTTTCAAACTTGTATAAAAAGAGGATAGAGAGAATTATGTTGTTCAAATGCTTTAAAAAGGAACATATACATATCAAACTGTTCCGACTATTTATTTCAAACTTCTTCGAACACTTACACTTTGACTAAAACAATAGCCAATTTATTTAAAGAAATGTTTTGTTTTGAAGTGATTAAAATGCATGTCTCATAGTCATTCATATAACTTATTTAATGGTTCGATTGGTCCATTATTGGTTGAGTATTAATTTATATAAAAGTTCTCAAAACATCGACTATGTCACGTGTCACCACCATGTCTCGTGCTACATGCTGCCCTCGGGTCCATAAGATCAAAATTTTAGATATCTTGTTGTCCAATAACATTATCAATAAAGATCCGACAAGTATGTAACAGTCGAATACAATTATCTGTGTGAAACATATTATTGTTATTATTATTATGAAAAGTGTATATAAAATTCGAAATCCCACATTATCCCTCAAAATATTTCGTTTGTGTGGTGTATTAATTTATCACATTCTGTTTTAATAGTAATTCAATGATAAGTTCTGTCAAAACAAAAACAAAAAGTAATCCAATGACAAGTTTGGTAAAAACTCGCAAATTAAAGTTTAAGTAGCTAGGTTAAATTAAATCTATTCTAACAAAACAAACAAAATATAAGTGAGAATTGTTCTCTTTTCGACATGTTTGTATGACATGGATTATATACCATTTAACGAAATCAATGTTATGTTACTTATTAAAAAATACTTCTTGGTTAATATATACTAAATATACAAGAAAATTATCTTCTTCATCGTTGTGTTATATATCGCGATATCATCCGACATGAAATTCAATCTGATAATTCATAGAGAATGATATGTGGATCAGACAACCATAAGTACACCATATACCTTTCAATGATCTATCCACCACAAATATTTAACGAAAACATTAATTCATACTATTCTCGTAAATAATACACATACTTTTTTAATAAAGCACATAATTGAAGAAAGCATTTATTAATTTTTCTTATATGTGTGAATACAAGAATATATATTAAAGTGTGTTGGTGTCAATGGTGTGTGTGTATGTTTTTTATATACAAGATTATTAAAGAAAGTGACCATTCTAATAAATTGCAAAGGGAGATTTTACATGTTAGTCCATGTGGGTTCGGGTACTAAATGTTTGGTCTCATAGGCTCCACGATGTTTTTGTGTCTACTTTTCGCAATTAATTCATATCTTTATAAACATGTTGTAAAAACGACTAATCATGTGGAAATGAAAGACTAGTTAAATAATTAATTTATAAAAATTCAGAAAATCACTTTGGAAAAAGTTGAGCAATTTTTTCTTTGTTTTCAATGAATTACAAAACCACTATAGTACGATAATATGCATTAATGGCACCAATCATATCATAGCAGTGAATAAATAACATTGAAAAAGTCATCAAACGGCATCTTCGATTCTATGTTCGAAGATTTGAAATATTCTATATTTCTATTATGTGTAAATATTTGATCACGTCGAAATATACAACACACATAAGATTGCCATATTTATATTTTCAATGCGAAATGTTTCTCTGGATTTAGCATGAGTATTCGAATTATGCTGGAAATGTCCAACTAATTCCTCGGATAACATGTCCCTTGCTAAGAATTGTTTTGCCATCACATCACAAACAAAGCATCGACATATTGTGTAGTGTGTGTGCACACACGTAAAACGGTAGACTTTTGCGGTGTTACTAGTAGGCCTGGACAAATAAATCGAACCAAAATTTTGAAAATAACCGAATGAATATTAAATTCTATAATCGAATGAACTGTAACCGAATCGGTACCGAATCCGAATATTTTGGGTAACCGAAAATATCCGAAATACAATTATATTTTCAAAAATATAAGTTATTTATAGACCAATAATCAAAAATACTTGGAAATATATAAAAATAGTAAAAATATTCAAAATAACCGAAAAATATTTAAAAATATCCGAAAATATCCAAAGCAAAATAACTGAATGGATACTAAATTTTAAAACCGAAAGAACCGGAACTGAATCGAAACCGAACCGAAATTTCAAAATACCCGAATGAATACTAAATTTTAGAACGAAAGAACCGAAACCAAATGGAACCGAATCGATAACCGATCGAATAACCGAACGCCCAGGACTAGTTACTACAATGGCAATTAAGGAGATACTGATACATCTATGTTCTATTTATTTACAGTAATTATCATTTTGATATTTTCACACAAATTAAGAAATTACATTAAAATTAATTTCATATTTCTTGGTATTCGTCTACAGACTTGAAGTTAAATTAAGTACTACTACTTTATAATTAAGTTAGGCATCATTTTTACTGAGTGACTCCAATATACAAAAAGAAAAGACTTCAACAATAATAAAAAAAATCTTTATTTCGGAATATTTATCTAGTTAGAAAAAAGGAATTTAAAAAGGTACAATATCCAGAAGAAGATCTGGATTTTTCATTAGTATACTTTTCCAGAGTAGGTATCAACTTTTAATAATAAGGAAGACGTAACACATTATGGTCCAGGTAGAGACCAATATATATTATATGGTCCCCTTTAACCAATTTTCTCTCATAATTACACAATCATGCTTTGCATAGGCTTCTCCAAAACAATGATAACATCTTCTCCATAACTATCCATTATATTGTTTTACTCTTTTACCTTAGATCGGAAATTACATCATCACTCTAGAATTTGACACTATACAAATGTGGTGGGCAAAATTACGAATGTTATGTTTACATATGTAATATAGTTTACATAATCAATCATAAACAAGAAAATGATATCTTATTTGAAATCATTTAGACTTTATATAAAAGATAATTCTTCATCTTCTTATGAACACTAGCTTGCATCATCTTCTTACTGGTCCTTATTTTTTCAGTTACTTTTAAGTTTAATTGCATTTTTGAAGTAATATAAATACTTTTTGTTTATTAAAAATAATTTTTGGTATTGATTCTTGTTTCTTTTTTACAAATCGGAATATGTATGTTTTCAAGATATATTTTAGTCTTGTGTGGTAATTAAGAAACATCTTATAACTAAACTACTTTATTGATTAAGCTTTTTGCTTGTAAGCAAAGTCACCGGACATAATAATATCAGCTACTACTATCTTGTAAGAAGCAAGATTCGAAAGTGACATGGTTTAAGAACACAAAGGTCCACTACATAAAAACTAAACGCATCACCAAACCAACACACTTCACTTCTTCTACTAAGAAAGAAAACTAACAAACCAAAGATCTCACAAAAGGAGGTAACAAAACCAAACTATTATTAACTAAAAGCATTTTGGTAGGTTTCGGTAGTATTTTAGCTTGAGGATTTTTTAGGGGTTTGGTACTTTTCACTCTTCATCATCCTCATCTCCATCACCACCAGAAGCTTTCTTAGCTCCGGCTCTCTCGTTCCTTCTCTTTACTCTTCCAGGTCGACCACCACCAAATGGGCTGGTTAGAGAAAAGTCTACGTGCTTCTGCGACTCTACTCTCACCATGAACGATGGAATGTTCACAAGTTGCCTCCCAACCCTATACCGAATCAAAAAGCCATTAGGTCAAGAATCAGCTTTTGTAACACCCTTTAACACAATTGAGTTCATCTATAGCTGTGAACTGCAACAACTGGAAGGATCCACCCAAGATTCAATCCATGTCAATCCCGACAAAACCGATAAGCTAAGCCTCAAACACTACTGGAAGTAAACGTTGATAATACCAACTCAAAAAGGATTACCTATAAACTTTAACACAATCATCTTTAGCAGTGAAGTGCAACAAATTTGGAAGGATCCACCATAGATTCTACCCGAGTCAAGCAAGACAAAACCGATAAGCCTCAACACAATTGAGTATGACCAGAGCAGTGAACTAAATGTTGTTCCCAAGATTATACTAACTCAAAAGACATTACCTATAAGCTTTAACACCATTGAGTTATTTAGTGAACTAAATGTTGTTACCAAGATTATACCAATTCTAAAGGAACGATCTTTATGAATGTAAGGTAAAGTTTCCGATACCTGATGTGCCTTTGTCGGATAAGGACACGAGCGTGGTGAATAGACTTAGCCATACCAGACTTAAAGACAATAGTTTGAAGACGACGTTCAAGGAAATTCTCAACAGTCAAAGCAAGAACATAATCAAGCTTGTTCTGGCTTTCATCAAGAAGACCATATCGATTCATTCTCCTTAGAAGAGCTTCACCTTCAAAGATACGACGAGGGTTCTTCTCATCAAGTGTTAAAAGTTCTCTTGCAGCATTACGGATTCGGCTAAGTGTATATTGAACTCTCCAAAGCTCTCTCTTACAACGAAGACCGTATTCTCCTACAAGCTTTAGCTCAGCATCAAGACGCTCTTTCTCATAAGGACGACGTGGCTTCTTGAATGTTTTCCCATCTTAAAAGAACAAATAAAAATCAAATCTTTAAGAACAAAACAGAACAAGGTAACAAAAAAACAGAGTACCAAATTAAAACCCTAATTTTCTTTCACACATGAAAACAGAGCAGAGTTAAATTTCGCATCAGATCAATTACAAAACCCTAAAATTAAAACATAGCTATAACATGAAAACATAATAATAATAATACACAGATGATCAAAATCAGATTTTGGTAAGTAAAATTCGAGAGAAAAAAAATAGAGTATGAATCTAAATTCAGCATGCATGGGGAAAGAAACTATTTTCGAAAATAGAAGATGGAGAGAAGAGAGCTCTCACAGTTGCGGTAGAATCTGACGTTCACCATAGCTGCTGCTGCTGCTGCTGCTGCTGCTGCTCAAAACAAAGACAGAGTTGATCGCGACGAAGAAGACAGAGAGCTTTTTATATTACACGACTATGAAAAAACCTAAAGCGTCTTAAGGGCTCAAAGATTTTTTTTTGGTTTGGGTTGGCCCATTGGGCTTTCTTCATTGACCTCTATCATTTTTGAATTTGAATTTTTTTTAAAAGTTAGTTTGCATAATTGATTTATTTCAAGGGTGTTTTTTGTTAAAACCAAAATCTAATAGTAGTGAAGCCCATTAAATTCTTAAATTAATGTGCACAGAAATGTTGTTTTTGATCATTTTTAAACCGAAAATGTAATTTCTAATTTGATGATTTGCTATATACCAAAGAATTATATACCATAATAGAGCATGCTTCCACTTCAAATCGCTTGAAAATTAACTTTTCCAAATCGTTCAAATACCTTAATAATGCTTAAAACCGCAATCGTTAATTTCCGTAGATTTCTGTAAGTGTAACTGTACCCGCATTTGCTTCGTTTAAACCATTTTTACCGGTTTAGCTTGTGTAAAATAAGCAAAAAAATTTTTTTTTTAAAAAGTTGGAAAAAATGATACTCTTTGTAATCTTTTTTTTTTTCTGTAATAGGCCAATACCTCTTAATATTCTAATATACTACTATAATCTTTTTAATTCTTTACACTTAATTTACATTAATTATAAGCAACAACACATCAACAGAAACACCTCTTTGATGACTCTTCTCTCTTCCGACATTGCACAAGAAGAAAACTAAAAGACAACTGAAAATCTTCAGTCCAATCAAAATTGAAGAATCCATTAAAAAATTTTGCTTAACAATAGTAACTAATCAACCATTACTTGTCTCTGCAAAAACCACTATGAAGCTACTTTATTATGACTGTTATTCTTCACACCAAATTCTCTTCTTTCCTCCTGTAACAATTCACACAAATCTCTCAGCAAAATCCTCAATTATCAAAAACATTCTCAAAACACACAAAAAAAACTTGCAACTACTTACTTATTAGCTAACTTGATTAATGAAGCTGGTCTTTCATATCCTCTATCTTCCTTCTTTTGACCCTTCACTTTCTCTTCTTTTGACTCCATCTTCCAAGAAGCTTTACTCAACGATTCACCTAACAACTCTGCAATATTTGTCGCCATTGCTTCAACCCTCTCCACAAATGGGAAATTCTTCTCTTCAAATTGGTTAGATAACCAAAGATACATTGACAAAATTTGGTGTCTACTTTCCAAATCCAACAGCTCGGTATCGTTCTTAGCAGAACTCTTTGGTATCCCCATTGCTATATTAACCGGCGTATCTTGGCTATATGTTGAAGCAAATCGATACAACTGGTACATTGCTTTCGGATTCCTGATATTAACCGGTGCGAAACAGAAGTTAAACCGGTCTTCTAGAGACAGTCCCTGTACTTTCTCCAACATGTTTGCTACTTTCTTCACATGATCATGACGGCACAGGAAGTAAGAACCGTCAAGTCTGCAGTGTTTTCCAAAATGATCTAAGAGTTTTGAAAAGGCCATATCGGGAACTTGTGCAGCGAAAAGCTCAATCTGTTCAAAGAAAGGGAAAAGCCCTACTTTTGTAACTTCATCAAACGGTTGTTGCAAACACTCGATTAGATAGTTTAGATCTTCTAAGTGCAATGTCGTTGTAAGTCCATCTGGGTAACGGCTTCCTCTCCTTCCAGCTCTCCCGGCAATCTGTTTTACCTGTGAAGCTGCAACTGGAACAATCTTATCGCCGTTGTACTTGTTCAAACTGTAAAACACAACCCGTCTTATGTTAAGATTCAATCCCATTCCAACAGCATCGCTTGCAACCAAAACATCATACTCGTTTTCTTGATCATTAAACAGATTAGCTTGCTGTCTCCTTGTCTCAGGCGGCAATGCACCGTAAATAACACAACATCGATGATTTGTATGTTTCTCGATAGCCATTTTAACTTCAAATATCTCTCTTCTAGAGAATGCAACAACGCAATCCCCAGACTTAACATTTTTAAGATCTCCTAATAAGGTCTTCGCTTCTACGACTAACGGTTTGAACCTCTCGTAATGCTCTTCAACTAACTCGTCCCCTGTATCAGCACACATCTTACGCACAATATCCAAAACACTTGGGTCTCCACACAAATGAATCTCATCAGCTTTTAATCCAAGCAAAGCTTTTGTCCAAGCATGACCTCTACTAGGATCTGCCATCATTTGTATTTCATCGATCACAGCCACTTCATATAACTCATCTGTAGACACCATTTCAACCGTACAAGATACATGGTTGGCGAACGGAACATGTTTCTTCTCTTGTCCAGTCAAGAGACTACAGTAAATCCCTAAAGCATTTACTTTATCAAAAACTTCCATGGCTAATAACCTAAGTGGGCTGCAATACAATCCATTCTTAGCTTCCATAAACCGCTGCAAAGCATTGTACGTTTTGCCACTGTTAGTCGGTCCACAATGGTAAACGATTTTACGCTTCATAGCACGAGCAAAAGGAAACCAAGTTGCGGGCTTCGTGAGGTCTGCAGTATCAACAATACTCTGAAAACGTTTGATCTCATCAGGAAACTCTTCAATACAGAATTCAACAAACACAGGGAACAAAAACTTAACAGCTTCATCAGTCGGCCCAACACGAACAAGATCCTGAACAACCTCAATTCTACATTTCTCAAGGAAGAAGTCCCGGAACTTGCTAACAGCAGTAGGGAAAAACGATTTCCCAATATAGATTGCAAGAGCCTGATTAGCCGCCCATCCCGACTGTGCAAAATACCCGAAAATCTCATGTAAACTATCCCATTCACTAAGCTGAAGCTTAGAACGCACTTCACTTTCCCTAAGCTCTCTGTATAACTCCACAGGATCATTATACCGAGCGTTCAAAGCACGAGCAGCCTCGCTACCAATCCCATCCGTCTTAGCAACCACTGAATCATTCAACAAGCTTTCATCTACATCACCAAGTTCATTAATCACACCTTCCTCATCATAATCATCACTCTCAGAACCAACACTTTCTTCAACATCATCATTTTCGCCGTTATTATCCATAGTAGACGAAAAGGTCCTAACTTTACCAATCTCAAAGCACCCAAATCTGTAATCATTCCATGGAAGCTGAATCCGAACCCGATTACCCGAACACAACCGGTTCGTGGGCACATCAAAATCAGAATTACTAAGAGATCTAGATTCAGTTTCTCTAAAAGAATGTAAATTTCGTGTCGATAATAGAACCCTAACTCTTGAACTATAGGCTCTACGCAAAACTCCAGCTACGCCTCTCGCCATGGTCACGAACTCAAATCAAAAGTTTTGAAATTTGACAATTTTGAGAAAAAGTCGGCTCCTTTATCGTATGACTTCAAATGGGTTTGGATTCAAAGGAGACTAAAAATAGTAAAACGAGCTCGAAGCGTACCTGGAGAGAGAGATAGAGAAGATGGTGGGCGTTTAAAGCGAGAGAAGATAAACCCTACACCATTTTTGTTCTACACGGGTTTAGCATTCGCCCGCAACAATTAGACAATTACTATTACTATATTTTTTTTAAAAAAATCATAAATCTTATGTTAAATATATAAATAATTAAATATAAAACAAATCTTAAAATAATATAGATTTATTACTTTTTAATATTTGCAAATTTTTGGTTATTAAAATATGGATCCATTGAACAATTGATATGTATAAATATGTAAACAACTAGTTTTATGAAATTAAAATAAATAGGGTTAAAAATAAATGAGTGTAAATGAACTCACACAGCAAAAAATTACATGAAAAATATATACAATTAAAGACAATACAAAAATGTGAATCTGTGAAACACTTTTTAGGATTTTAAAATGGTTATAAATACAAAATATACATAACAAATAAAAGACGCGATACATTCTTTACCAACAATGTAGTTGTATTTGTATATAAAAACATAAATTATGTATGTTGAAAAAGATAAATACGAAAAAGAAATATTGAAATAGAATAATTTGGTTAGAACATTTAAATATTTATAAATTTTTTCCCATAGACATACATATATATTCAGAGAATTTAGACAACGATTGTAATTTTGCTATTCTCAAGGGGAAAAAAAAAACAGAGAGATTCAAAAGGAAGAGATCAAATGTTGTCAAATAATTTTTCATGAACTTTTCTCTTCCAATGAGATCTGTAACTCCATATCTTCATTTCCTCTCTTGATCTTAAGATTCACCTTATCACCTACACTGTACTCATCCAATATCTTCATCAACTCGGCTTTGTTCTTCACCTGATTACAAACACTCAAAATCTCAGTTAAATCCTGAAGATCTATCTGAGGAAAAACAAAAAACTTGAGAATGATTTCCTTGTTTTTATGTAAGATGTTCATCGGGGCTTACGGGTTTGTCATCAACTGCAACAATGATATCTCCAAGTACTATGTTACCAGCGAACCCCCGGGATGTCGGACGTAATCCTGCTTTTTCTGCCAGACTATTTCCCGGTACCTGTTTTTGTATGAAAAAACGGAACTCGTAAATCATAATCAAAATCATCAAATAAACCAACCGGTTTCGAGGTTTTAGAGTAAAAAGTGTTTTACAAACCTGAAGGACAAGGGCTCCATTACGAACATTGAGTTGATTAGCTACTGGATCAGGGGCTAATTCTATGTTAATACCAGCTCGAAGGACCTAGAGTTTTGAATATAGTAACAACATCAACAAAGTTCCAAAAATTGATTGCGAAAGCCCGATTAAGAAAACAGAACAATGGATTTTTTTCATGCTTACTTTGCTAAATTGGATTAGTTGAGGAACAATCTTTAATACAGTCGATGACGGAATTGCAAATCCGACACCCGCAGATGTTCCTGTTGAAGTCAAGAGTGAATATTAATATGGATTCTTACATGATTCTGTGAGTCAATGAAAATCACCTGTCTGTGTGAATATGGCCGTGTTGATCCCAATCAAGTTCCCTTTTGAATCGAGCAGAGGACCTCCACTGCGAAATTTATTAAAGAAAATGATTTTACAAGAAAAATGTAATCCTCTTTTCTATGATTCTGTAGACGTACCTATTTCCCGGGTTAATGGCTGCATCGGTTTGAATTCCACCACCAATGGTAACTCCGGTTTGACTAAATATGTCACGGTTAAGACCGCTGATGACCCCAACCGTAAGAGTGTGGTCAAAACCAAACGGGTTTCCAATTGCTAAACACTGCTGCCCAACCTTTAGAGAGTTTGACTGCCCAACTTTAATCGGTTTCAGGAGAGTTTCAGGGGCATCTACCTGATTTTTGAAATAACATCAATATAAGCAGTTGAATCTTTTAAAATTCGATTGACAAATAACACAAAACCTGTATTTTATTTATACCTTCAAGACAGCAAGATCCTTAGCACGATCCGCACCAACAAGTTTTCCTTCAAAGTTCTTCTGTACCCTTCAAGATTTACACAAACGAGCAGACATGAGGATAACTAGAGAGACTATAAACGGCTGAAATAATTCATCCTGCAAAAAAAACCCTCACCCATCAGATGCCAGAATATTCACACGACCAACCACATCCCCGGGGCTAGGATTTCTTGAAAGGGCATTGCCAATAACTGTTCAGCAGAAGATACAACTAAAAAACTTACGATACTGTCCTCGCCCATCTCAAGAACTTGTACGCTCAATCACGGTTCATTCAAATCATCTTACCGTGATAATTGGTCACGATGTATCCCTGTCCATCCCAGACTACTCCCGAGCCATTTCCTTCGGGTATCTACGAATATATGTCGAATGCAATTGTATGTCAAAACAATCGATAATAACATAAAAAGGGGATATTCTTTTTGTACTGAGTACCAGTACCTCAACCACACCCGTCATTTTGAGCTGAGGCCGTAATGTCACATCAAATATGTTGACAACGGAATAAGTATTTTTCTCAAACAATTGGACAATTCTCCCCTGAAACATATAAAAGATATATAAATCTTAGTATAACCATCAAATCCTGAAAGTTACAAGCACCTTAGCTAAAGAAACAAACCTCAGTAGGGAAAAGAGGTCCAGCTGGGAAAACAGGTGGACTAACATCTTCAACGGTCGCAACAGATGGATCACCAAGCGCTAAGGCTGTAGTAATTCATCACAGAACATACTTATATCACTATGAATCAACAAATCCATCTTAACATAAGCAGAAGAACTCAAAGTGTTATGAAAAAGGCTATATCACATCATGAATCATGATGACCCAGGTTTTCTACTAAAGCTACAGATCATCACTAGCTAGGAACTACAAAGCTCTGATTGTGATAATTAAGCTTCTTATACAAAATTTGCCTCATGGAATTGTTAAAAACAAAGCTTTAGAAGAAAAAACAAATAAGCTGAACTAGGAGCAGACCTGATAAGTACCTTGAAGGATTAAAGCACAAATTCATGAATAAACTTGTCAACAAGATTCGCCTTGTCGTCGAAGGGACACTTTTCATAGCTAACTCATGTAAATTCGACTTCCAATCTCGAGTAATCCTATCGAAAAAAACAAACAGCCAAAATCAAAATTCCCAAAGAAATCAACAAATCTTAATGTCTGATCCAAAATTCAAAATGAGAAGTTTCTCCATAGCTTCCATCTTTTTCAATTCAAAAGATTGTTCCAAAAGTTAAAGCTTTACGGTGATTTTTCACTAACACTGATTCAGACATAGTCACATAACACCATTCTTAATAACAACACACAGTAACCTAAACCCCATTAAGAAAAGTCATAATCTTTGAGGAACCCAAATCAAAAGGAACAATTTTTCAGGGGCAATGAAAGAAGCTTACTTGACTGAAGAAACGGGTGGGTGTGAAACGACGTCGCCTTGAGAAATTCTGGAACAGGCGGAGGAAAGAAGTTGTCGTCGACCCACAAATTCATTCTCATTAGGTTTCAAAGAGAAAGATGCTATGACCTGCATCTTTCCACAAAATTCAAGAAAACTCTGAGACCAGTCGAAACCTGGATAAAATTAAAAATCTCAGCTTTTTTTTTGTAGCTGAGGAAGAAAGAAGGAGATGTTTTTAAAATACCGTAAATGTCCCTTATTTAGTAATTATAATTAGTGTTATATAATGTTTGCACAAAAAAAAAAATAGTATTAAATAATGTTTTGTTTAGGCCCAATTTTTTTTTTTTTTCCTTTTTTTGTATTACGAAATAGATTTACTAAAGGGTGAATTGCAAGAATATCACTTTTTCAATAAAATATTAAGAAAGTAACACCATAATACATCAAATGTAGTAAGTAACCATACTGATGAGTGGAAAGACAAAACTATCTTCCGAAACTTGAGACGCGCAAAACATAAATAGTATGGCAGCAAAATAGAATAGTATACAATTGCATGTATAATAAAAAACTATTTCTCACAAATCTCCCATTTCAACAATTTAACTAATCGAGGATCTCCCCTGGAATTTTCTGAATTTTGTTAATCATTTCATGAGCGATTTCAAAAGATAAATGTCTAATCCTTTCTTTTAAGTCTCACTTCGGTAAAACCAATTGCTCATCGGCGTCGAGATTGAGAACTTCGGCGTGTGGTTGATGTGAGAGAGTGAGAAGGATGAACTCTCTCTTCTCCATTGACGACGATTTCTTCATTGTGAATTGGTGGAGAATCGTTGGGTAGTAAAGGGAACGGTGGGATAAAGAGCTGAAATCGTTCAGGTCCGTCAATCTCTCTTAATCAGATCTAGAATCGGGATTAAGGTTAGGGTTTGGCCAAGGAGAAGAGATGGTAGCCATGACAGAAGAAATCTGAAGGAATCGTGAGATAGAAAAGGGAAGAATGGTTGTAAACCACATGGTGGTGGGCGAGTGGTTCTCGTTTGGTTGGAAGGATCGCCCTGTTGGTCTAGGCCAGGGATCGATCCTCCCCAGACGCAGTTTCGCTCTCTCACTCCTGTGGCCACCTGGGAATTTACCTGCGGACTTGCTCAGGCGCCCCAGACCACCAGTTTATCAGAGGGCCCTTAAGTGGAGGCCTAAAAATCCCTGTGACGCGGGCTTAGGCCCAGTGGGCTAGTCAGATCACTGTGTGGTTGATATGAGTATTCCAATTTTGAGACATACTATATATTAATATATACATTTCCATACCTTTCGTTTGCAAACGTTCTCTTGACTTAGTTAAGGCAATCCTCTTGATTTGTTTCAGATTTTAATAAATTTGTTTTGGGTAGTTTAACCAATTTTTTTTTTTTTTGTTTCTACCCAAAAGCTTTTCTCTTTCAATTTTTTTTTATTTTCTCATTTTCAGGTTTTATTTTAATTTTTATAAAATCTATAGCAAGCAAAAAATTCTAAAATTAAAAATCCAAAGCTAAAATTTAATCAAAACTATTTGTAATTCATAAGGTTTATAAACTTCAACTTCGAAAATTTCTTTCAACAATTGCAAACATAATTAATCACGTTAACAATATTTAATAAGCTATACATGAGTACGGAAAACACTCCTCAATTCTTTTAGAAAGTCTAACACTTCGATACATCTTAATTTCTTTTATTATTTATTTATTTTAATAATACTTTTTATTTTCAAATATAAATTTTAGGGAGACTCACAAAAATGCCCCTTTTTTAATACCCCTTTTCAAAAATGCCCCCTTTGGCTGTCCATTTTTAAAAATACCCTTTTTTATGTACAAAATGACTAAATTACCTTTCTTTTAATAAAAGATATCACAAATATATAAGGAAATATAACAAAATTAGGTCCACAAAATACAAAATATTTTTTGGCGGGAAAAGTGATCCCGCAATTTTTCCCGCCAAAACACTTGTAAAAACTTGTAAAAAACCTTTAAAAAACCTTGTAAAATTTTCCCGTAAAATTTTTTCCCGCCAAAAAAATTTTTTTGCGGGAAAAGTGATTCCGCAATTTTTTTGGCGTTAAATTTTTGGCGGGAAAAATTTTCCCGCCAAAAATTTACAAGGTATTTTAAAGGTTTTTTACAAGGTATTTATAAGGTTTTACAATGTATTTTAAAAGGTTTTACAACGTATTTACAGGTATTTATAAGATATTATAAGATTTTACAAGCTATTTTATAAGGTTTTTACAAGTTATAAGGTTTTACAAGTTTTTTATAAGGTTTTACAAGTTATAAATACCTTATAAAACCTTATAAGTACCTTGTAAAACCTTTTAAAATACATTGTAAAACCTTACAAAACACTTGTAAATACTCTGTAAAACCTTTAAAATACCTTGTAAATTTTTCCAGCCAAAAATTTTCCCGCCAAAAAAAAAAATTGCGGAATCACTTTTCCCGCAAAAAAATTTTTTTGGCGGGAAAATTTTTTGGCGGGAAAAAATTTTACGGGAAAATTTTACAAGGTATTTTAAAGGTTTTTTACAAGTGTTTTGGCGGGAAAATTGTGGGATCACTTTTCCCACCAAAAAATATTTTGTATTTTGTGGACCTAATTTTGTTTCAAATAAGGGTAAAATGGTCATTAAAAATTAAAAGAGGGCAAACTTAAAAATGGACTCTCAAAGGGGGCATTTTTGAAAAGGGGTATTGAAAAAGGGGCATTTTTAACAATTTCTCTTTAAAATGCATTTTTTTTTATTTTTAACAAATTTTTTTATTTAAAGTTTGTCTAAATGACTAAATGGATGCATCTATCCACTTACATGTAAAAGTAGCATCGTTTGTCTCTCATTCACCTCACCTTGTCATGTTTTCGGCCGATTATGTCACACTATCACCTCATGGCTCATGGTCTTTCAAGTTAGATAGTTTCTTGACGTTAATGACCGTGTTATTGTTACTCTTACTCGATTTGGTAATCCTGTGAATTTTTTTTTGTCAACCTTTCTATGAAACTTGCTTGGTTAGAATAAAAAGAAAAAAAAGTTTGTCTTAATTAAAATGTATTGTGTGAATAAAACTACATAACACCACATAAATAGAAAAACAAAAAAGATATTAGATTTTAATTTTGGTTAAACATCAACATTATTATACTTCTCTCACGAATGGTCAACTATCGTTTTTGAAGTGAAAAATGAGTTTATTTATCTCTAATTTATTTATATCTAGATTTTTTTTTTTGTCAACTATTTATATCTAGTTGATATTTCAACCTACAGAGCTTGTTATGGAGCAGATTATATGGGGTTTATAATAGTGACTAAGATTCGTCATTACATATGAAAAGCTTTGCTTGATTTTTTAAGGACAACAAAAACTGAAACAATTTGGTAGAATTGTTATCGATTGATCAACACGTACAACATGTGTAATTTTTTGGCACAATTCATATGCATAGTCAAAAGACGTATGGACATGTATCCTATACTATTATTTGGGGAGTACAATTTATGGATTACCCTTAATTAACCTTTCCCTTTGTAAGAATTTACTTAAGAATGCCATTAGAAATAAAATTTTATAGAGTAAATTAATTCAACTCATTAAGGATAAACAAGTCAAATACTATTTTATGCAATTTAATTAATTTAATTTAATTATAAAAACGAAAATCTATTATTAATTTCTTTAAAAAGAATGACCAATCAAAATGAACATATAAGATTTGATATCTAACTTACCATATTAATTTGTTATTAATCATTATACTTCACCTCTCATCTTTATATGATTCTATTTCTATAAATAAATAAAACATTATATCATCTATATAATAAAAAAAAAAGTAATTTTTTTTTCCGCATATACCAAGATTTGAATTTTTAAAAACGAATATAAATTATTCAATGTATGAAAGAACAAATTTAACGGGTCAAAAATTCATATTTGAGTAATATATTCCTTTTTTTTAATATCATCAATACTTAATAGAGCAAAAATTTATGAAGTATAAATACTCTAATTTGATTTTTTGAAACAAATATTTATAATAGGCGGCGGGTTGAATATAATATATTATATGATGAAATGAGTTATGATCCTTATAACTATTTGAATATTTATATTTAATTTCATATCATTTTTTTAAAATTCATAATTTTACATAATACAATAAAAATTTTAAAGATTTTAATTTGGAACATTTTAAAATAGTTTAATTTAATATATTAAAGAATATCATAAATATTTAATAGATTAAAAAGATAAAAAAAAAATTATAAATACATTAATTTGATTTTCTAAAAAGATATGTTTAAATATTTATAGTAGGCGGCGGGTTAAATGTAATGTATTATATGGTAGAAAGTTATGATCCTTATAACAGACGGCATTTTAAGATTTTATGATGAGATGAGTTAAATAAGGTTTGACACTTCTAAATATTTGAAAATTTGATTTTGCAAGCAATTTTGAAAATAATAAATAATAGATTGTGCCGCAATATTTTCATACAGATTGTAAAATGAAAATATAGACTCTACACACGGATTGAATTTGCTATTATTATATACCAAATATATATTCATAACATATTTGATTATGTGAATAATTGGTAAATTCCGTAATTAGCTCAAACAAATCTCTATTTCAACAACCAATGAATCAGAATTTGAAAAAATAATTTCTTAAATTAATTCAAAATAATAGCTAATTTTCTTAAGTAATTCAAAATAATCTACGTTTTAGATGCGATTCATTTATGATATTTTGATTTTTGATCTAACTAAATTATATGCACTCTCATTTTGTGGTTGTTAACATAAATTAACTCATTGTTCAAACAATATTAATTTTGTAAAAAAATAATCTTATTTTCCGTTTTCATATCTTAAAAAAAAATATTCATAATTGAATACTATAGAAAAAGAAAAATATATTCATTCTAATATTATATATAGGGACTGACAAAAAAATATTATTTTTTCACTTACTATTATAATATATCACAACTTTATTCTAAAACATAAAATTTATAAATTTTGTAATAAATGAAATTCAACCCGTACTGTAGTACGGGTGATGATCTAGTTAAATGTTATAGAAGTAGAGTTGATGGGTATGTGCCAGGTGATCTTTAAATCAATCTCCACTGAAGTTGTTCATTATCATGAGCGTTTATCATCATGAGCTTTTCCTCATTTTTCTATATATTCTTTGTGAGATTCTTCGATATCTTGTGGATTTTGATAGTTGCATATGTTTAGTAGCTAGCAAAGTAGCATTCGAGAATGTAAATAGTATTGTTTGAGACCAGATCCTATCACCCGCAATGGTTTGGAATGGCTCGGTTTTCTCATTAAAACTAAAGCACTTGAATCTCAATTTCTAGGTTAAGTCGTTTGGAACGAAAAGATAAGTGCAAATTTGGTTTTTAATTTCCAAATACTTCTTCCTAATTAAGTATTGTCCCACCATACTTTGTTCATGGTTTGATTCACAGTTGAGTTATTTGTTCCTCATTTTCCACCATTCCAACAATATAACACAAAAAAAATCTTTCGAAAAGTGGCGATGTCAAAAACGTTAAATATGCCTCAAACAGTTTTAAGCTCATAATGAGGAAATTACCCCTCACTCGCACATCTAATTGGTTCATCATTCACGCCGTTTCTTTACAAATCCATAAAAAAAACAATTCACAGATTATTAATATGTATCCGACCCGATTATAAAGCACGAGATACTAAATGTACGAATTAGAATCTGAAAATCCCCAAACGCTAAGATCTCTAGCAGATAAAAGAGATAACCACTTATACCTGAAGAGTCGGCAAGAGAGGACCTTAATTCCAGATTCTAATGCCGAAAAAACCCTCGAGCTATACTAAATCAGGAAGGGAAAAACTGGGTTGGTACTTAGGAGAACCCTAATTAAAAACCCTAAATAAAATTCAATTTGGCGCAGCTATGACTCGACACGCTTCCATTAAGCATTTGTGGAAGGCGATCTTAAGGGCTGCGCGAGAAATTAAAAAAAAAACGATAAATACGAAGAACACTATTGAGAACATAAACCCTAATATTAGTCTTACAACTAATCAATCCAGAACAATGCCTTAACATGAGTAGGTTTAGACTGCACAAAATGCAACCAGACTTGAGACGTTTTCTTTGTTACCTCAGACTCAGAAGCTGTTGAAAAATCTGTCTCTTGAGGCAATTCAGGTTCATTGCTCACAATTGGCTGTGGATTTTGTAGTTTCGTCTGTAGCTTCCATCTAGGCAGGAAAAAGAAACAACTTTATAAGATAAGTGGTTAGATAAATCGCATACAAAGTTTCAATTTACTATCGAATTTAAAAACAAGAGTGAACTAATTCAATTCAGATACCTTATGTATCAAGAAGAAGAAAACTATGGATTTGTTATGCTGCTCCAGAATTACCCAATCACATCACAAATCAACTATTAAGATCACATACAACAAGTTAACTCAGATCTAATCAACAATCCATCGAACAATATAAAAATCTCAGAACTGTAAAACTTGATCTCCTAACACTACACCATGGATCAGAAATTCAAAACGATCTATCAGTAAAGAGCATCGAATCTAAAAGATACATGTAAAAGAAGAATCAAACTGTTGAATAGACAATGTTGGGGATACGAGTGTATTTATAGTGGTGAATCGAAAGAAAAACAAGTTAGGGTTTAACATATCGTTTGCCAAATTACAACATGCCCCTGTCCCGCCGACTATTCTCTTTGCTTTTGGGCCTTGAGGATAAAAGTCCACTAATCTTAGTTTTTTAAGTCAAGCTTAAATTTGAATTTGATTGTTCCATCCAAAGTGGAATTCACGAAACCCGAAATAACTCAAAATTACTTCTAAACGAATTAGACCAAAAAGGTTTTACTTGGGTGCACAAAAAAAAAGGTTTTACTTTGAGGATATGCTTTGCAGGTTAAGAGATTGGAATTTCACATAAAAGTAGAACAATACAAGAGGATACACAACACAAAATCACTAATCTATGATGAAAACATCAAATGCTTGTTCATCAGACTGGAACATTTAAGATTGCTAAGTAATATGTGAGAACAATAGATTATACATGAATCAACGAAAAAGCAAGTATCGGAGGAAATGTGATCAACGGGGGGAAGGATTGTCCAAAACGATTGCCCACATGACTACAAACAAACTGCATATCCTCCGATGGCTTCTAATGCCGTTACCTCTGGTTTATGAGACAACTATTTAATCGGTTTCACCAGACTGCTGGCTCCAGCCATTTCTATATCAGAGTCAATCTTTGAGGAGAAGAGTAATGGTGAGACTCGAGCTCTTTAAGACTGGCAGATGCATCATCAGCTATTCTAGCCAACAATCGATTTGTCTTCTCGGCCTCTTGATCAAACTCTTCTATTCTTTGTTCTACATGATCGTTAAGCGATGCAAATCCTGAAAAAATCGATGTTTGCTTCAGTTTCGATACGAGTTTCATAAGAGAATCAGCTGCTTGAACCTGCCACATCATTGTTGAGGAACTCAGTGTTAACAAACACAACAAGGGAATAATCTTAGCAGAAGAAGCTCAGTTGAAACAATGTAAAACAACACTTGAGAGACTCATTAGTGAATGTTTCAGTGACTCAAGCATTACAGATGTATCCAAATTTGCAGCCCTAACCCCTGAAACCCAGATTCAAGCATAAGCAACCAAAACAAACCCAATTCAACGCATCTATCTATGAGAACCCAAATGTTTTACTATACACCAATATATCATCAAAAAATACCAGAATGAATTTCCTGAGATAGGGTCGAAACAATTCATTCATCAAAGCTTGAAATGTTGCTGGAGCGTTAGTCAATCCAAAAGGCATCACTAGAAATTCATAGTGGCCATCGTGAGTACGAAATGCAGTCTTCGCCACATCCTCTTCTCTCATTCGTATCTGATGATAGCCAGCCCTCAAATCCAACTTGGAAAACACCACAGAACCATTTAACTCATCCAGTAATTGGTCAATCATAGGTATTGGAAACTTGTCCGGCACTGTAACACGGTTTAGTGCTCTGTAATCTACACAGAAGCGCCAGCTCTTATCCTTTTTCTTCACTAATAAAACTGGGCTGGAGAAAGGACTCTGACTTGGCCTTATGATACCAGAATCCAGCATCTCCTGAACCATCTTCTCCATGATTTCTTTCTGTGCATGTGGATATCTATATGGCCTGACACTGATCGCATTATTCCCAGGTAAGAGATTAATGGAGTGCTCTCTTCCTCTGATTGGAGGTAGCCCTGTAGGGATCTCAAACACCTGATCATACTTTGTCAACACTTCTTGAAGTCCTTCAGTCAATGGCTGCCCTTCTGCCTGTAACAACTGCTGGTTACACAACTCCACTTCCACTCCTTTTGTGCTTAATGTAAAACCACTAGACAATGATTTTAGAGACATCTTTGAAATATGTAAGTCAGATTCTCCCCTCAATGATACTATCCTGTTCTTATACAGGAATGACATCTCATTTGTTTCCCAATTGACCTTACAGTCTCCCAGTGTTCTTAGCCAATATACTCCCAAGATAATATCAATCTGGCCCAATTCCAAGACTACAAAATCTGTAGTAAACTCCAAATCCTGAACTGAGAAACTCACTCTATCACAAACGCCCATGCCTTGTACCATGATACCTGTCCCCAACTTCACATTCAAATTCGGATCTTGTTTACATTTCAACTTCAGTTTCTGCACTGCCGCAGGTGAAATAAAATTGTGGGTTGCACCACTATCCAACATAATGACTACATCCGCTTTACCCACTGTTCCTCTCACTTTAGTGGTCTCGGGAGAAGAAATTCCCCTATAAGAAGTGAAAGATAATGCCATACATTCACCCACAATAGCTTCTCTTTCTCCATTATCCACATTACCATCCAAAACTTCAACTTCATATCCATTAAAAACAGTTAACACTCTTAACTCTTTGTTAGGACACTTATGATCTTTACCCCATGGTCCATCACACTTAAAGCAAATTCCTTTTCTTCTCTTCTCATCCAATTCAGCACTAGAATTGTGTCTTCTAGGTCTCTGCTCCCATCTACCATTCTGTCTTTCACTTACTTGGACAGAATCTGTGGCAATAGACTTCATTTTCCATGTATTAGTGTTAAAAGTTGTATTACTTTTACTATCAGCTTCATAATTCTCTTTATTGGCCAGTAATAACTCCTTTTTCACCACTCTTCTTATGATACTAGACTCCATTGCTCTAGCCTCTGCTACCATCTCAGGTAAGTTGCGTGGTTTCTGCATATGAACCAACTCTTGCATTTCTTGAGTCAACCCATTCAAAAAAATCCCTTCCAATTTCTGATCATCTAGACCGGTTACTTGAGAAGACAAGTCTTCAAATCGCTGAACGTAATCAGCTACAGTCCCTGTTTGTTTGATACAAAACAGACTTTGACTCGGCCCTCGAATCTTCAGATTTCCAAACCTCAAAATCAACGCAGCTTTAAACTGGTTCCAACTCTCAAATTCGTGTCTGTTAATCTGCCAATTATACCAACTCAAAGCTTCTCCCTGTAAACTCACTGAAACCAGAGCCAATTTCTCCGCATCATTGTAACCATCAGTCCGAAAGAACCGCTCAACTCTGGCGATCCAAGAATAAATCCCAATCCCTTCAAATACTGCCATCTCAACATTCTTGAGAAGATTCTCTCTAATCCCAGGTCTAATATTCCTATGGCAAGGTTCTTGGATAGGAAGTGGTACCTGGTTAGGCCGATCTTGCGATCTTGGGGCTCCACCATGGCTAGATCCGCCAATTTCTTGCACCGTCGCTATTCCCGGTAACGCACAAAGCACCAAATCCAGCTTGCGTCCTATATCGACCAACTGCTGATCATGAACCCCAATCTTTGCACTCAAATCAACTCGCAAAGACTCCAACTTTGAATCTGTCCTCGAATCCGAACGACGAATCTTGTTACTCATATCTGTCAACTGTTCATGAACCTCCGTTAACGACGCCGCCGTTTGTTCCGCATCAGATAACTCTGTAATAGTCGGCAATTCTTGTGTCATCACCATCTCTGATCTGAAATTTCTTCGATTTCACAAAACCCCCAAATCGTCAAACCCTAACTTTTCTTGCGAAGACTTCGATCTCGATCACGAACGCACCAATTGATAGAAACAAACCGTAATCTTTATTAACAATGAAAAGAATTGATACAATTTGTCTCTCGAGGAGAGCTCTAGCACATCACCAGAACATTACTCTCTCTCTCTCTACAATGACCATACGTCACTGTTACAACAACAAACAATGCATGAAAGACTAATACAATGAATTGAGACTTATATACAATTGTTCTCTATTCACTCACGTGCTCTTTTCTTCTTGTACACGTGTTGCTTCTCTACTCTTCTTCCTTATATACACGTTATGGAGCTTATCAATACCCCCCCCTTCGAAACGCAGCTTGTCCTCAAGCGCCAAAGTAGGATACTGTCTCTGTAAATCCTTCACCACTTCCCATGTATTCTCATGATCAGGCAGTCCTCTCCAATGAACTAAAGCTTCCAGAACACCATTGGCATTATAACGAGTCTCAATCACTGTTTCAGGTTCAATTATCACTTCATCTTCTTCCGTGAACAGATCTGGTAAAGAGATAACTTGATGATGGGTACCCAAAACCTTCTTTAGTTGTGAAACATGGAACACCGGGTGTATTTTTGAACCCTCGAATAACTTCAATCTATACTCAGCTTTACCAATCCTCTCCATCACTTCAAATGGGCCATAGTATTTTGCTGCCAACTTCTGACAAGCTCTCTTAGTGACTGATTGTTGCCTATAGGGTCGCAGTTTCAGAAAAAGCCAATCTCCAACTGCATATTCTACATCTCTTCGATGTTTATCAGCATTATTTTTCATTAATTGCTGAGCGTGAATGAGGTGATCTTTAATTTGAGACAACATTCTATCCCTCTCCTTCAACATGTCCTCTAACTCAGATACCTTTGTAGATTGCTCTTCAAAACGAAGTATGGCAGGAGGATCACGACCATACAGAACTTTAAAAGGAGTGGTTTTCAAAGATGTATGATACGATGAATTGTACCATAACTCAGCCCAAGATAAGTACTGATGCCATGACTTCGGGTGTGATGATGCTAAACATCTCAAATAAGTCTCCAGGCAGCGGTTAAGTACCTCTGTTTGTCCGTCTGTTTGCGGGTGAAATGCAGTACTGTATTTGAGTTTAGTGCCGGACAGCTTGAAACAATCTTTCCAAAAGGCACTAAGGAATGTACTGCCCCTGTCAGATACTATTGATGCTGGAAATCCGTGTAGCTTTACAACTTCTTTAACGAATAATCTTGCAACCTCTGAAGCTGAGAATGGGTGCTTCAAACTGAGAAAATGACTGTATTTGCTCAACCTGTCAACAACCACCAGAATTACATTCTTTCCTTGAGAAGTAGGAAGTCCTTCAACAAAGTCCATTGAAATATCCTCCCACACCTGTTGAGGCAGTGGTAGAGGTTGTAATAAACCTGCTGGTGATAATGTCGAATACTTATGTCGTTGACAAACATCACACTCAGAGTCAAACTTCTGAACATCTTTCATCAATCCCTCCCACTGAAAAGACTGTTGTATCCTCTTTACTGTCTTTAAGACACCGGAATGTCCTCCTAATAAGCCACTGTGAAATTCCTCTAGTATCAAAGGAATAGACTTTGAGTTTTTAGGCAGCACTAGTCTATTTTTGAACCATAGCTTCTCATTCCGTACTGTATAACCCTGGTATTTAGACGGCTCCTGTATACAAGAATGAATCATTTCTTGCAACTTCACATCTTTATCAATCTCTTCATATATGTCTAACAGCTGCAGCACTGTAGGGGTTGTTAATGCCATCAACGAATGGGAAGATAGTGATCCTTCTGTTTGGACCATTCTTGACAATCCATCTGCGGCTTTGTTCTCCACACCGGGCTTGTATATGATCTCAAAGTCGTAATTCAACAATTTAACTAACCACTTCTGATAATCCATCGTCACTTCTCTCTGGTCCAATAAGAATTTCAGACTCTTTTGATCTGTATGCACCACAAAGTGTCTACCAAACAAATAATGCTTCCATTTCTGAATCGACAGGACTATCGCCATCAATTCTCTTTCATATACTGGTTTCAATTGTTCCTTAGCAGTTAACCCGTGACTAAAATAGGCAATCGGTTTCTTTTTCTGCATTAAAACTGCTCCCAAACCAAACCCCGATGCGTCTGCTTCTACAATGAATACTTCTTCAAAATCAGGCAAAGAGAGAACAGGAGCTGTCGACATGGCTTTCTTCAAACTGTCAAATGCTAACTGAGCATCCACACTCCATTCAAAGCTGTCTTTCCTTAGTAAATCCGTTAGTGGCCTTGCCAACACACCATAGCCTTTTATAAACCTCCTGTAATATCCAGTTAAACCGAGAAAGCCACGCAGCTCCTTAACTGACTTAGGCGTTACCCATTGAATCATTGCTTGAGTCTTAGCTGGATCTGTAGAAACACCTTCGCTGGAAATGATGTGTCCCAAATAATCCACTTGATCCTGACCAAACAAACACTTCTTCTTATTGGCAAAAAGTTGATGTTCCTCCAATATCCTCAACACTACACCCAAATGCTCCATATGTTGCTCCATAGTTTTACTATACACCAATATATCATCAAAAAATACCAGAATGAATTTCCTGAGATAGGGTCGAAACAATTCATTCATCAAAGCTTGAAATGTTGCTGGAGCGTTAGTCAATCCAAAAGGCATCACTAGAAATTCATAGTGGCCATCGTGAGTACGAAATGCAGTCTTCGCCACATCCTCTTCTCTCATTCGTATCTGATGATAGCCAGCCCTCAAATCCAACTTGGAAAACACCACAGAACCATTTAACTCATCCAGTAATTGGTCAATCATAGGTATTGGAAACTTGTCCGGCACTGTAACACGGTTTAGTGCTCTGTAATCTACACAGAAGCGCCAGCTCTTATCCTTTTTCTTCACTAATAAAACTGGGCTGGAGAAAGGACTCTGACTTGGCCTTATGATACCAGAATCCAGCATCTCCTGAACCATCTTCTCCATGATTTCTTTCTGTGCATGTGGATATCTATATGGCCTGACACTGATCGCATTATTCCCAGGTAAGAGATTAATGGAGTGCTCTCTTCCTCTGATTGGAGGTAGCCCTGTAGGGATCTCAAACACCTGATCATACTTTGTCAACACTTCTTGAAGTCCTTCAGTCAATGGCTGCCCTTCTGCCTGTAACAACTGCTGGTTACACAACTCCACTTCCACTCCTTTTGTGCTTAATGTAAAACCACTAGACAATGATTTTAGAGACATCTTTGAAATATGTAAGTCAGATTCTCCCCTCAATGATACTATCCTGTTCTTATACAGGAATGACATCTCATTTGTTTCCCAATTGACCTTACAGTCTCCCAGTGTTCTTAGCCAATATACTCCCAAGATAATATCAATCTGGCCCAATTCCAAGACTACAAAATCTGTAGTAAACTCCAAATCCTGAACTGAGAAACTCACTCTATCACAAACGCCCATGCCTTGTACCATGATACCTGTCCCCAACTTCACATTCAAATTCGGATCTTGTTTACATTTCAACTTCAGTTTCTGCACTGCCGCAGGTGAAATAAAATTGTGGGTTGCACCACTATCCAACATAATGACTACATCCGCTTTACCCACTGTTCCTCTCACTTTAGTGGTCTCGGGAGAAGAAATTCCCCTATAAGAAGTGAAAGATAATGCCATACATTCACCCACAATAGCTTCTCTTTCTCCATTATCCACATTACCATCCAAAACTTCAACTTCATATCCATTAAAAACAGTTAACACTCTTAACTCTTTGTTAGGACACTTATGATCTTTACCCCATGGTCCATCACACTTAAAGCAAATTCCTTTTCTTCTCTTCTCATCCAATTCAGCACTAGAATTGTGTCTTCTAGGTCTCTGCTCCCATCTACCATTCTGTCTTTCACTTACTTGGACAGAATCTGTGGCAATAGACTTCATTTTCCATGTATTAGTGTTAAAAGTTGTATTACTTTTACTATCAGCTTCATAATTCTCTTTATTGGCCAGTAATAACTCCTTTTTCACCACTCTTCTTATGATACTAGACTCCATTGCTCTAGCCTCTGCTACCATCTCAGGTAAGTTGCGTGGTTTCTGCATATGAACCAACTCTTGCATTTCTTGAGTCAACCCATTCAAAAAAATCCCTTCCAATTTCTGATCATCTAGACCGGTTACTTGAGAAGACAAGTCTTCAAATCGCTGAACGTAATCAGCTACAGTCCCTGTTTGTTTGATACAAAACAGACTTTGACTCGGCCCTCGAATCTTCAGATTTCCAAACCTCAAAATCAACGCAGCTTTAAACTGGTTCCAACTCTCAAATTCGTGTCTGTTAATCTGCCAATTATACCAACTCAAAGCTTCTCCCTGTAAACTCACTGAAACCAGAGCCAATTTCTCCGCATCATTGTAACCATCAGTCCGAAAGAACCGCTCAACTCTGGCGATCCAAGAATAAATCCCAATCCCTTCAAATACTGCCATCTCAACATTCTTGAGAAGATTCTCTCTAATCCCAGGTCTAATATTCCTATGGCAAGGTTCTTGGATAGGAAGTGGTACCTGGTTAGGCCGATCTTGCGATCTTGGGGCTCCACCATGGCTAGATCCGCCAATTTCTTGCACCGTCGCTATTCCCGGTAACGCACAAAGCACCAAATCCAGCTTGCGTCCTATATCGACCAACTGCTGATCATGAACCCCAATCTTTGCACTCAAATCAACTCGCAAAGACTCCAACTTTGAATCTGTCCTCGAATCCGAACGACGAATCTTGTTACTCATATCTGTCAACTGTTCATGAACCTCCGTTAACGACGCCGCCGTTTGTTCCGCATCAGATAACTCTGTAATAGTCGGCAATTCTTGTGTCATCACCATCTCTGATCTGAAATTTCTTCGATTTCACAAAACCCCCAAATCGTCAAACCCTAACTTTTCTTGCGAAGACTTCGATCTCGATCACGAACGCACCAATTGATAGAAACAAACCGTAATCTTTATTAACAATGAAAAGAATTGATACAATTTGTCTCTCGAGGAGAGCTCTAGCACATCACCAGAACATTACTCTCTCTCTCTCTACAATGACCATACGTCACTGTTACAACAACAAACAATGCATGAAAGACTAATACAATGAATTGAGACTTATATACAATTGTTCTCTATTCACTCACGTGCTCTTTTCTTCTTGTACACGTGTTGCTTCTCTACTCTTCTTCCTTATATACACGTTATGGAGCTTATCAATACCCCCCCCTTCGAAACGCAGCTTGTCCTCAAGCGCCAAAGTAGGATACTGTCTCTGTAAATCCTTCACCACTTCCCATGTATTCTCATGATCAGGCAGTCCTCTCCAATGAACTAAAGCTTCCAGAACACCATTGGCATTATAACGAGTCTCAATCACTGTTTCAGGTTCAATTATCACTTCATCTTCTTCCGTGAACAGATCTGGTAAAGAGATAACTTGATGATGGGTACCCAAAACCTTCTTTAGTTGTGAAACATGGAACACCGGGTGTATTTTTGAACCCTCGAATAACTTCAATCTATACTCAGCTTTACCAATCCTCTCCATCACTTCAAATGGGCCATAGTATTTTGCTGCCAACTTCTGACAAGCTCTCTTAGTGACTGATTGTTGCCTATAGGGTCGCAGTTTCAGAAAAAGCCAATCTCCAACTGCATATTCTACATCTCTTCGATGTTTATCAGCATTATTTTTCATTAATTGCTGAGCGTGAATGAGGTGATCTTTAATTTGAGACAACATTCTATCCCTCTCCTTCAACATGTCCTCTAACTCAGATACCTTTGTAGATTGCTCTTCAAAACGAAGTATGGCAGGAGGATCACGACCATACAGAACTTTAAAAGGAGTGGTTTTCAAAGATGTATGATACGATGAATTGTACCATAACTCAGCCCAAGATAAGTACTGATGCCATGACTTCGGGTGTGATGATGCTAAACATCTCAAATAAGTCTCCAGGCAGCGGTTAAGTACCTCTGTTTGTCCGTCTGTTTGCGGGTGAAATGCAGTACTGTATTTGAGTTTAGTGCCGGACAGCTTGAAACAATCTTTCCAAAAGGCACTAAGGAATGTACTGCCCCTGTCAGATACTATTGATGCTGGAAATCCGTGTAGCTTTACAACTTCTTTAACGAATAATCTTGCAACCTCTGAAGCTGAGAATGGGTGCTTCAAACTGAGAAAATGACTGTATTTGCTCAACCTGTCAACAACCACCAGAATTACATTCTTTCCTTGAGAAGTAGGAAGTCCTTCAACAAAGTCCATTGAAATATCCTCCCACACCTGTTGAGGCAGTGGTAGAGGTTGTAATAAACCTGCTGGTGATAATGTCGAATACTTATGTCGTTGACAAACATCACACTCAGAGTCAAACTTCTGAACATCTTTCATCAATCCCTCCCACTGAAAAGACTGTTGTATCCTCTTTACTGTCTTTAAGACACCGGAATGTCCTCCTAATAAGCCACTGTGAAATTCCTCTAGTATCAAAGGAATAGACTTTGAGTTTTTAGGCAGCACTAGTCTATTTTTGAACCATAGCTTCTCATTCCGTACTGTATAACCCTGGTATTTAGACGGCTCCTGTATACAAGAATGAATCATTTCTTGCAACTTCACATCTTTATCAATCTCTTCATATATGTCTAACAGCTGCAGCACTGTAGGGGTTGTTAATGCCATCAACGAATGGGAAGATAGTGATCCTTCTGTTTGGACCATTCTTGACAATCCATCTGCGGCTTTGTTCTCCACACCGGGCTTGTATATGATCTCAAAGTCGTAATTCAACAATTTAACTAACCACTTCTGATAATCCATCGTCACTTCTCTCTGGTCCAATAAGAATTTCAGACTCTTTTGATCTGTATGCACCACAAAGTGTCTACCAAACAAATAATGCTTCCATTTCTGAATCGACAGGACTATCGCCATCAATTCTCTTTCATATACTGGTTTCAATTGTTCCTTAGCAGTTAACCCGTGACTAAAATAGGCAATCGGTTTCTTTTTCTGCATTAAAACTGCTCCCAAACCAAACCCCGATGCGTCTGCTTCTACAATGAATACTTCTTCAAAATCAGGCAAAGAGAGAACAGGAGCTGTCGACATGGCTTTCTTCAAACTGTCAAATGCTAACTGAGCATCCACACTCCATTCAAAGCTGTCTTTCCTTAGTAAATCCGTTAGTGGCCTTGCCAACACACCATAGCCTTTTATAAACCTCCTGTAATATCCAGTTAAACCGAGAAAGCCACGCAGCTCCTTAACTGACTTAGGCGTTACCCATTGAATCATTGCTTGAGTCTTAGCTGGATCTGTAGAAACACCTTCGCTGGAAATGATGTGTCCCAAATAATCCACTTGATCCTGACCAAACAAACACTTCTTCTTATTGGCAAAAAGTTGATGTTCCTCCAATATCCTCAACACTACACCCAAATGCTCCATATGTTGCTCCATAGTTTTACTATACACCAATATATCATCAAAAAATACCAGAATGAATTTCCTGAGATAGGGTCGAAACAATTCATTCATCAAAGCTTGAAATGTTGCTGGAGCGTTAGTCAATCCAAAAGGCATCACTAGAAATTCATAGTGGCCATCGTGAGTACGAAATGCAGTCTTCGCCACATCCTCTTCTCTCATTCGTATCTGATGATAGCCAGCCCTCAAATCCAACTTGGAAAACACCACAGAACCATTTAACTCATCCAGTAATTGGTCAATCATAGGTATTGGAAACTTGTCCGGCACTGTAACACGGTTTAGTGCTCTGTAATCTACACAGAAGCGCCAGCTCTTATCCTTTTTCTTCACTAATAAAACTGGGCTGGAGAAAGGACTCTGACTTGGCCTTATGATACCAGAATCCAGCATCTCCTGAACCATCTTCTCCATGATTTCTTTCTGTGCATGTGGATATCTATATGGCCTGACACTGATCGCATTATTCCCAGGTAAGAGATTAATGGAGTGCTCTCTTCCTCTGATTGGAGGTAGCCCTGTAGGGATCTCAAACACCTGATCATACTTTGTCAACACTTCTTGAAGTCCTTCAGTCAATGGCTGCCCTTCTGCCTGTAACAACTGCTGGTTACACAACTCCACTTCCACTCCTTTTGTGCTTAATGTAAAACCACTAGACAATGATTTTAGAGACATCTTTGAAATATGTAAGTCAGATTCTCCCCTCAATGATACTATCCTGTTCTTATACAGGAATGACATCTCATTTGTTTCCCAATTGACCTTACAGTCTCCCAGTGTTCTTAGCCAATATACTCCCAAGATAATATCAATCTGGCCCAATTCCAAGACTACAAAATCTGTAGTAAACTCCAAATCCTGAACTGAGAAACTCACTCTATCACAAACGCCCATGCCTTGTACCATGATACCTGTCCCCAACTTCACATTCAAATTCGGATCTTGTTTACATTTCAACTTCAGTTTCTGCACTGCCGCAGGTGAAATAAAATTGTGGGTTGCACCACTATCCAACATAATGACTACATCCGCTTTACCCACTGTTCCTCTCACTTTAGTGGTCTCGGGAGAAGAAATTCCCCTATAAGAAGTGAAAGATAATGCCATACATTCACCCACAATAGCTTCTCTTTCTCCATTATCCACATTACCATCCAAAACTTCAACTTCATATCCATTAAAAACAGTTAACACTCTTAACTCTTTGTTAGGACACTTATGATCTTTACCCCATGGTCCATCACACTTAAAGCAAATTCCTTTTCTTCTCTTCTCATCCAATTCAGCACTAGAATTGTGTCTTCTAGGTCTCTGCTCCCATCTACCATTCTGTCTTTCACTTACTTGGACAGAATCTGTGGCAATAGACTTCATTTTCCATGTATTAGTGTTAAAAGTTGTATTACTTTTACTATCAGCTTCATAATTCTCTTTATTGGCCAGTAATAACTCCTTTTTCACCACTCTTCTTATGATACTAGACTCCATTGCTCTAGCCTCTGCTACCATCTCAGGTAAGTTGCGTGGTTTCTGCATATGAACCAACTCTTGCATTTCTTGAGTCAACCCATTCAAAAAAATCCCTTCCAATTTCTGATCATCTAGACCGGTTACTTGAGAAGACAAGTCTTCAAATCGCTGAACGTAATCAGCTACAGTCCCTGTTTGTTTGATACAAAACAGACTTTGACTCGGCCCTCGAATCTTCAGATTTCCAAACCTCAAAATCAACGCAGCTTTAAACTGGTTCCAACTCTCAAATTCGTGTCTGTTAATCTGCCAATTATACCAACTCAAAGCTTCTCCCTGTAAACTCACTGAAACCAGAGCCAATTTCTCCGCATCATTGTAACCATCAGTCCGAAAGAACCGCTCAACTCTGGCGATCCAAGAATAAATCCCAATCCCTTCAAATACTGCCATCTCAACATTCTTGAGAAGATTCTCTCTAATCCCAGGTCTAATATTCCTATGGCAAGGTTCTTGGATAGGAAGTGGTACCTGGTTAGGCCGATCTTGCGATCTTGGGGCTCCACCATGGCTAGATCCGCCAATTTCTTGCACCGTCGCTATTCCCGGTAACGCACAAAGCACCAAATCCAGCTTGCGTCCTATATCGACCAACTGCTGATCATGAACCCCAATCTTTGCACTCAAATCAACTCGCAAAGACTCCAACTTTGAATCTGTCCTCGAATCCGAACGACGAATCTTGTTACTCATATCTGTCAACTGTTCATGAACCTCCGTTAACGACGCCGCCGTTTGTTCCGCATCAGATAACTCTGTAATAGTCGGCAATTCTTGTGTCATCACCATCTCTGATCTGAAATTTCTTCGATTTCACAAAACCCCCAAATCGTCAAACCCTAACTTTTCTTGCGAAGACTTCGATCTCGATCACGAACGCACCAATTGATAGAAACAAACCGTAATCTTTATTAACAATGAAAAGAATTGATACAATTTGTCTCTCGAGGAGAGCTCTAGCACATCACCAGAACATTACTCTCTCTCTCTCTACAATGACCATACGTCACTGTTACAACAACAAACAATGCATGAAAGACTAATACAATGAATTGAGACTTATATACAATTGTTCTCTATTCACTCACGTGCTCTTTTCTTCTTGTACACGTGTTGCTTCTCTACTCTTCTTCCTTATATACACGTTATGGAGCTTATCAATACCCCCCCCTTCGAAACGCAGCTTGTCCTCAAGCGCCAAAGTAGGATACTGTCTCTGTAAATCCTTCACCACTTCCCATGTATTCTCATGATCAGGCAGTCCTCTCCAATGAACTAAAGCTTCCAGAACACCATTGGCATTATAACGAGTCTCAATCACTGTTTCAGGTTCAATTATCACTTCATCTTCTTCCGTGAACAGATCTGGTAAAGAGATAACTTGATGATGGGTACCCAAAACCTTCTTTAGTTGTGAAACATGGAACACCGGGTGTATTTTTGAACCCTCGAATAACTTCAATCTATACTCAGCTTTACCAATCCTCTCCATCACTTCAAATGGGCCATAGTATTTTGCTGCCAACTTCTGACAAGCTCTCTTAGTGACTGATTGTTGCCTATAGGGTCGCAGTTTCAGAAAAAGCCAATCTCCAACTGCATATTCTACATCTCTTCGATGTTTATCAGCATTATTTTTCATTAATTGCTGAGCGTGAATGAGGTGATCTTTAATTTGAGACAACATTCTATCCCTCTCCTTCAACATGTCCTCTAACTCAGATACCTTTGTAGATTGCTCTTCAAAACGAAGTATGGCAGGAGGATCACGACCATACAGAACTTTAAAAGGAGTGGTTTTCAAAGATGTATGATACGATGAATTGTACCATAACTCAGCCCAAGATAAGTACTGATGCCATGACTTCGGGTGTGATGATGCTAAACATCTCAAATAAGTCTCCAGGCAGCGGTTAAGTACCTCTGTTTGTCCGTCTGTTTGCGGGTGAAATGCAGTACTGTATTTGAGTTTAGTGCCGGACAGCTTGAAACAATCTTTCCAAAAGGCACTAAGGAATGTACTGCCCCTGTCAGATACTATTGATGCTGGAAATCCGTGTAGCTTTACAACTTCTTTAACGAATAATCTTGCAACCTCTGAAGCTGAGAATGGGTGCTTCAAACTGAGAAAATGACTGTATTTGCTCAACCTGTCAACAACCACCAGAATTACATTCTTTCCTTGAGAAGTAGGAAGTCCTTCAACAAAGTCCATTGAAATATCCTCCCACACCTGTTGAGGCAGTGGTAGAGGTTGTAATAAACCTGCTGGTGATAATGTCGAATACTTATGTCGTTGACAAACATCACACTCAGAGACAAACTTCTGAACATCTTTCATCAATCCCTCCCACTGAAAAGACTGTTGTATCCTCTTTACTGTCTTTAAGACACCGGAATGTCCTCCTAATAAGCCACTGTGAAATTCCTCTAGTATCAAAGGAATAGACTTTGAGTTTTTAGGCAGCACTAGTCTATTTTTGAACCATAGCTTCTCATTCCGTACTGTATAACCCTGGTATTTAGACGGCTCCTGTATACAAGAATGAATCATTTCTTGCAACTTCACATCTTTATCAATCTCTTCATATATGTCTAACAGCTGCAGCACTGTAGGGGTTGTTAATGCCATCAACGAATGGGAAGATAGTGATCCTTCTGTTTGGACCATTCTTGACAATCCATCTGCGGCTTTGTTCTCCACACCGGGCTTGTATATGATCTCAAAGTCGTAATTCAACAATTTAACTAACCACTTCTGATAATCCATCGTCACTTCTCTCTGGTCCAATAAGAATTTCAGACTCTTTTGATCTGTATGCACCACAAAGTGTCTACCAAACAAATAATGCTTCCATTTCTGAATCGACAGGACTATCGCCATCAATTCTCTTTCATATACTGGTTTCAATTGTTCCTTAGCAGTTAACCCGTGACTAAAATAGGCAATCGGTTTCTTTTTCTGCATTAAAACTGCTCCCAAACCAAACCCCGATGCGTCTGCTTCTACAATGAATACTTCTTCAAAATCAGGCAAAGAGAGAACAGGAGCTGTCGACATGGCTTTCTTCAAACTGTCAAATGCTAACTGAGCATCCACACTCCATTCAAAGCTGTCTTTCCTTAGTAAATCCGTTAGTGGCCTTGCCAACACACCATAGCCTTTTATAAACCTCCTGTAATATCCAGTTAAACCGAGAAAGCCACGCAGCTCCTTAACTGACTTAGGCGTTACCCATTGAATCATTGCTTGAGTCTTAGCTGGATCTGTAGAAACACCTTCGCTGGAAATGATGTGTCCCAAATAATCCACTTGATCCTGACCAAACAAACACTTCTTCTTATTGGCAAAAAGTTGATGTTCCTCCAATATCCTCAACACTACACCCAAATGCTCCATATGTTGCTCCATAGTTTTACTATACACCAATATATCATCAAAAAATACCAGAATGAATTTCCTGAGATAGGGTCGAAACAATTCATTCATCAAAGCTTGAAATGTTGCTGGAGCGTTAGTCAATCCAAAAGGCATCACTAGAAATTCATAGTGGCCATCGTGAGTACGAAATGCAGTCTTCGCCACATCCTCTTCTCTCATTCGTATCTGATGATAGCCAGCCCTCAAATCCAACTTGGAAAACACCACAGAACCATTTAACTCATCCAGTAATTGGTCAATCATAGGTATTGGAAACTTGTCCGGCACTGTAACACGGTTTAGTGCTCTGTAATCTACACAGAAGCGCCAGCTCTTATCCTTTTTCTTCACTAATAAAACTGGGCTGGAGAAAGGACTCTGACTTGGCCTTATGATACCAGAATCCAGCATCTCCTGAACCATCTTCTCCATGATTTCTTTCTGTGCATGTGGATATCTATATGGCCTGACACTGATCGCATTATTCCCAGGTAAGAGATTAATGGAGTGCTCTCTTCCTCTGATTGGAGGTAGCCCTGTAGGGATCTCAAACACCTGATCATACTTTGTCAACACTTCTTGAAGTCCTTCAGTCAATGGCTGCCCTTCTGCCTGTAACAACTGCTGGTTACACAACTCCACTTCCACTCCTTTTGTGCTTAATGTAAAACCACTAGACAATGATTTTAGAGACATCTTTGAAATATGTAAGTCAGATTCTCCCCTCAATGATACTATCCTGTTCTTATACAGGAATGACATCTCATTTGTTTCCCAATTGACCTTACAGTCTCCCAGTGTTCTTAGCCAATATACTCCCAAGATAATATCAATCTGGCCCAATTCCAAGACTACAAAATCTGTAGTAAACTCCAAATCCTGAACTGAGAAACTCACTCTATCACAAACGCCCATGCCTTGTACCATGATACCTGTCCCCAACTTCACATTCAAATTCGGATCTTGTTTACATTTCAACTTCAGTTTCTGCACTGCCGCAGGTGAAATAAAATTGTGGGTTGCACCACTATCCAACATAATGACTACATCCGCTTTACCCACTGTTCCTCTCACTTTAGTGGTCTCGGGAGAAGAAATTCCCCTATAAGAAGTGAAAGATAATGCCATACATTCACCCACAATAGCTTCTCTTTCTCCATTATCCACATTACCATCCAAAACTTCAACTTCATATCCATTAAAAACAGTTAACACTCTTAACTCTTTGTTAGGACACTTATGATCTTTACCCCATGGTCCATCACACTTAAAGCAAATTCCTTTTCTTCTCTTCTCATCCAATTCAGCACTAGAATTGTGTCTTCTAGGTCTCTGCTCCCATCTACCATTCTGTCTTTCACTTACTTGGACAGAATCTGTGGCAATAGACTTCATTTTCCATGTATTAGTGTTAAAAGTTGTATTACTTTTACTATCAGCTTCATAATTCTCTTTATTGGCCAGTAATAACTCCTTTTTCACCACTCTTCTTATGATACTAGACTCCATTGCTCTAGCCTCTGCTACCATCTCAGGTAAGTTGCGTGGTTTCTGCATATGAACCAACTCTTGCATTTCTTGAGTCAACCCATTCAAAAAAATCCCTTCCAATTTCTGATCATCTAGACCGGTTACTTGAGAAGACAAGTCTTCAAATCGCTGAACGTAATCAGCTACAGTCCCTGTTTGTTTGATACAAAACAGACTTTGACTCGGCCCTCGAATCTTCAGATTTCCAAACCTCAAAATCAACGCAGCTTTAAACTGGTTCCAACTCTCAAATTCGTGTCTGTTAATCTGCCAATTATACCAACTCAAAGCTTCTCCCTGTAAACTCACTGAAACCAGAGCCAATTTCTCCGCATCATTGTAACCATCAGTCCGAAAGAACCGCTCAACTCTGGCGATCCAAGAATAAATCCCAATCCCTTCAAATACTGCCATCTCAACATTCTTGAGAAGATTCTCTCTAATCCCAGGTCTAATATTCCTATGGCAAGGTTCTTGGATAGGAAGTGGTACCTGGTTAGGCCGATCTTGCGATCTTGGGGCTCCACCATGGCTAGATCCGCCAATTTCTTGCACCGTCGCTATTCCCGGTAACGCACAAAGCACCAAATCCAGCTTGCGTCCTATATCGACCAACTGCTGATCATGAACCCCAATCTTTGCACTCAAATCAACTCGCAAAGACTCCAACTTTGAATCTGTCCTCGAATCCGAACGACGAATCTTGTTACTCATATCTGTCAACTGTTCATGAACCTCCGTTAACGACGCCGCCGTTTGTTCCGCATCAGATAACTCTGTAATAGTCGGCAATTCTTGTGTCATCACCATCTCTGATCTGAAATTTCTTCGATTTCACAAAACCCCCAAATCGTCAAACCCTAACTTTTCTTGCGAAGACTTCGATCTCGATCACGAACGCACCAATTGATAGAAACAAACCGTAATCTTTATTAACAATGAAAAGAATTGATACAATTTGTCTCTCGAGGAGAGCTCTAGCACATCACCAGAACATTACTCTCTCTCTCTCTACAATGACCATACGTCACTGTTACAACAACAAACAATGCATGAAAGACTAATACAATGAATTGAGACTTATATACAATTGTTCTCTATTCACTCACGTGCTCTTTTCTTCTTGTACACGTGTTGCTTCTCTACTCTTCTTCCTTATATACACGTTATGGAGCTTATCAATCACTCACCTAACGAAACCAAAACATGTTTCGACTCAATAAACACTACTAATCTTAAAGAGAATCTATATTACCTAGCAACGACATTAGTGACAACAGACTTGCAAGTATCACACCAAAACCTTGGCTTTTTCCCTTTGTTATTCACACCATTCACTCCATGGTGGATATGTGTGACTATCTTATTGCAAGAACGACAGCTAATGTAATACCAAGCCCAGTCAGTATCAATTGCATAGATAGTACACATTAACCTTGCCTTCCCAATCTAGATAAAATTGTTCTGTTATTAATATTGATATTAACACATAAAAAAGTTTGTGTAAATTATAAGATTCAATACTGATACCTTGACAGTGTTGAGGAGATCCACAATGGTCTTTCTGGGGAGATCTAAACAACTATCATCTTGTTTGGCAACCACAATCTCAAACTTTGGGATCCTCTCACGGAAGATACACATTGTTCCATCAGTTGGGAGGCTATGAAGTAAAAAAATAGAGGTGTATATAGGTTAGTTCCATAATGCATCAGTTATTATGAACCATTTAAGAGACAAAAGAAGGAAAAATTTACCTTTGCGCAAAAGCAGCAACCTCTGGAAATGGTGGATTCACAAAAACTTGTGAAGCATCAAAGGAATTAGACAGTGTTCTAACACCTGTAGATTCCAAATGAGATTTAAGATATATATTTATTTATAGTTTTCATATCTATATAATGAATAAGATTCATTATTGTGTACCTTTGTAGGATTTGATCTTGACAAATCTCAGCAAACAGACAACAGGACGCTCACCAGCATCTTGGCTTCCTTTGTAAACAGTCTCAGCAAAGGTATCCCATAAGGTAACACCAATCCTCTCATCACTGTCACAAAAATGAACACGATCAGTAGGTTAGAGTAGAAAATATATTGAATAGAAAAGAAAAACTTACGTTTCATCTCTCATCTCAAACTCAATTTTGCTTGTTGGTTTGTTATTGGCTTCAAGAGTCAGCAACTCTCCAATCATAACAATCTACCCAATAACATCTAAAAGACAAAAACAGAGAGTAACCTATATATATGTACTGTATAAAACATGTAATATGCTTCAGTATATATTTTGATTTAAATTAGATACTTACCAACCAACATGTATGGATTAAGATCTCCATTTTGAATCCTCTGGAAACTGGCCAGTGACAGGTAATGGATCACATGGAAATATCTGAGTTCCATTGGTGAAAGTCATCTTGTATAGATGATTGGTTGGACGGAATTGGCCACTGGCATAATTGAGATCAAAGATCTCAATAAAAATCCAATGACCAACAGGTAACCTGGGTGCATATTTGCTCACCAGTTCCTTCTTAACAGTAGCATGAATCTTCTTGCCCTGTAAAAATTAAATAGAAACTATAGAATTAGATAACAAAAAAAGATTGCAGATATGTAATTTAAGCTTTATAACTTTTTGTTTGTTTTTACCATTTCATCAGATAAAATCAACTCTAGAGTTTCACCAGTATTGGCGGTGTACTGACGCCAGGAATGAAGCACCTTCACTTGGACTCTCCATTGTGTCTTGTAAGGCCGGACATATATCTTTTAGGTAACCAAAAGTTACAGCAGCCATTTTTTGGAAATAGATTAGAGAATACTTATCTAGGGTAGGCTATGATTGATGATGATTATGAGAGGTTAGACATGAAACTATATATAGGCTTATAGATTAGGTTTAAGAATGCTTGAGGTGAAAGAATAAAAAGAATCGTAATCTCAGCTAAATCGGCATAAAATCTCTGGATTGTTAGAGTTAAGAAATCTAGAGTAATTGTTAGCATTAAAGCGGTTGTTCTTATTAGAAATCTGTTTCAAGAAAATCAGAACAGACTAAGGGATTCTGCGAGTTATGATTAGCCAAATAAGGGATTGATATTATTACAAACTTCCTAAAATGTCTTATTCTAGATCCGAACAGACTAAAACCCAGGTCAAACCCGCCCATATTGAATTAAAAAAAAAAAATCCCCTCTAAAAATGTATATGTAGATTCAGATTAGCTTAGTGGTTTTACAGCTAAGTATATACCATATCAAATCAAGTTCAAACTTTTTTTTTTTTGGTAGGAGAGGGGGGCGAACCCCCATTTTATTAAAAAGAAATTACGAATTACAAACGAACATTTCTAGGACGCGCAGGCCCGTTAATATCCTCCAACAAAAGTAAATTAACACTCTCTGGACTCGACGCAAACAAATGAAAACCCAAAGGCAAAGAAAACGCATAGTTAGCCAATCCATCCGCAAGACGATTAGCCTCCCTATACACATGTGAAACTCGGACTAACCAGTCCTTCGATAAAAAGCCATGGCACAGACGTATCAGGAAGGACAACGGATGTGAATCCTCAATCCCTGTCCGCAAAAAACCAACCACCATCTCAGAATCAACCTCCAGCTCCAAACATGTAATGCCTCGCTCCCAAGCTATGTATAAGCCATAGTAGACTCCCCATAACTCTGCTAGCGGTGCTGAGCATATCCTGATATTAAGCGCAAAACCACTACACCAATTACCTTCCCCATCCCGTATCACCCCTCCTGCAGTTGCTAGACCGGGATTCCCGTGAGAAGCACCATCCGTATTAAGCTTGAACCATCCAACCATAGGGGGAATCCAAGCGATCATTCGCTCTACTCTTACCACTAGACTCAAGCTTGCCAACAACTTCTTATGCGCGACCCAAACGTCTTTTGCTAAATCCTTAATGAAACGCACCCGATCTCGACATTTCCTATTTTCACCGAAGACGTTCCCGCATCTCCACTTCCAACTCCACCAAACAGCTTGTGAAAATATTGTGGCCCACGGACATTCACCAATCTCCTTCTCATCACCCACGTTACTATAAATCCACTCCAGAAGAGATTGAGAAAAAAAGACTTGTCGTCGTTGTGGAGGTAAGAGACGAGTCCACACTCCCGCCATGGCGGGACAGTCCCGCAAGATATGTAGAATCGTCTCATCTCCACTTTTACACACCGTACAAAGGCCCGAGTCCCCTAAGTGCCTTCTCTGTCTCTCCACATTAGTCATCAACACTTGATTGACAACCAACCAAATAAAAACTCGTACCTTCTCATGAGCAACAACTCTCCAAATTCGCAGATAAAACGCTCCCATGCTCTGTTTTGGTACCATATCTCGACTTAGAAGAGAATAAGCCGACTTAACCGTAAACCTTCCATCGGAGCACTCTCCCCATGACAGCATGTCCCGTGCGCCTGTCACCGTATCCACCACCATAGACATGAGTTTAAGTTGCGTCTTCTCCGAGATAAAAGGAGTGATCCGCTGAAGATCCCAACCTGCACCATTCCTCCAAACATCACTGACCTTAATCTCCTTCCAATTCGCCGGTAAATCTCGAGTAGCAGACTCACTCAATGGTACATTCAACAACCATCTATCTCCCCAGAAATTGATTTGCTTCCCGTCGCCTAACACCCAACTTAAACCAGGAAACACGACTTTCCGAAAGCCCAGAACTATACTTCTCCATGTAGAAGACCAAGTGCCTTTTGTTACCAACCAATTACAAGCCTGTGAGTCTCCAACTTTGTACTTACTTCGTAAAAATTTTGACCACAGACTTACATCATCATGAAGAAGCCGCCAGCCCACTTTTGATAACAAGGCCGTGTTCATCTGTCTTGCGGAACGAATCCCAAGACCTCCTTCTGTTTTCGGCGCACACACACGATCCCAAGCAAGAAGGTGTTGTTTTTTTTCTAACCTGTACTTCCCCACAAAAAAGATCTTGACAATCGATCTAGCTTCTCCAAAGTAGATTGTGGCAAAGAAATAGTAGTCATTGTGTGGACTGGTAGTGATGAGAGAACTGCTTTAGTAAGAGTGATTCAACCCGCTAGACTCAAGAATCGACTCCTCCAACCGGACAGCCTTGAAGTCACCCTCTCCACAACATCTCCAAACGTATCCTTATTGATACGTTTGTGTAATATTGGCACCCCAAGATACTTGCCTAGGTCCTTCGTCTCTTTTATTCAACTCTCATCGCTAATGAGCTTCGCAAGATCCCGAGAAACATTTTCTAGACTCACTTTCTGTCCCGATGCAATACAAAACTCCTCCAACACCTTCCTAATAACCCGGATTTGAGATACTGAAGCTTCCGCAAATAAGATTAAGTCATCAGCAAAGCACATATGTGACAATTTTGGACCTCCATTAGACAGCTTAATCGGCTTCCAATGTTTACCTGCTACCGACCTTTTAATTTGATGGCATAACCTCTCTAGACAAAGAACAAAGAGATATGGAGACAATGGATCTCCTTGTCTAAGCCCTCTCGCTGGTTTAAAAGGATCTGCTTTCTCCCCATTCCATAATAACGTCATCGATGGTCCTTGTACACATGTCAAGATCCAATCTCTCCAAACTTCTGGAAACCCTGCGGAGATTAATGTATCTTCAAGAAAATCCCATCGAATCCGATCATAGGCTTTCTCTAGATCTAACTTCAAAAGCATCCAGCCCTTACGTCCTTTTTTTCGTCGCATAGAATGCACCGCCTCCTGGACCACTATGATATTATCAGTGCTAAGTCTGCCCGGAATGAAACTAGACTGAGCAGGACCAATCAATTTCGGCATCACACTTTTCAACCTTCTCATCATTGCCTTTGTAATGGTCTTAAAAAGAACATTACATAAACTGATCGGGCAAAATTGCATTATTGTCTCCGGTTTGGAAATCTTCGGAATGAGAACAACAAGTGCATCATTGGTTCCCTCCGGTAAAGTACTTGTCTCAAAAACATCCAGCACAAAACGTGTTACCGACTGTCCCACCACATCCCAACACTGCTGGTAAAATATCGGTTGGTAACCGTCCGGTCCTAACGCCTTGAGTTTCCCCATACTTCGAATCGACTCCTCCACCTCAACCCTTGAGAATGGTCTCATTAAACGTGTTCTCTCTCCCTCCGTTAACACTGCGAACCCCTCATGTGGTAACTTCTCGACAACTTGGTCTATATCATCCATAGAGTAGAGTCTTGTATAATACGCAACCGCCAAATCTTCCAACTCCTTCGGGTCTGAAATCCACACACCATCATTATTTTTTAACATTTCAATTCTGTTTTTCCTCCTCCTAATAATGGTGGAAGTGTGGAAGTACTTAGTGTTACGATCTCCCTCCGAAATCCATTTTTCCCGGGATTTTTGAAACCAAACAATTTTCTCTTGTTCCATAACCACATCCAATTCCTTAATCAGCTCCTCTTCTTTATGTAATAAATCATCACTCTGACTTACATCCAACAAGTCTTGGACTGATGTAATCTCATTAACCAACAATTCTTTGCGCTTGTTAATGTCTCCAAACACCTCACGATTCCATCTCTTTAAACGAACCCGCAGACCATTTAAAGCCTCCGGCGTTGTCAAAGCACTATTCCAAGAATGCTGCAGTAGCTCCTTAAAACCCTCATGAAGTAACCATGCAGCCTCAAACCTAAAAGGTCTCCTTCCTGGGTTCCCGCGAGTAGACGGACATAACTGCAAGTACAAAGGTGCATGATCTGAAGCAACAACCGGCAAATGCGTCACCGTAGCTTCTTGCCACTTCAATCTCGCATGTGGACAACATAATATCCGGTCCAAACGCTTTGCAACAAAGTTATTCTCCGTTCTTCCCCTCCTCCATGTGAATCTACTTCCTTTAAAACCCATATCGAGAAGAGATAGATCATTGATCCATTCTACGAAAGCCAAAGAATCCAAAGACAACTGCCCATTTCCACCAGTTCTCTCATCTAGTCTGATGATCGTATTAAAATCGCCACCGATAACCAACGGCTCATCAACTCCTTCAATCAATGGTTTTAATCTTCCCCATAAACCACTTCTCCGACTAACTGTTGATGCCGCATATACAACCATCAAATGCATCACCTCTGTATCTTTTTCAATCTTAGCGTAGATGAATTGGTCTGAGGAGTCCAGAATTGTAACCACACCTAATCATGATCTCCATAATAACCATACACCACCGCTCTGTCCCACTGCATCCACCCGAAACGAGTGTTCAAAACCAAGCTTCTGACAAATACGACTTGCTCTGTCTCCCGCCGCATGAGTCTCGAAAAGAGCTAATATATCAATGTAAAATTTCTTCAACATATATCGAATTGATCTCCGAAAATTAGGTTTATTTGCCCCCCGGCAATTCCAAAATAAAACATCCATCATCAATCCTTGAGTTAAAACAGTTTGAATCACCGGGGCAAAACATTATGTTGCCGTCGAAGTCCCCACCATCTCCGACGGTCCACTCTGATTTTCTTTCTCTCTGGTCTCTGAAACCCCTGCCATTTCCACAGATATCCTATTTTCCGTCTGTTCCATCGTCTGAGTCAACAAATTATCATCAACCAGCCTTTCTTTTCCAGTCGAGAACACTCCCCCTGGTCTCCCCACTGTGCTTTCTTCGATTCTCATTCTCTTTCCCGAACTGGATAACTCCACTTCTCTTCTCTTCTATCAAGTTCAAACTTTTCGAGTGTTCTTTTATGACTTTTTTTTTACTCTGATTCAATTTAATTGTAACTAATGCAATAAAAAAATTTATAATTATTATATAATTTGGCTAATTAAATTATATTTAGTATTTAGTATTTATATATATGATGTTCCATATAAAATTATTTTCTGTATCCGCCACTTGAACTATTATATTTTGCTACTATAATGAACTTTTTTGCTTGACGTGTTCTATATAAGTATACCAATGCCCAGAAGACCAGTGTTGATAACTTTAATGTTTCACATATAAAGAGATAAAGAAAGCTTAGGTTAAAAGCTATTGACCAAACTTCCGAACTTGTGTTGCGAGGGTTAAAAAACCTAGGCCTTTTTTTGGACTTCTCTCATCTTGAATTGTTTGTTGGTTCATCTTGTTTTCAAGTTTTTACCACGAGATCTTCATTTCTACATTATGTTTTTACATGTCTCCAACTTGGACACATATATAGCAAACTTAAGCAATGCCTTCGATTTTACCAATGCCCTTTTGACTTACCATGGAATTTTTTTTTCTTATACGTTTGAAGATATAACAAATATATAATCCTTTATATTATAAAGCACAAGTGACCTGACCAATAAAAATGTGACATATCATCAAATATAGGTTAATTAATTAATTTTTTTATATGTTCAATGCTAAAAGGAAAAAAAAAAAAAGGAAAAGAGAACAAAAAAAATCGAATTGAATGTTTTAACAAAAGTAACTACCAATTAACATTAGCTACTTAATTCCATAAATCCATAAACAGAAAAAAGATTCCTAATTTAACTCCCCCACGATCATGAAGAAAAATCTTTCCATGATCCTTCTTTAACTTCCCCACTATTCCGCGCTATAGCACGGGTCGTAATACTAGTTCTCATATATAAAAGGTATGACACTAAAAATAAATGTGGCTGGGACCTTATTGCAGTTAAACTATTGAAAATTACACTTGTTTTATATGGTTTGATTGTTTAAGACAAAGGAAAATTACTATTAAAACTATATTGTAGTTTTTCAAATCTAGATATTGATAAATTTACTTACACATAGTTCAAATATTACTCTATATGTATGTTTAGTTATAGCCTTAAATAAATAAACGGAAATTCTTATAAGAGATCGGAATTTTGCACTTAATACAACCTACATTTTTAGTGTAAGACCCTAATTTCAGGAATATAGTGGTGCATGCGGAGAGGTTTAAGAGAATTGATTTGACCATCTATGTCACCAAAGTGCACTTATCTTTTCAGCCAAACATCCGGAGAGAACTCCACATTTAAGCATGTTTGAGCTGGAGCCATTCTAGGATGAGTGACTTTTCGGAAAGTGATTGTCGGAACCATGTGAGTGAGATAACAAAATACGGAGAAATATCTTTATTGTATCACTATCCAGATTCGAATTTCGCATAATTCATATGTTGATTTTTTTTTTTAGCTTCACAATGCATATTATTAAGAAAAAATGTACTACATAATCATATTGGTAGACATGATAATTATATGGATATTCATCTAACTTTAATGTTTCAAGGAACAAAGAACGGAATGATGTAATTTTGGGGAATTACGCTATCATAATTTACGTAACATATTACGAGTGTCAGTTTTTTTAAGGCATAGCCTATAACCAAAATTACTACTTTTTGCTACTCACCACAAATTTCAAGTATAGATCTTTAGAAGGACTTATAGAGTTAATTATAGTTTATAGATATAGATTCTACTCTAGAAAACGCTTGACATCAATCCGGTCAAAGTTTGAATCCTATAGATATCATCATCGAGTTATTAACCATATATTAATATAAAATTAGGTAAAATTTATATACTCCATTCGTTTCATAATATAAGTCGTTTTGAAAAAAAAAAATTGTTTCACAATATAAGTCTTTTTCAAATTCCTATGCAAATTATATATTACTTTAATATTTTATAATTATTTATATTATGCAGTTTTTGTGATTGGCTGAACTTCTTAAAATTCAATCTTCTTAATATGCGTGTTTAAAGCTAAAACGACTTATATTATGAAACGGACGGAGTATAAATTATCATATTATATTTTCCTAAAGATAAACCATATTAACACATCTTGATCTTAATATATGATGACAAATTAAACATCTTAATTAGATTATTTTTTTGTTCGATCCGTAACCTCAATTTCACGAAGTACGCAATAACCTTGAAGTTTGAATCTTCTCAAATTTAAGAAGAAAAATAATAATAATAATTTTAAGAAACGACGAAATTCAAGATTCATAATATCTTTCTTGCATAAATCTCCTCTTATTAGAGAGACATTGGTCTTATATCTACGCATCACTTTCTGGTCCAATTATCGTTTCCCTATGAACCCATTTCTTCTTCTCTAAGAAACTTCTTCCTTCTTCCCCAAACTTACTCTCTCTACTATCTCTATAAATCTCTCAGTTTCTCTTCATTATCTTTTGGTTAATGTATTCTTAATCCCAAAAAGTACTAATTCTCTTTGTGTCCTGCTTCTAGTTATGGATGATGAAGAGAGTAACATCGTAGAAAGATATGACGACGTCGTTTTGCCAGGGTTTAGGTTTCATCCCACTGATGAAGAACTCGTAAGTTTCTACTTGAAACGCAAGGTTTTACACAAATCTCTTCCCTTTGAGCTCATCAAGAAAGTCGACATTTACAAATACGATCCATGGGACCTCCCAAGTAAGCATAATTCTAATTCTGATTTTTCTCCAAATCTCTAGAAACAAAATTTTGATTATGCATTTTCTTGAATCAATGTATAAAAAAGAGCTTGCGGCGATGGGGGAGAAAGAGTGGTACTTTTACTGTCCAAGAGACAGGAAATACCGGAACAGCACGAGGCCTAACCGAGTAACCGGAGGTGGATTCTGGAAAGCTACCGGGACTGACCGGCCTATATACTCATTGGACTCGACTCAATGCATCGGTTTGAAGAAATCGCTAGTGTTCTACCGTGGTCGAGCTGCTAAAGGAGTCAAAACCGATTGGATGATGCACGAATTTCGTCTCCCTTCTGTCTCTGACTCCCATCACTCAACATATCCCAATTACAATAACAAGAAGCAACACCTTAACAATAACAACAACAGCAAAGAGCTTCCTTCAAACGTAAGTTATCAGATTTTCCCTAACTTGCTACAGAAGTTACTTTTTTGTTATGTGTTAAATCCGGTTTCGGTTTTATAAAACTAGTTACCAAACAAGAACCGAATTAGTATCGATGTTTTTTCTTTTTATAGGATGCTTGGGCGATATGTAGAATATTCAAGAAGACGAATGCGGTATCGTCACAAAGATCAATCCCACAATCTTGGGTTTATCCAACGATTCCTGACACCAACCAATATAACTCACAGTCACACAACAACACCGCGACTCTCTTAGCTTCATCAGACGGTCTCAGCCATATATTAACAAGACAAAACCTTATCCCTTCTCCAGTCAACGAACCCGCAAGCTTCACAGAATCAGCTGCTGCTTATTTCGCGTCTCAAATGCTCGGAGTCCCGTACAACACAGCTAGAAACAGCGGAACAGGGGATGCTCTGTTTTTGAGCAACAATGAGAATAACTACTTCAACAACTTGACCGGAGCGTTGACTCATGAGCTTACTAATGTAAGAGCAATGGTGATGGAGGAGACGACGGTGAGTGAGATGTCGGCGACGTCGTATTCCACTAACAATTAAGATAATAGTATTTAAGTATTAACACTTGAATTAGTGTAGACCATCGCTAATATGTATTAATTTTTATTGTCTTTATATAAACGTTGCTTCTCTTTTGGTTTCTTGAAGACCGAAAAGAAAAAAGAAAAAAGAAAAAACAATGTCTTGCTTCGGAACATGCAACTTTTACTTAATTTGTAATAGATAATTGTAATGGCTTTTTATATTTATCAAGAGTCAAGATGAAGTTGGTTCAAATCCCATTCTTGAATTTTTTAGAGTCACATTTCATAAACTTTATGAAGATGATAAAATGCTTTAAAAAAGGGTAACAAGTAAAGAAAATATGAATTAACTCAGTTTTTAAGAGATTACAAAGAGTAAACTCAGTTAATAGCCATTTCTAATGAGTGACTTGTTTTTGCTTCGGAAGACTTTAGTTTTTTAAACCTCTCTTATCCTTTATTTTGATTGTCTTTTATTCTACATTGCAACAATTTCTGTATTGACTGTCATGCTAAGAAGAGACGAGTATGAGGTTCTATTTTTTCCATGTAAGATCTTCAACTCCGCATTGGTTTTTTTTTGAATAAAAGTATATGTTTCTAGTTAAATGGATGATTTTGTTTTGCTGTAAAAATAAGTAAAGAAAATATGAATTTGCAAAATTTTTTTTTTTTTTCATTAATGGTAAAATAACGAAAGATAAACAAAGTTATAAATTATAATTTTAAATAATAAAAAGTTCTTAAAAATTGCTTGATCTTCTGTTTTGGTTTCTATAATTACTGCCTTATAATTTTTTTTTAAAAAACCACATAAGCATTAACTTTAAGCATAATGAAGACTTAAAAACACATTTCTTCTGACTGATATTTACACTTGGAAGCTTCTGTAGACTCGGTTGTGGAACTTGTGTTTTGTATAGGACACGTAGTCATGACATTTCTCTAGTAAGATACGTAGTCATGAGTCATGACATTTCTCTATGCAGAATCAACACAAAGCCGGAAAAAAAAAACACTATCTTGCTATACATGAATGAGTTACACAGCCACAAACCACACCATTGGTCTATTTTGGGTTAGATTTGGGTTGTCACAAATTTTACAAGCTCGAATAGAATAATTCTATTTTGGTTATGTTTCGACGAAAAATAAATCCAATAATTAATTTTATCATATTAATTAAGAGCTGTTTACTAGATCATCGTAAGACCATCGTAAGACAATGGGTATAGCAAGAAAAAATCTTATCAAAAACAAATCATATCAAATCTTTTTATTACCGTTATTATTTGATCTCATTTCTGAAGTTAAATATTTCATTTATTAATTAGCTGGAGATAGAGAAAAAAAAGTAATATTTCCTTTTTAAGTTTTAAACAAACTCTCAACGGCTAATTAAAAATCTATACAAAATATGGAAATCAAATCTTTTACTCGTTTTTCCTTTTTCCTTTTTCTTAACGATGAGCGAGGGTGAGAAATAATTCTAATCCTAGGCCCTATCGACCCAAAGACTCTATAAACATATGATTCACTCTCTAAACCTAATTCATTAGTTTCACTCTCTCAATTTCATTCTTCTTCGTCTAATCGTCTTCGTGCATTCTCTTCACTTTGAACGTGAAAAAAAAACAGAGAGATTGTCTTCGAAATCAACAAGAAGATGACCATTCGATCTTTACCTTCTTCCTCTTGTTGTTCCAGTTCGTCTTCTTCCTCTTGTTCTTCTTATTCACTCGCTTCTACCAGTTTGAGCAATAGACTTGAGACCATCTTCAAGAAAGCTTCCGAGCTTTGCACTCTCTGTGATATTGAAGCCTGCGTCATCTATTACGGACCAGACGGAGAACTTAAGACATGGCCTAAGGAGCGAGAGAAAGTGAGAGACATTGCTCTTAGGTATAGTCAATTAAACGAAGCCTTGAGACGCAAGAAAAGCGTTAATCTTTATGACTTCCTGAAAAAGAAAAAGAACAAGGGTTTGAAGAATCCGAATAAGAAGAGGAAGACGAGTTTGAAGAAGGTGAATGAATTAAAGTATCCAATTTCTGATCATTACTCTTCTGACCAAGTCTCCAAACTAATTCAGTCCTTAGAACTCAATGTCTCTAAAGTCCAAGAAAGGCTTCGTTTTGTTGAGTCGCAGAAACACAAGGAGACAAAACCGGATCATCAGAGTTTAGCATCATCCTCTCTGAACAATCATCAACATCTTCAGACGACCCAATCTTTGAACCCTAGCCAGTTCTCGCTGTTTATGTATAACCATGGAGATAATACTCTCTCTCAAATCCCACTCCCTGCATCAAATCTCAATCAAGATTTCTCAGCGTTACTACAAGAATCGGGCTTGATGAAGCAGGAGCTTTGTGGTTATGATCAGAACATGTTTATGAGTGACGTTACCAACAACAAGTTTCAACATCCTTACGTCTCAAACACAGAACATTACTCGGTGGTACCAGAACCTGTGAATAACTATGGGTTAAATCAGTTGATGCAGAAGGAGTTTTATGGTTGTGATCATAACCTAAGTAACATCTATAGCAACAACTTCCAACATCCTTTCGTCTCAAACACACAACATTACTCGGCGGTACAAGAATCTGTGAATAACTATGGGTTGATGCCGCATGAACTTTATGGTTATGATCAGAACATGTTCACGAGTGATATTTACCAACAGCAACCTTCTTTCTGACAACTCGAGGTTTCTCTGATAACAAACTCATGTCAAGAGTGTGTGAAACTGTTTTTCATCTTGTTGTAAGAATTTAATATGTTGTTATTGATGTTTGTTTTCTAAGTATTGCATAACGCATAATGTTTTCTTGTAACAAGCTATTTTACTATGTGAACATCCAATTTATCAAATGAATATATATTCCACCACATAAACATGTTACCAATTATTTTGGAATTATAGATTATCATTAAGTGCGTTAAATAATTTGTCTATCATTTCATGAAAATATCAAACCAAAAGGATTAAGGATAGTAGAAGAACAAAGTCATAGCTTAAAGCTTAATGAAGAAGACTTAAAAACATATTTCTCCTGCCTGACTATTTTCACTTGGAAGCTTCGGTTGACTCGTTCGTGTTGACTTGAACAGGGCACTGAGATACATATGGTTTCAGCTGTAAAATCCAAATAGATATACATCAGCAGAGCAGCTAAATCACACAACAAGCTTAATGTAATCATGTAAGCAATCCCATTTCAGGTTCCTAACACGAAAACCTTACAACGAACCAAGATATTTATCAGGATCACAAACTTAAGGACATACTACCAATAATACTTGTAAGAAGATTTCTCACTAATGTTTGGTTCTCATGTTCAATTACAATGCAAGCAACATAATGGAAGAATCATAGACAAAAGGAACAAAAGAGAGTAGGGATGAAATGAAAACCTTAAAGCCGGTGAGATCAGGGACTACGTAATTTGGCAATTTATCTGGCTGCACAACATATCCTCCTGCAAAAACACCATGTCACGAAACTTAGAAAAAGGTGAAAATGAAGTCTAGAAAACAAATGCAAAAACTGTATATTATACATCTACATTCACCTTAAGCTACCATATTCTTTAGGTGGAAAGCTAACAATTATTAAGCAAGTATGACAATTTATAAATCTAGAAAACTGAGCTCCGGTCAGTCAAGCTACACCATGTCACAGAAATTAGAGAAAGGTAAAATCAAGTCTAGAAACAAATGAAAATGATGATCAATTCTTTGACAAAATGGAGTTAAAGTTGTTAGCTTTCCTCCTAAATAACAATCTAGTATCTAAAGCCAGCCATGTAAAATTCCTGAAACTTAGCCGAGAATAGCTCTGCCTTAGGGTTGCATATATCTAATTCAAACAATTTGGGCATTATTAACACTAAAAACAACAACTTTCAAGAATCAACTACTAAACACAAGTATTGATGGAAATGAATTGATTCTCAATCGCAACTTAAGAAGTGAAAACCAAACCAATAGTTCCAGTTTCAGTGAAACATGTTCAAACCAGAGATGCAATAACTACAAAATTAGGATGAAAGTTGGAACCTTTTCTATAACCCATGTAAATTCCTAACACTTAAGCTGATAATAGCAGTTCTTTAGGTCTAGTTCAAAACAACTTGGGCACTAAAACCAATAACACAAGATTCAATTATCAACTAACTAAAACAAGTGTTAAATAGAAATGAATTGATTCTCAAAGTTGGAACCTTTTCTTGTATGGAAACCAGTAGATTTGCAGTTTTTGCCCTTGTAGAAGTCTCTTGGAGCTCTTTTGGGAGAGAGAATATCAAGAGAAGAAGCTCTCTTTCTTCTGAATGATCTTCCAATCCCCATTAACAATCCTCCTATCGTCGTCATTCTCCACCAAATCTATCAATCTCAATCCCAGAGAGAGGCCAAACATTTAGGGGTATTCGTTTTAAGTGAGGCTAAAAGGTTGAAGACAAAGCGAAAACGATGTCGTTTTTATTGAATTCGGGAAAATTGTTCAATTTAAGAAACTATGTGACTCAAAACCAATGAAATAAAAAATGTAGGGATCATATTTGCAAATTAGATTTACGCACGTGTTTTGCAGCCATTTTTTTTCTATTGATAAGAAAAAATGAGATTTTTATTTTTGGTTCTGGGGTTTATCAGTGTTTTCAGCTTCTTCTTCTTCATCTTCTTCTTCACAGCTTCTTGATATTTTGGAATTTTAAACCAAATTAGACGATTTTAATCATTGAGGAAGACGAAAAGAGTCTAATCGAATCATGGGTAAGTCGAAAAATCATTCCTTTTTTGATTTGTTTCTATTCACATTTCTGTTGCATTCAAGCTTAATTTGACTTGGAATGTTGTTGGAGTTCGATAAGAAGAACCCTAATGTTTAAATTATGTTCTTGAGATTAGTAACATTTTTCTTTATGTGAGACATTACTAAATTTTGATGATATAAAAGAAGTTCAAGTTTTTAATTTTGTAAATTGTTCTGATGCAGGGTGTGTACCCAGGATTGAATTTGGTTGTTCAAGGTACAAAATTTCAATCTTTATCTTATTCTAATTCACATTTTTGTCTTGATTCATCATTATAGGATTTAAGTTACTAATAGTTGTATTGATTCTTCTTATTGAATAGCCATTGTCTTGGAGAAAACCTTACTCTTTCATGGAACTTAAGAGCATGGAATTTGGGAAGATTGACTACAATTTCGCATTTTCGGAAACTTCCTTATCCTTTGGTAGCTTCTACTCAAAAACATTACAAGAATAGTTTGCTTTTGAAGAGATTTTTAGTTGGTGTTGGCACAGAGGAATCATCATTGTCAGAAGATTCACTAGATGAATCTCTTTCTCGACCTCTCACTAGTGATGAGGTTATCTTCTTCTTTTTGTTATCTTAAGCATATGCTCTGATGATGAAGGAACTATGTTCTGTACCAGTTAACTAACTCTGCCTTTGGTTTTGTAGTTGAAGTCACTGCTCATTGATACAGAGAGATCAAAGCTTGTTAAAAAATTGAGTGAAGCTAATCAACAGAATCGGTTCCTCAAGCGCCAGGTACTTTAGTACATCTATCTGTCCATTTTCTTAAATGATTCGAGAAACTTGCAACTTTGTATCCTATTCTGTTTTAAGAAATCTTGTGTCTTCCCGAGAAAGCTAGATTTTCAATATTGTCACACTCTTGATAGATACTAGAAATATCATCAAGGGTTCAAGGGAGATACATGTCACAGAAACATGTTCCTTTCACTTCATTTCTTTTTTGTAAACCAGCATTGTATCAAAATGGAAGATGATGATGAGTCATTTGCACACTCTCCATTGTTTTAACCGGAATCTTTTGCTGTTCTTCGTCTGTGTGTTTGATGATGTACAGTTTGTTTGATTTGCATTCTTTCAGATAACTTGAAAACAGAATCTTGTTCGAGATTCAATTATCAATGCTTATATTCTTGATGAAAGTGAGATAAATCTCCAAGGCATAAGGGAATTTCATTGAGCAGAAACATGCTATTTCACTTCATCTCTTCTTTTTGTAAACCGACATTGTATCAAAAATTCAAATCGAGTTGTTTCTGACTACATAACACTTTTTGCAGCTTAAAACACAGGAAGATGAGATAACTAACATCAAAAGTGAGCTTGCACTTATGGAGCTCGAAGTTCAGGTCTTATATCTACTTTCGATGATTTAGATGTCATATCTCCATATATAATGCCCATCAAATACATACTCTTTGTTGGTTATAACATTGGAAAGTTTCTAGCTTTATATTTGTGTATGCACAAGTACATATGTATAGGTTTCTAATATAGTAGAAAATATTTCATGATATCGTTCTCTGGAGGAGTAGGCTCTGGTCAAACTAGCGGAAGAAATAGCAAACCACGGTATTCCAGAAGGTTCTAGAAAAATCAGCGGAAAGTACATTCAGTCACACCTTCTCTCTCGTTTAGACGGTTCTTCTCTTCCCCTTTTGGTTTCATCAGTATTTAGGTTCTCTCCAAATCCTTGGAAATATATACTAAATTTTCTTCTTTTCTTGCGGTACAGCTGTTCAAAAAAAGTTGAAGGAACAAATAAAAGATGTTGAGGCTGCACAGTCGAAGGAGGTTCATGTGTTCTGGATTGGCATGGCAGAGGTAGTAAAATAATCTTCACATTCTGAGATGTTTTATAAATACATTGATGCATTTTAACATTCTAAGGTTATATATTATCCTCGAAATTAATCTCATTTGTTGATATCTTCACATAAGAGTGTGCAAGTAATGGGATCATTCGATGGATGGAGCCAACGTGAGGATCTATCCCCTGAGTACACAGCTCTATTCACCAAATTCTCCACCACTTTATTCCTTCGTCCCGGGCGGTACTATTTATTTTTTTGCATTCAACATCAATTTTTCATGTTTGAAACTATTCCTTTTTCCAATCTCTTGTGGAATTCTTGAAATTAAGGTACGAGATGAAGTTCTTAGTGGATGGAGAATGGCAGATCTCACCTGAGTTTCCTACTTCGGGAGAAGGAATGATGGAGAACAATGTTTTAGTGGTGGAATAGCCACTCATCTTTCTGCATTACACATTTAGGTAATACACCCAAACATATTCAGACCGGTGTGGATGAGATTCTAGACATAACCAATATAAACTATAAGTTTCTTGGAGGGTTTTTACTTGCTAATTTTTTGTGCTCCAATAGAATCTGAGCTGTTAGATACAAGGAATAGTATAATAGGTGGGAGGAAGAACAGATTAAGAGTCTTTGGATCATAAACTACTGTTGATTTTCTTCTAGTTTGTTTTTGGTTAACCGAGAAATATTGTTCTTCGTGGTTCTCATATCTTTTGAGTAAATACAAAATGATCTGTTTCCCTCAACCTATCAGCTTCATACAGTAGTCATTTGGCTTTCTTAGCTTATGTTCACTCAATAGTGTTCCAATCGATTCTTCGCATCTCTCAAAAGTTCTCTTGGTTTTGATTTTGTTTCATTGTTATTTTGGCATTAGCTTTGAATCCACAGAGAGACATTATCGTCAATAGACTCTGCTCCATTCAGTGTGTTCGGGTTAAGAGACGATGAAATAAACTAGGAGATGACCGGGTTTTGGTTAACAAATTTGATTCAGTTATGGACCAAATCCACCCCTACTGAAACCAATATAATAGCCAGAAATTGGACTTTATGAGCTTTATTTACAGTAACATACGGCCAAAATTTATATTTCATTATTACTCCAATGTACTTTTAGTTAGGCATAGCATAAGATGTACAAGTCAATATCAAAAATCTCAACAAGGGAATAGACAAAAGGAAGGATCTAAACGTAACCTTCTATTTACAAAGTTAATCTTGGTTAACTTATTGTGACACCAAACCAAATGGTCCCTAGTCAATTTAGACATATTCAAGACCCTTGTCACAAGTTTCATGTCCACTTGTGAGAAGAAGTGAAGTACTTGATCTTCTGCTGATTCTTCTTCCTTGTGCTTTTGGAATCTTCTTATAATACATCTCTCACTCTTCAACACATCTTTCAACCTTTTCTCCTTCTGCAACCGACCCAACCACATCAATCACACAACCATAAAAACGTTTAAGAAGTTTTAAACATTTTTTTCAGAAAGAAAACACTTACATTTTGAAGTTGTGACTTAACCTCGGCAAACATCTCTAGATCTTCTGAGTCTTCTTCATGATCCGGTTCTATCTGAGATTTGGTTCGCGATTTCTGATCATGAATCGAGCTAGTAAGTTTATCACACCGTACAAATCGCCAAAATAATCGAATTGTTTCCTCCATTATTTCCACAAGTTGATCGCTTTTGATCGCACCGTCATCATTTCCCTCGTAATCTCTTCTTCTTCCATTCTTTTTGTCCTTGTTTCCATCTTCTGTTAACATCATCAAATATTCTTCTAATCAGTAACAAAAAAACATCTATAAGACCAGTTTAAAGACTGGTTTCCACCAATTTAACTGACTTAAACAAAACAAACATATTTATAATCCTAATGATCTCATAGATTAGTTAAGTGGACAATCAGCATTTCAAGAACCCTTCAATACGCAAAATCAAACGCTAATTAGAGCAATCAACAAATTCTAAAAACCCTATAATGAGTAGATTTCGTGGGACCTCTAATTTTTTTTTCTAACTTATAAAACACTACAAAATTAAAAATTTAGTATGGTTGAAAAATCACCTAAAAACCAAGTTATTTGACCAAAACTAAAAATTATTTGTAAGAAATAAATAAAAAGAGAGAGTGAATTTGAGAGAACTAACCAAGAGCATAAGACTTTTGAAAACTCAAGATATCAAGTTTTCGCATTCTTTCTCTGTAACTTCTATGGAACTTATGAACTTCACCAATCGTATCAACATGTTTAAATTTCTTCTCTTCTTCAATCTTCCATGGTTTTAAATCTTCCATGATCTTAGGACAATCATCTTCTTCTTCTTCTTCTTCAAGAATTGTCGAAAGCCCACCAATTGCTTTAACTTTCTTCATCTCCATTTTAAGTTGTTCTATCAAATCTTGATGTTCCCATAAACTCTCAAACCCATTTGTATCTTCTTCTTCCTCTGAATCAGAACCAGAACCAGAACCAGAATTTTCGTTTTTACGGTTTTGTCCTTTCTCCTCTGCGAAATCCGAATCTGATAAAAACCCATCTTCGTCGTTGCTTGTAAATGTCTGACTTGAATCAACAAAATCAGAATCCGATTCCAAAAAATCTTCTTCTGTTAAAAATCTGATTTTTTTCTTCTCGATGGAAGAAACAGAGTAATCCTCTGTTTTTACTTTCTTCTCACCGGAGGAAACAGAGTAACCTAAATCCTCTGTTTTTACTTTATCCTCGCCGTGAGAAACAGAGTACTCTAAATCCTCTGTTTTCTCTTGCTTCTCCTTCAAACAATCTTCAACCCTAAAAGTCGCCGCCTTTGGGTTTTCGAGGACAAAAGTGAGATTTTTCCCCGACGGTGTCTCGTATTTTCTCGCCGCCGCCGTAAAAATCACCGGAGAAGAAGAAGAAGAACACAAAAATCCACCCTCGCTCTCACCGGAATCATCAGTTACTGATTGATTATACCCTTCTCTGCTTAATCTCTCGAAAGTTTCCGTCTGAAACGCGAATTTAAAAACCAATTTCGGCGACTCGTTAACTTCTTCTTCTTCATCGATTCCAGAATTTTCTAAATCAATCATCGTCGCTTCTTCTGATTCTTCGAGTATGAATAAAAACTGAGTCTTTGTTGTGTCGGTTTCAACAATTGTACCTCTTCGAACACTGTGTTTTTATTTAAAGAAAAAGTTAAAAAAGTTCCTTTTAATTACGCGTATTTTATTATTAACGCGTTGAAAAAAATATCATAAAAATGGAAAATAAAATTAAGTACCTTGAGAAGAAGAAAGAGAGAGCAAAACCAGCATGATGATGAGAGATCAAATTCTGAAAAGTAAAAATGAAATTGATGAGAAATTTTTGCTGACGAGTCGTTGTTATGTTTATTTTGTCAATGAAAATGTTATTATCTAGGTTGAAAAAAATAACTCATGCAGAAGAAAGTGTAAATTTGCAGATAAAGAGACTTTTTACCTAAAAACAAAAGGAAACGTTTGTGAAATCGAAAGGATGATGACGATGATGATGATGATGATGATGATGCATGAATAATAAAAATAATAAGATTTTGAAGTGAGAACTAACAGATTGAGAAATTGAAGGGAAAGGAACAAGTGAGTGACATGTAATTGTCAGAAAAAATTGGAAACAAAAAAAAGAATCTAAAAGTGTTCTTTGAGCTAATCTTATGGTTGCTTTGAACCATGGATTTCTCCACTCTGTTATTGGATGCCACATACCCATCTATCACTACACTACACATTTTTTTTTAATTATTCACACAATTTTTACTTTAATTTTTGTCTTAATTCGGAGTTTTTTTAATATAAATCACTCAATGCGACAAAAATGAAAAGTATATACTATGAAGCACCCATTTTGACTTTTTTGGTATTTGATGCGGCCTTTTATATTTATACTAATAAAATCAAGAAGATCTTGCCGTGAGCAACATATTTCCACCGTGAAATATTTTCCGATTTGACCAAGAAGAGATAACCTCGGTTTATATACCTTGATGTGAGCTCTAGAGATGTTTTCTTAGGTCTTAGAGTGTTAAGAATAAGATTCTAGGCTTAGGTTAGCCTTAAACTCCCGTGAACCACCGCGGTAAGTGGCGGTCAACGGCATTGACTCTGGTATTGACCGGATCTTTGGTGAGTTCTCCAGCCGTGAGGAAGCTTTTTTGGTGGCCATTCTGATCTAAAATCATCTTAGGTTGAGAGAAGTTGGGTTTAGTTGAGTCAAACCAAAAGTCAACTTGGTTTACCAAACCAAGTCAAAGTCAACAACCTAAACTTTTCTAAACGGTTTGGTTTAGGATAAATTAAATAAAAACCGGTTCAGTTCTGATTTCATTGTTTCAAAACCGGTTCAGTGTAATTAAACCAAAGATTCTTTTCATATCGAAATTCTTGAAAATTGGATTAAGCCTCTGTGTCAGACTGAGGCTCTTGACTCGTCACATCATACCGTCAAATCCCCAATTTTTGAAATTTCTCAACAAAACGTCTTTAAGCGCTTATCAAACTTCTCCTGCAAACCAAAGATCAAACCTTTGCAAGAAATTTCTCTTTTTTTGGTGTAAATCTATGATAGATTGAAACTCTTTGGAGGACCACCAATGTAGTGATGGTTGACCAGAGAAGGGTACTGTGTCCACAGAACCAAGGTTTAGCGGATTATGTGTTGCAAAAGATGCAAGAATACGAAGATAAGCCTAAGGGTTTGTCAGAAAATCTGGAGAAGACATTTGTTAAAGCCTATAGAAATGTATGTGACGCCAAGGATTCAATTGACAACCTCAAAGACTTGTCGAAGATCAAGTATGTTTCTTGCTTTCTTTTTGGATTTTGGGTTTGTGGGAAATGTCGTTTTCCTAGGTTTTGTCTGATTTCTTGCTCGGTTATGGGTTAAAGATGTGACCTTTGTTCAATTTTTAAGGAAAGATGTGACCTTTGTTCAATTTTTAAGGAAAAGGTGTGACCTTTTTGTGTTCCTGGTTCGAAATTCTTCAGATTGAATTGGGTAATGATTCAGTGACTAAGATAACTTATATATTTGTCTTTTTATCGACTTCACATACATTGGGGGTACTTGTTAATTTAGGTTTTAGGAATAAGTTTGTGTTTGTTTTATCTGACTTTGAAGTCAAGAAAATTGAGACTGTTCTTGAAAATTGGAGAATCTGTTTGTTTTCTTATCGTTGTGAGATCGGAGAAGATCAAACAAGTTTCTTTGTCTCAAGAGAAAGTGTTTCTTTTTTAATTGAGTGGTTTTAGTTTTTGGAGTTGCTTTGCTTGTATCCGTCCAAGTGTTTGGTTTTTGATTTTGGCTGGATTTGGTTCATAGGGGCTTTGGCAAGTGGATGGTTAAGCTCATGCAAGAATATTTTGTTACTGGTCCTGAAGCTTTACCTGGAAATCGTGCTGGTAATAGTGTCTGCTGTATCTATTATCGCACATTGTTCACTTGAAATATCAATGTAATGTTTTTATGTAAGGTCATTCTATTCTCTGTTCAGGGAAAAAGGCCAAGGGAACAGAACCGTACAGGCCGCGAAGAAATTCTGCGGCTTATGCATTACTAATAACATTGCACAGGTTTAGTTACATGTTGATTTACCTTACAATGTACTCGTTCTTTCCTCTAAGTGAACCATTCTTCAGGACCGTTATGTTTGTTTGTTTGTATTTTACTAGAGAGACTGCAAATGGGAAAGCATTCATGGGTAAACAAGAGCTTATGGACGCTGCTGACGCTAGTGGGCTCTCACACGTTCCTATTGCGTATGATTCAAATCACGTTCCAATCTCTAACTTGTTGATTTTTGTTCCCAATCACTGCTGTATGTTTTATTCTTCTTTTCTTGTTGATAGGCCAGAGAAAGGTAAAGGAAAAGTAGGACTTGGAAACTCTAAGAGGGAGTGGTATAGCGGGTGGAGCTGCATGAAGACACTTATAGAGAAGGGATTGGTGGTGAAATCTAGCAACCCGGCAAAGTAAAAACTCATTGCTAAAACACTGTCTTCTGTATTTTGCGCTTTTGACTTGTGTTATGTGTAGAGAAACAGACCTTACCTTGAGACATATGATAAGATTTTCCTTTTCATAGGTACATGCTGACAGTTGAAGGTCGGAATGTAGCAGATGACTGTATCGTGCGATCTGGATTACTTAATTCGGTTGACATCTTATCTGATGATGAAATGGATCCTGCTGAGCAAGCAAATATACCACCTAATCCAAATTCAACCTCCTCTTTTACCATGAGAGAAGAACAGCCGTATGTCGATGCAAGATCCAGGGGACAATCATCCATTCCAGCTGGACCTTCTTCTAGAGCACAAGCATGTACGATCTTTAGCAAGCATGTGACCCAATATACTTTTATGATGTGTCTGTTTCATCTTATGAAGTCTTAGCTACAAATACAGGTCAAGTTGATCTCGAGGGATCTCATGCCAAGAAGTTCCGTTCTTACAATGTTGGATCCACCTTAAATCCATGTTCTTCCGGTTCGAGCCATGCCATGAAAGCCTGCTCATCTTCTGTATGTAACCATTTGAGTTCAGTAGATTATTATCTGTATGTTTATCATCAGAAGCGACTGGATTGCTAATCAGCATTAGTTGTTCTTTATGGTTACAAAGTTGGCATCCGATGGAACCGAAGGAGTAACAACTATTCCACGCCTGCCACCTCTTAGATTCGGAGAAGCGTTTGAGGAAGCATATGATGTGATCTTGTTACTGGATGATCGAGAACAGTTTGCCACCAAGGGGTTTGTGGAACTCTACTCTTTTTTACTTCTTATCGTTTAGTTAAGAATGTGTGATAATAGCCTATCTATGTTGTTGTTGATAACACTAACCCATACCTTCTTATTCACAGATCAAGATCCATAGTTGATAACATACGCTCTGTATTCAAGATCAAGATTGAGGTTTGCATTTGCTTTCTTTGATAGATGTCAACAGATTCCAACTTACAAAAACTAACTTGAAAATGGGTGTTGAATCTGTAGGTTAGAAGATTACCAGTTGGGGATTGTATCTGGATTGCTCGGCATAAGTACCAACAAGATGAATATGTTCTGGACTTTATTGTTGAGCGGAAGAACGTTGATGATATGCGCTCGTCAATTATGGATAATCGGTACAAGGACCAAAAACTTAGACTTCAGGTGTGTGTAGTGTACTCTCAACTCTATCTTTTGTTGATGGTTATTTCTCATTGTCTTCTTGATTTGCTATTTTAAATAGAGATCAGGAATCAAGAAGCTGATATACATTCTTGAAGGGGACCCAAACCAGTCTAGTACAGCAGAAAGTATTAAAACGGCGTAAGATTTATCTTTTAACAGAAGATTCTGGTTGGTTGTGCATATTTTCTTTGAGGTTTGGCAACCAAATTTGGTTTCATCTACTTTCCTTTAGTTGTTTCACAACGGAGATTTTGGAAGGATTTGATGTGCTGAGGACAAACGGGCTGGGTGAGACGTTAAGAAAATACGGTTATCTCACTAAATCGATATACCAATACTACAAGTCACGGGTGAATGATGACCAGAGCAAAGTCGCTGCCTCGTGTCCTTCTTTCAATGATTTTGTCAAAAGGTGTCAAGACCTTGGTAAAATGACAGTCAGCGACGTATTTACCATTCAGCTTATGCAGGTACTGAGTCTTGCTAAGCGTTATTTGGATCTTATAAGTATCGGGGATTCCCTCTGCAACTTTCGTATACTTTTTGTTGCAGATACCGCAGGTAACAGAGGAAATTGCCATAGCTGTTCTTGATAAGTACAAAACACTTCGGTCTCTTGCTTCTGCCTACTCTAAACTAGTAAGCCTTTTATACTTGTACTGCTTTAAAACACCGATGATTTCTAGTCTTGAACTACAACAATCCCTCCATGGTTTTGAAGGATGGGAATGTCTCGGCGCAAGAAGAAATGCTGAGGAATCAAAGCAACAATGTAATATGTGCATCAGCTAGTAAGAATATATACAAGTTAGTTTGGAGGGAATGACTTCTATACTTGTAGTGTTTGTCCCCTTTGACCTTTTTGTTGTCTAGAGAGACATCTGAAACTGCTCAAGTGCATGCATATGACATGCTCTATTAGATTTTGGACAGTGCATGGTTAGTGGAACCACTTGTGCTTGTAACTGAAGCTTATGCTCATAATTGTATTACTTTTTATTTGGATTTTAACAAACAAAAACAAATCTTGAGCTACTCTGCTGATGAATATATTTGTATATGGAATTTACAGCTGAAACCATATGTATCTCAGTGCCCTATACAAGTCAACACAACCGAGTCACCTGGAGCTTCCAAGTGAAAATAGTGAGTCAGAAGAAGAAATACGTATGTTTTTAGGATTAATCTTCTTCATTAAACTTTAAGTTAATCTAATATTTGAGTTTTTTTTTCTTCGGATTTGATCTTATTTGTATTTTCTTGTTTGTCAAATAAATATTAAAAAATAAAATTGAAACTGTTCAAAAAGTGAAAACCGGAAAAGCATACATAATTTACATATACGGACAAAGTCTAGCAAATTCTTTTTTAACTATTCACTTTTAAATTAGTGTACTAATACGTTAGCTTTTTAAGTTCATAAAATATATTTAGAATAATAAAATCAAAGTAATTCTAGTTAAGTGCATAAAATTTAATCGTTTGGTTTATGAATCATGCTCTTATTTGGTTTTGGTTTTCATCCAATAACTTGAAATTCTGATTATGTATTATTGATTTCTAATATGTTAAAAGATGCTTCACTATAATAAAGATTGTGAAAACTATTTTAAGTAACCGAATATTTGATCAATTTCTAAACGATTGTTTAGTTTATCTTATTGAAAAAAAAAATGTTTGATAAATTGATGAAAAAGTTCCAAAATATGGAAGAACATACTATGATTATTTCTAGGTGGTGTTTTTTTTTTTTTTTTGAATGCCATGCTCTCTTGGTCAGTAAAGTACAAGCAGAGTGATTTTCTAGGGAGGAAGGTTCCTTAGTGGGAAGTCTGAAACTTCCATGTATTAATAATAGAGTTTGAGAACAAAGAGAATCTTGTAAAATGAATTGTATTTTCAAAGGAACTCTCCTTAATCATTTCCCCTAGCTTTGTATTTTTGTTTCTTCTTTTGCAACTTTATCAGACTCGCAAGCTTTTCACTGCTAAATCCCTTACCATCGAACTCGAAAATCCCTTTTTGTTGTTATGACTCTTTTTACCTTATTCTACATACCTCTCACATCTATGACTTAAACAGCACCAAAGAAGAAATGGACTCCATCCGATAGCTGAAACGCCGCTTATACTTATTGAGAGTTTAATGGCTTCTCAACTTTCTACCAATATTACGTGTCCCATTTTTCTCTGTTCTCTTAGGTGGGTTATTAACTTGCTCATTGTGCTGATAAAACTAGGAATAAGAATTAGTCAGTTTGTAATTAACTTGCTCAATGTTTGGAACTCCTATCTCTTAGATTTCGAGTCAGTTTGTAATTAACTTCTTATATATCTATAAATCCTGCAGGACGGAATATGAAAACTTGCGGAGACAGTGTCGTGAGATTCATGAACGCAATTATTAGGAATGTGGCCTAACTTAACCCAAAAGCTAGCTCAAGAGTTAAGGGTTGCCACATCCTATATATATTGCCCAAAGATCTTAATCCCAAGCAATGTGGGACATTCTAATAGGCCTCCTCGAGATGTGGGTGGGAAACGGTCCAACGGGAAACAGCCCAAGCCCAACATCTCGGAAATACAACAAGACATGCCACTTATATGGGCCACATAGGTGGGAAACCATTTTTGTGGGAATTTGCTTGTTGGGCCAACCTTGGGCTCTGATACCATATTAGGAATGTGGCCTAACTTAACCCAAAAGCTAGCTCAAGAGTTAAGGGTTGCCACATCCTATATATATTGCCCAAAGATCTTAATCCCAAGCAATGTGGGACATTCTAATAGCAATGAAAATGGCTGTGACTCAAAGCAGAGCAGCGACACTGAAGACAGTCAGGTTCTTGATTCCCATAATATTGAGGAGGTCGATAGTTCTACAATATCCATTACCGGAGAAGAATTAAAAAGCGAGGAAGGAGAGATGGGACTCCTCACAGTTCTGTTTCTCCCTGTAGGTTTCTTCTCTCTTTCTCTTTCTTTAATTTTCAGCTGATTTTAGTTGGATTGTATAACTTGATCATGTAATACTCTTTGGAAATTGTTTAACTTCGTTTCATATACTCTGTCTTATGGTGTGCTCAGTGCTTCTCAACCAGCGGAGAACAATCCTACTATGGAATGGATCCATTCCATTTGCTGCCCGCAAGTATGTAACACTTACGATGAGAAATGCTTGCGCGATAGAGAGAAATCCAGGTGCATTATACAACTGGGCACTTATACTCCAGGTTTGGTTTCTTTTCGTTTAGAGTATTTAGCAGTTCTCTCCCACTCTCTATCCCTTTCTTGGTCTCTGATTCTCTCTCTCTCTCTCTTATAAGTGATTGGCTTTCGTTGAACATGTTCAAATAGAAATAATTAAGGACGTGAATTTGGGAATGTTGATAATGTTAGGTGATAATCTCCTGCTATCTAGTGGGAATCTGTGGCAACCTTTTAATGTGGCTGTATGTTGCTAACGAGGAACTTAGAGGAACTGTTTGAAGAGGTGAAGAATGCAAAGTAAACTAAACAAGGACGGTGAAAATTTTATTTAGATGATCGGTTACAAAATGTCAAAAGTAATTTGTCTATAACTCTTAAAATTATTTCTAGATATTACCAGGACCCCCAAAATATATGATATGTCCTACTGGAAATTCTGAATGTAAATCCTCAATCACTTTATAACCACGGCTGTTATCTGAAAATGTCTCAGTATTATTTACCCATTCATCAATCTTATATTTCTCATCTATTGTAGTTATATTGAAAATAATGGCATCGTCAAGTGGTTTTTTGCTCGGAAAATATCCGTTCCCCATCTGAGGACTTGGCATATTTGCACTATATACTTCTCCTCCCCACTCAACATTGTTTGCATAGCTTTGTTTAAATCTACTTGCTGGCCAAAACCCAATTATATTTTGTCCATAATCGAGCCACCAGTTACCATTTGCCTTATCCTTTTATAAAAAAAATCACATAAGAAAAAAACATATTTTAATTATTATTATATAGTTATGATGAAAATATTTTTAAAATAGTCTATGTAATTTCCCAAACAAAACAAAATATTACGCTTGTATATTTGTTAAATACATATCATTGATTATAGTTATGTTGTTTGATATATGTTCTATTTATTTTCCTTTTAAAAATATATATATATATATATATATATATATTTATATAAATATATACGTGTAAGAATAAACTAGTTGAGATATAAATATAGTAAATATGGTAATCTCATAAATTAGAAAATATGATATTAATTATTTACAAACCTTGAATAAGCGAATTGTAACTGATATACTTGGACTAGAACCACGAACGCAAACAGGTTCTAGAACAGAACCAAGAGGTAAATCAGATCGGACAGATATGATCCCAGCTTGGCACATGCTGTTATAACATTGGTTGTTACCTGTCTGTATCAATTTATATATCGTTATGCCTAGCATATAAATGCCTTAGAATATAAAAAAAACTTACAAACTTATTATGGGTTACTTAATATATTTATTAGATATATGTATATTAATAATAAACTTACTTTTGTATACACAAAATTCCGAGTTTTGTTGTCACCATATAACTTTGGATTTATCTGTAAGATAAATATTTATTTCAAAACATTAACTAATTAGTAAGATACTACTTAGCATGATTATTATTTTAATATTATTCGGGCTACAATTCAAATTAAATATAAGACATGAGAATAACTTACAATCCAGCCAGTTTGTATAAAATCGTCTCCAATCTGAAGATGAATACGAGCAGAACTATACTGTGGAAGTTTAACTTTAGGATCATTTAGAGAAACTATCATTGTTGCTCCACTGTAGTATTTTTCTTTTTCTCCTTTGGTGCGGGACACGGCAAACTAATCATCATCACATCACATGTATAATAAACGTCATTTCGTTTACGAAATTAATTATAATCGACAAAGAATATACTACTTACATGATGTTGTTGATCATTGTCAACATTAGAATGACTATTATTTAAATTCCATGAACCTTGAGGCTTATATTTTGTGGACAACAAATTTAAGCTCAAAAGTTCATCTTCGGTGACTCTCCTTATGGGCACGGTACCAATAGGACACCCAATACCATTTTTCCATAGAAAACCAAAATTTTTATTATGTACTTTTGATTTTCTTAGGGATGATGTCTGACGCATCTACGTTTTAGAATTTTGTATTAGTGATAAGAATAATAATCCGATTCACACAAAATAAATAGAATACCTACATTGTAATGGAGTGACTTGTTTTTCATCGACATATGATCAAATGCTGGTTGTTTGTAAAAATTCACACATCCATATGTATCTCCATGTGTAGTCTATGTCATCCATAAAAAAAAGAACTACTTTATAAATTTTATGTTTCGTGGTGTTTACATATATATATACATAGAAATCAAAATGAATAAAGAGGTTTGTCTAAAAAAAAAAAGTTAAAGATGATAAACAAACTTTGATGATTTTAGCAGCAGGTTTGTTGATGACTTTAAGTTGCTTTTCTATATCAAAATGGTTGAAACTTTGCAACGTTTTTGCATCTACAAAACGATTATTTAGGTTTGCCATCTCTCCGAAACAAAAAATATAACCAAACAAGATTAAAATCATCCTCGAAGAACTTAATCTCATATTATCTTAGAAGAGTGTTATGGTGACAATCAAAGAGTAGAGAGATTTATCGAATTACAACTATATATAGTGAATTAGTGATATTGAAATAAATGATGTCTGTAAAAAATAAAGGGCATTAATGATGTCTGTAAAAAATAAAGGGCATTAATGTTTTTACTAAACACATGTCACTGATTTTTCATCAAAAATTAATTAATTAGCAAATTCATCAGATTTTATTTTATATATGTGATACATTAGTACAATAATGACAATTTTTCCCCACCAAAAATTAACTATTTAATTAATTCATTTGACTTTCTTTTCTTTTTGTTATGGTACATTATTACTACTATGACTTGTGTTGTATATTTATATATAAATGTGTAAACTATACTCCCTCTATTTTAATTTATTTGTAGTTTAAAGATTTTGCACATATATCAAGAAACTAGATAGATTATATAAATTATTTGTTTTTTTTTATATTAAAACATCATTTATTATTTTAAAATAATCTATTCACCCAATAACAAAATAATGTGTAGAACACAAATAATCTTTTATAAAAAAAATT